ACAGATTAGGAGCTGGCTGGATAACAATCGAACCGTGAATATTCAAGGCAGTGGATAAGAGTCTGTGCATGAGATCGGGGCGTCGAGTAAGATGTTCTGAGTATTATCCAGGCAGTAACAAGGCTGCAGCGACTCTCGACACCCGATGAATGTACATAGAGAATACTACACGAGGTCTCATTACAAACCAATTATGCGAAACGAGTGTCCATGAGTTTTGTATAATTCGTATGTAATGATACTTAGTGTGGTATTTTATTTATTACCCACGTCTTACCTCCACAAAAGTGACAAAATAGTGTATTTTGTTATTTTTATGCTTTTGAAAGCCAAACCGGTTTCATAAAGGGAGTGCGGAAGAATTTTCTCATCCAGTCAAATCGTCAGAGAGGTCCATCGGTTATCCAATCAAATCGTTAGAATTTCAGTTCAAGTCGTTATGGCACAGGTCAACAGGATACCACACTCGTGTGACGTACGAGATAACTATGCAAGTACCCATACGTTGACTACGTGGGTAATAAAATTACATATTCCACTTACTTTACATCAGCAGAATGGGAACCTTGGTACAGAATAGATTGAAATTGTAGAAATATTAACAGCTGATAGAAAATTAATGCCCATCCACATCAATGACAGCTGACTCCGTGTATTGAATGGACATAAGCTCTCTTACTGAAAACCATATGTCTGTAAGTCTAGAAATCTGGTGTTTCCATTCCGGATTCGTCCCGATTGTTGTAGTTGGTCTTTCCATACCAAAAAAGGTTTACAACTATCATGCTGGGAAGCCTTACAACAATGACACACTTTTGTAACGAAACTTTAAAGTAACATTCTAAAACGATATTATCAAGTTTGTGTATTTAAAGAACTACATTGTTAAAACTTACGGTTTGGTGTTCGTGAAGATCGGGGATAAAGCGGGCCAATCGGTCAGACCTCATCGGGGTTGTGGGGTCATCTGGTCGGCGACTGGACATGAACACGCCGGACCCTCCATACTGTGCACGGGACTGTGGAACAGTTCGATTTGAAATTAATTACATGATAATATATCCGAAGAGTAAATACGTACAATGTAATGTCTAACTTTACATTTCCCTTTTGTACAAGTGGCGACTTTGATTCAGATATTTGAAATATCTAAAAGTTAAGCGAAACATGTAAAGTAAATTAGAGAATTAAGTAAGGCTAACCTTAGTTTGTAAACTTCAAAGGTTTTAAGCCAAATCAGTGTCCGGACTTACATTACAACCAAGGTTCAAAGAATGTTGTTCAAATAATGTAACATCGACACCCACCTCATGGCTTTTCCCACTTCCTCTCAGGTTCTAGAAGAAATAATGACTTCTTATACAAAGGACGGAAAACATATGAAGGGCATTTTCTTCATTATATATAACTGATATCAGATGAAACAGGTAAATTGTCACAGATTAGGAGCTGGCTGGATAACAATCGAACCGTGAATATTCAAGGCAGTGGATAAGAGTTTCGTATAATTCGTATGTAATGAGATCGAGTGTGGTATTCTATTTATTACCCACGTCCTAGCTGCATAAAACTGCTCTCTTACTAATCCCACGCTCAGTTCACAACATGGACATGGACTCGATGCCCATTTTGGATTCTCTCCTGATAACTTCATACTGGAATATTGATACCTTGGTGTAAAAAACCACAGTTATATTACTCCGCACCTCTGACTATACTTACATCACTGAAGCCTTCATTCACAAAAGGTGTTCTGGATTCCTCCGGTCGGATGTGTAGGATCTTACACAATGTCAAGGACAAGTGCAATCGTCTGGAAAATAAGATGAAAATACTCTTAAAGACCTAGATGGTAATTGGTGCCACTAAATTCGAACTTCTCTGGAATACTCCCGAATTGTTTGGGAATATTGATATAGACGGATCACATATTGAATTATCAAGAATTGTAACTGTTCCGTTAGGCATAGCTCATGTAACCCACCACGATTCAGACTTATTCATGCTTGAAATACGTCCTTTCCAAAATAGATAATACAATCTACTTCAAAACAGGTGCTAGAGAAAATGTGTCCCAAAATCACGCACAGCAGAAACACTGTCATTATCATTTCGGTAAACCTTGCGAGACAATTCTTCCGATTGGAAATTGGTGGAATTTTGGCGGTTAGAAATCTCGTGAATATGGGAATCTTTTAATATTTCGAAGCCACGCAAGAAGATGCAACCCAAACTCCAATAACGTAATAAAAAGAAATACATGCAACAAAAGGTAACCAGAAATTCCACGGTAATAAATTCAATACATGTAAGAAAAGGTCATCAACACTTCCAGTGGCGTAATATACTCAATACATGCAAGAACACGTAAACCGTTACCATGCCAACTAACGACCATTATGTGATCAACTACGAAAAGCAAGCAAATGTAACACATTTTCATGTAATACCCTCCTGGTATCACCTAGTTCTTGCACATGCTGGCCCACTCATTTTACCACTTTGTTATCATCTCCGCCCCCCGCCCCCCTCTCTCTCTATATATATATATACATATATTTATATATGTGTGTGTGTGTGTGTGTGTGTGTGTGTGTGTGTGTGTGTGTGTGTGTAAGGAGTAAATAGAAAATTATAGCTTTATGCAAAATATCTCTTGCAATGGGATGAAAACAAGCGTTGCCGTCACATATGGTTCGTTGAAAGAGTTATTGCCCCTTCCAATATGGATTGTGTTTTCTGCTTTTGAAATTTGAACTACGCATAAAAACGAATTGTGAAGTTACGACTCGCAAAGCAGTTAATAGTTATTTAAGTCGCTCTGTAAAGGTCTCACTATATGGCTGAAATATTGCCGAGGTGACGTTAAATTCTAACTCACTCACTAACTCACTGTAAAGGTCGATGTTAATTTTTTGTAAGGAAAACTGAATTAGTGCGTGAGTTTGGCTTTACGCCGCTTTTCGCAATATTCCAGCAATATCGTGGCGGGGGACACCAGAAATGGGCTCCATACATTATACATATGTGGGGAATCGAACCCTGGTCCACGGCGTGACGAGCGGACGCTTTAACCACTAGGCTATCCCACCGCCCCAAACTGAATAAGTAAAGGAGAGATCCTAAAAAGAATTAACAAACTGAAAAAATTTCAGTTTTCCTTGGTCACTTTTCCAGAGCTTATAATCTCATAACCCTAATACGAAAATGTGTATTTGCGACAATTTGAACGGAATCGGAAAAATTGCAGTCTTACTCATTCCATATTCGACAGGATATTTGACTAACGTACCCATGCGCACATATGAGATACCTACCCTCGTTTGAGCATGCACAGATACCAAGCCAGCACGGATAAGATGATTATCAATATTCCCGCCAACACCACCAGCCCGATCATCCATGCCTGCCACCCATCACAGTTCGGATTTTGTTTTGCACATGCGCAGTAGTATCTGTTGACGTCGTCGTAGCATATGTACGGTGGGGAACACGGGGAACTGATGCACTCGTTGACGACATCCTCGCAGTGTATGCCGGTCCAGCCAGGTGCGCACGCGCACACATAGTAAAGGTCAAAACCTTCAGCGCGGCGGTAGTTGGTGCAGTTGTACAGGCGTTCATCTTTGCCTGGAATATTTAAGAGGATAAATGACCGATTCACTTTGTGGAGATAAGGAGATAATCATTATGTGATCCTTGTGCAGGATAAGGAGATAATCATTATGTGATCCTTGTGCAGGATAAGGAGATAATCATTATGTGATCCTTGTCCAGGATAAGGAGATAATCATTATGTGATCCTTGTGCAGGATAAGGAGATAATCATTATGTGATCCTTGTGCAGGATAAGGAGATAATCATTATGTGATCCTTGTGCAGGATAAGGAGATAATCATTATGTGATCCTTGTGCAGGATAAGGAGATAATCATTATGTGATCCTTGTGCAGGATAAGGAGATAATCATTATGTGATCCTTGTGCAGGATAAGGGGATAATCATTATGTGATCCTTGTGCAGGATAAGGGGATAATCATTATGTGATCCTTGTGCAGGATAAGGAGATAATCATTATGTGATCCTTGTGCAGGATAAGGGGATAATCATTATGTGATCCTTGTGCAGGATAAGGAGATAATCATTATGTGATCCTTGTGCAGGATAAGGAGATAATCATTATGTGATCCTTGTGCAGGATAAGGAGATAATCATTATGTGATCCTTGTGCAGGATAAGGGGATAATCATTATGTGATCCTTGTGCAGGATAAGGGGATAATCATTATGGGATCCTTGTGCAGGATAAGGAGGTAATCATTATGTGATCCAAACAGGATTAGAGTTATTAACGTCGATTAAGTTTTACTCTACGCTTTATCGATTTTGTCAATTTGAAATTTGTGTTACTTTGATACTTCTTTCTGAATGTGTCAAGACATCTGTCATACATTTAACGAATCGGTTATCAAACTGTGTTTAAAACGAGAAAAAAGTGAAGATTTTTATTATGAAAAATAGCGAATGTCTTCCCTCTTCAAATTCCTCCCCACAGCGGTTCTTTCAACCAGTACCACTGCAGGATCTACACGATCCGTGTTTTTGTAATGCGACCCTTATGTTTAGTGAATGAGTGAGTTTAGTTTTACGCCGCATTTAGCAATTCCAGCGATATCACGGCAGCGGACACAAGAAATGGGCTTCACAAATTGTGCCCATGTGGGGAATCGAACCCGGGTCTTCGGCGTGACGAGCGAATGCTTTAACCACTAGGCTACCCCACCGCCCCACTTGATGTTTAGATTAGCGTCGTACTGATATACTACTCAAAAGAAACGCTGACAGAAACCTGTGTAGCACCAAAACACAATGCAAGATTCAAACATAGGTCTTTGCTGTCACGAGACAGCGCTTAACCATTGGGCTACCAGCTACTTCAGTTCCGAATCGCTGGGACAAAGACATGGCATGGCTTACTTCTGCATGTTCCTCCATTCTTGCATGGCCTCTCCATCACAGTTGGTTTGATCGTGATGACGTCAGAGTATGAACCTGCCTGGTCCTGGGCGTATACCCGGACCTCATCGTAACCATAGTAACCAGGATCAGGTTGGTACTGAAAGGTTCTGTAGACCCAGTTGAGGGAGTCGGAATGGTGGGGGGAGGTTGAGCTTCTCACAGGGGATGCCGCTCTGAAATCAGTTTATTATGGCCACATTATTATAGGTTTGTAGATGAGTCGTGAATTGACTAAAGGCAGGCGTTAGCTCTGTTACATCTACACACATGGACAAAAGTATCGCAACACACATATATTTCCTAGTACCAGTAGGTTACCATTAACTATAGCAAAGGAACTTACCCAAACCTTAATTTAACTTTCTATCTATATATACCGACCCTCAAAACAGGATTAAATGTGAACAACTGTAACAACTGGCAAACATGGCAGTTTGTAGCCCTGAAAACTATGGTGAATGACGTTGACAAGTGCAGTCAGTTTCATGATTTGGGCATATAATCATCAAGAAATCACATAAGTGTCAACAATCGAGTACAGTGTCAATATCTAGTACAACCTCCGCCATCTGCAATAACACTGCAATGGAGGGCTTGTATCAATACATCAAGGTTTTGTACTCGAGGATCTCTGGGCGACCCATAATGTCTGAAACATGCTCTTTGGGGGGATTGAGATCTGGATTTCGGGCGCAGAATTGGTCGAGGAGCTGCTTCCGCCTCCTGACATACGAAATCACCAACGGCACGTGCGTGCACAATGTGGCTCACTAATGTCGTCTATGAAGACTGGCCTTGTGTTCAAAGGATGGTCATCAAAACGTGGTACAACAACCCGATCTAGGATCCCAGTGATGAACCGTTGTCCATTCGGATTTTGATCGTCACAAGGTAAAGTTTACAGTCACGTTAGAGGCGCCCCCACACCATCAATAACAGCCGCCAACAGTACTTGTTCCGGGTAATTCCTTTGTGTATATGGCAGTATATCTGCGACATCAGTTTTTTATCTGTCTGTACCATATGAGCGTGTATATCTAACAATTACAAAGGTCTTATCAAACATTCCCGAATACAATTTGACTATGAACTGACCGTGTTGTATGAACAGGGAACCTTGGTCTTCCCGTCACTGACAGTGAGATTCCCACTAGTCGGCAGTGTGTAATAGATGGTCATGTTGTCGTCAACGTCAACGTCGTACGCCCCAAACTCCCATATGTACGTCGTGGGGTTGCTGTCATTGACGCGTGCCTGTTCCAACAGAATCTGAAAAACGCAAAACTGCCATGTCCATGAACACAGCTTTCCACAATCATCCAACACTCATTAATGCCATAGCATCAAGCAGCATCGCCGTCACTAGCACATTTATCCTTTTGAAAACCGCAAGGCTAGTTTCATAACGTCTATAAATGTTTTAGAGAGCCAATCATCCAACTCTTGGCCTCCCTGAAGGAAGACATCTTTTGAAAGTCATTAAAACATCCTATCACCCGTTGACCCGCGTTTAACATTTCACAGACCAATATAGTTATGACATTTATACAGTACTGAGACGAAATGTGAATTGTATGTGAGAATCTGGAGCGAATGGTTCTTTAAACGTGTTTAATGTGAACCTGCTAGGAAAATGGCTGAAACACCTCTTTCGGGTGAGGAGTTCACTGGTGAGTCTCTTTACTTAATTGTTGCTCCCTTTGACAAACACAGCTTGTTATAAGGGAAGACAATCCATTGAGTAAGTGTTTTTTTAAACCGCTGTTATCAATATTCCAAATATCACACAAGGGACTTCAGATATGGCTTCACATACTGTACCAATATGGAGACTCCAACTTGCAACTGCGGTGTGACGAAAGACCTCAATTCTAACTAGCGTGAAACCAGCACTGGACCATCCCCTGTGACGTGATCATGGTAAGGACATAGCAGTATATTAACTAACAGAAAGCACCATGCTGATATGACGTGTACCTGAACAGGATGTGCTGGATCTGCATGGAGGAAGCTGACACCGTCACTGAAGACGAAGGCGCTGGGGGCGTCGTTGACTGAGTTGATGGTGATGGTGATTTTTACTGCAGTGTTTGCCGGTGGTATTTCGACTTGGGGCATCTCATAAAGAACCACAGGGACCTCGATTGATCCGTGATAATTTAAAGCTGGAGTGTAAGTCATTCTGAAATATATCGGAGAATAACCAGTCTCTGTTATCCGACGAGCAAGGTTCCACTGGTCAGGGCGTTCCTGTTTCCAGGGCTAAACTAGCCCTTACCCGTCCATGCAAAGTTAATATGTTCAAGCATCAAGCCAATACATACTAAACAGAAACAAAACGAGTATTACTATCCCACTGGTCATGAGGGGCGGTGGGGTAGCCTAGTGGTTAAAGCGTTGGCTCGTCACGCCGAAGACCCGGGTTCGAAGCCCCACATGGGTACAATGTGTGAAGCCCATTTCTGGTGTCCCCCGCCGTGATGTTGCTGGAATATTGCTAAAAGCGGCGTAAAACCAAACTCCGTCAGTCAGTCCACTGGTCATGAAAGACGCAAAAGCGGTGACATGATACATGGTTTGACACCTGAGTTAGTGAGATGACCAATGGCATCCTCTCGTCACCATAAATGCCTCCAAACTCTATGGCACTCCTACCCCAAAGGGTACGACTTCTTGTACGCAACAACAGTACGTTCTTCTCTTCGACGATAAACAGGTTGTCTGCCATCAGAATGAAACATGCAGAACCTGCTCTCGTCGGTGAAGAGGACGTGCTGCCAATTATGACTGACTGACTGAGTTTAGTTTTACGCCGCTTTTAGCAATATTCCAGCAATATCACGGCGGGGGACACCAGAAATGGGCTTCACACATTGTACCCATGTGGGGAATGAAACCCGGGTCTTCGGCGTGACGAGCCAACGCTTTAACCTTTAGGCTACCCCACCGCCCCTGCCAAATATGACGTTGACAATGGCTCACTGTTCTCGCCCATCTCAGTCTTCGACGACGATGTTCATTAGTCAACAGGGGGCCTCTGTAGGGTCTGTAGGCACTGATGCCGGCTGGACCAAGTTGCCTACAGTATTATGTGATCTGTTCAATGTTCTTGCAACATGGGTTGCCCCCATTTGCAGCATTCCCATGGCCCCCTCACGCTGTTTTAACCTGGCCATTTCGTTTGTGGTATTTATTAATACTGCATCTCTAACATTTGAACTGAACAGTTTTTATACCGTTTGTGCTTGTGCAAGTTCTAAACACGCAAATCACGGGCTTTTTGAAAAAAAACCCACTTTTTGCAGTCATTACACGGATTCGTATTCTGCGGGGTTTGAGGATTGGATTTGCCTTGGTTTCGTTCAGGTGAGGGAATATCTCAACAATTTAATGTTTTAGTTGCAAGTTTCATTTGGGCGTTAGTTATGTAAGATACCGATAACCATTCTGTTGACCAGACGCACATGTGTATGAAATACACTCTTGTCTGTCCGTATGAGGTTAGATTCACCTTATAAAGTGTGTCAATGTATCTTTTGATAATGGCCAATGCGTGATATTGACGGACGTGTACATAGATAGACATAAAGTATATCTCAGTTTCCAGACATATCACAAAACCAAATTCCTCCCACAGCAACGTCTCTTACACCACACAACATGTTGTACAACTGTAAGTATGTATCATGCGGAAACTCACAATCCATCCTCTGATAGAGTCAGTTCCAGATCACCCACAACGAAGTCGTCACGCATCTTGTACTTGACCACGTCTCCATGAGCGTCTGTGGATGTCATCTGGTATATCATGGTACCTGGAAGATTAAGGGATGATGCTCATATTCTTGTGATCCGGTAAGAGTTTAACGCCTTTATAAAGTTCCAGTTACGCGGCCGCCTCCGTGGTGTAGTGGTTAGAGCGTCCGTCCGGAGAGCGGAAGGTCGTGGGTTCGATCCCCGACCGCGTCATACCAACAGATGTTAAAATATGGTACTTGTTGGTCCCTGTCTGGCGTTCGGCACTAATGGGTACAACAAGGACTAGTCGGCTCGGAGTCAGTATAATGTGTCTGAGTGGGGTATTTATGCTTCACTGCGACATGGTATCTCAGTGGGCTAGCAAGTCTGGAAGATTAACGGAGGATGTTAGGATGGACACTGCTCATATTCTAGTGTGTTGGTAAGGGTTGAACACCTCTTCAAAGTTCTAGTTAAGTGTTCCTCCCTTACGTCAACACCGAGACTACCATAGCTGATACATCCATAAGGAATTAGTAAATCCGACAAGCGACGGATCATGCATGGTGCCATTTTATTATTATAATTAAGGAAAAGCATCCCTGTTTACAGCTGGACCCTGTGCCTTGTATCATTTGCCCATCCTTGCTTAAAGAGAGAACAAGACACATACCATGTTCATACCTATATTACATGCTGAGAGACACATACCCTGGTCTTTCCTTCTTGACATACTGAAACACCCATATCCAGGTTTTCCTGCATTACAATCTAAGAGACACCTACCCTGGTCTTCCTGCATGACAAGAGACACCATCAAAGAGACACATACCCTGGTCTCTCAACATGACAAGAGAGACCATCTAAGAGACACATACCCTGGTCTCTCTGCATGACAAGAGAGACCATCTAAGAGACACATACCCGGTCTTCCTGCCTGACAAGAGAGACCATCTAAGAGACAGATACCCTGGTCTTCCTGCATGACAAGAGAGACCATCTAAGAGACACATACCCTGGTCTTCCTGCATGACAAGAGAGACCATCTAAGAGACGCATACCCTGGTCTTCCTGCATGACAAGAGACGTAGTGCTGGTGAGCTGTGGGGGTGAGTTAGGTATCTGTGTCAGAGCTGAAGTCAGCAGGAACTGGGTCGGGTGTCTGAAGTACGTGTCTGACACAGAACGACGACGTCTGGAACTGCTGCCCTGTGTTGACCTTGTGTTACACACCTAAACACATAAGACACAGTCACAACAGATACCGACTGATAAGCAAAGATTAACTTATTTTTATTAATTTGAATTAAAATTATTGTGATTGAAGAAACATCTTCGGCAAATTGTATGGACAGAACTGTAATATGTGTTGGAAATGATCACCCTATACAACGTCCGTACATACTAAAGGTGGAAATCAGCAAAATAGCGAAAGATGACCTGTCCCGATCCCGATACAATGTGTTCATTTCAACACGACTGGGTACACATAAAACACTGATGTGTCCATCTATAGCAATCAATGTTCAATGTTCAATATCAATATTACTTGATTTCAATGCTGGCCTCACCAAAACGCCGCTAATCCAGATAATGAAATATATACCTGTTAAGTACAGTATACCACTCACCTTGACCGTGACCAGAGAGGTCCCCGGGTCTCTGACCTCCGTGTCTGTTTCATGTTGACAGGTCTTGTTGCTCTGTTGCCACTGTTTGGCATCTGTAACATACAAACATCATTAAACAGAGGCGATCTCCACTAATGTGATTCGCGCTCATGCTTCGTCCAAAATTGAGTTCTCCGTATAAACAATTTTCGCTTGCTTTATTTCTGAACAAGCAAGTACAGCTTATAAATGCAGTTATACCAGTTGATGTCGAACGAACATTTATTTGTTGATAAAACATGAAAACACGGTATGATGCATTGTTGGGTTAGTTCATACTCAGGGTGAATCAGGGATTAAACCTGAGAACTAACGGATCCTAGATCCGCTGATACCACAAAGCTACCTATTGTAAGTGAATATTATCACGGCAATGTAATCACCTATTGTAAGTGAATATCATCACGGCAATGTACTCAAGGAGCAATGCTATGTCCGCGTCATACAGCAAAGTATACTGCAACTACTAGCTACATACTGACATCTTTTCATGTGCTGCTATGACGGATAAATATGTGTTAAATTCACAAACAGCTGATATTGGCACGACTAATGCTTATAATGGTATGATAAGAGGGTGGATACAAAGAATGGATGGAATTTTCTGTTCAGTTGTATTCACAAAATTTAACAACACAATATGCCCGAATTCGTGCATTAGGAAACAAGGACTAAAGCTGTGGACTGATTTCCTCTGACATGAAGTACATGTACAGAACATTACCTGTGTTCCAGTGAAGCAGCATCAACGTTGTATCGGTCATCGTGGGATCATAGGTGAAGGTCACTTTCACCGGTCCTGGCATGGGAAGATTACCAATGCTGGTCAGAGAGAACGAGAGGTCGGTTTCCTGGTAGTTGAGCCTCTTTCTGAGGATTCTGTCCGTGAAGGCATCTTCTGTGGTTGACATAGATGGGTCAGTGATGTATGGAACGAACTCCACCGAGGAGTCAGACTTGTATTCCGTCTCTAGATCAAGCTTTGTGAGCTGAGTGACCACGATGCTCTGGCCGGCCTGGAGTCCTGGATGACAGACAGGGCATCGAACATGTAACATGATGAAACACACGAACTCACACACTGTACAACATTGTATGCTGCTTCTGGTAGCAATAATACAGAGATAACATTGTGGACTGAAAATATACAAGGCGACAAAGCAAAATTTAATCAGTCACATACATATGCGACCCAATTTTAAGTAGGTCCTTACAACAAGCTACAGGTCCGGGAACCTAGTTTGGTCTTACATAAAAAGAGAAAGTCATTCGTAAACGTTGACCTGTAATTGTTCCACCAATATTCCAATGTATTAAAAAGACGGAGCCTGAGAGAACTGTTCTACGTCGCTCTGAACTTAATGAGGGAAAAATAACAATATCAATATCAATATAAGACCAGATGGTGGCCACTTGTTTACGTGCAAACACCTAGTGAACTTGGACAAAGTACTATGACGATGTGTCCCAGTCCACCCAGCTGTGAATGGATACATCGTAAGGATGAGCAAGCCGCAATAACTCGGAGCGCCTAGTGGCTGCAAGAGTTGTATGCTCCCTGGGGAGTTGAGATTGATAATACCATGTGCCACTGAGATTGACATCCAATAATCGAGGGAAAAATACCAGCGCCATGAGCATGTACTAGTTGCATGGATATGTGCGCTACATAAATATCCTATTATAATTATTTGGTACACTAACCATCTGGTGTTGATACAGTTACTCCTGAAACATCCCTCTTTCTTCTGACACCACCACCAACACCCACAGTAACGGCAGAACCATCTGGCGACGTCGCCATCGTGGACTTGTCCGTCTCCACTATGATAGAGCCCATTAACTTGGGGGTACACAGTTGAGCCTCATTACACATCTTCATGAAGATGAACATCTCTGTACCAGGAGCCATGGTGAAGGCTGACTTGTCCGTGGTGGTGTTGTCGGAGGCATCGGAGCCTGCCTTGTACTGACTTAGCATGTAGATGTTGTGGCCGTTTAGTTTGAGATATCCATCTTCTACTGTAACCGTCCCCGATGTGTTGTAGCCGACCCAGGTGCAGGGGAAGATGTCACTGATGCTGAACTCGGAACTCCCCACACAGAAATCTGAAGATGAAATGTAGATGTCTTTCCAGTTCTGTAATTTGGCATGTAGTTTTAATATTGTAGATTGGTTGGCATGTACTGAAGTCTTTCCACATTTAGCAGCATTCCAATTATGTAAGTGGAAAACAGAATTAACTCCACTGAGAGCATCAATATAGGGTTGAGAACATTTGTCAAGAAGTTACCAACGACGGCTTTGAGTATAGTTCACTGGTGCCGATGAAGCCAAAATGTATCAATTCAAATCGTGATTCAGTATTTGTATTTCGAATATTACCACGTTATTACCACTTTAAGCGTTTTTAATTATCAAAAAGTCTTTAATTCAAAATCAGTTATACCGTAAACATTATCCTCTTCATTTTAAATTATCTTACGTAAGGCAGAAAATAAATTTCCTGCTTATTAGCATAATATACTATGTTGAATGTTATGTCACTTAAATGACTTCAGCCCTTGCTATTGGAGGGTCCTGTTCCTTCATGTAAACTGCCACCTTCACTGGTCCACCTGATTGTCATGTCAACAACGATTACAAACATCACAAGGACACACGTACTACCTAATTTCAACTAGGTATATTGCATTGTGTTCAATGCTAGAACGTTTTGCAAAAACCTGGTTTTCTGAAATTTCTCAAAAGCACGGATGTGTAAAAATAATTATACCAAATAGTATTAGAAAGCGCACATTGCTTTGATGTGGTTTGACGCGAGGGAAATAAAACCCTAGAAAAATCTAATTTGAATGACATTTCTCGTTCATAAGACATGGCATCTCATTTCGTCAGTTACCATATCGTATGATACTTTCATCTGCAGAGACCGTCCAGGAAGCACCCACGGTGTTTTTGTCTGTGGTTTTCATGGAGTTTGGTGGCACCACTGTCTCTCCAAGAGATTCAGCACCCACTATTGTTGTGTTGACGTCATCGACAATGGGAGGCTTCAGCAGAACAGTCACACCTAAGTCACACATTTTGCTTTATTGATAAATTCATCAAGGATGGAATCAGATTCTCCGAAAATAGATATGTCAAAAACATCCATTCCTGAATATCATTTGATAACTGTAACACGTTTGAAAGTAGGTACAGGTACCACCTCGAGAAATAGAGTAATACTCTATGATGTATTGAGGTACGCACCTCTACAAAGAAGGTAAACACCCACTGCTTGATGTTGTAACGTACGCACCTCTGGGATCAGCGTATGTTGTGACCAGCCCACCCCCGTTGGTACATCTGACGGTCACGTAGTACGTCTTGTTGTGTTCCAGGAGTCCTCCAAGTCCGGAGTTCACAGATCCAGGATACTCCCTAGTGGATACAAATGTCTGCAACTCTTTTCCCCCTGGCGCTGTGCCTATCGCCCACTCGTAATTCTGAAATATTTACCCAGCTCATATAATCAGGTACATATCTAATAACCCTCACTCACTTTTTTGTCACTTATCCTCATAATCAACAGCAGCGTGTGCGTATTTAGCTAAAGGTACATAGTAATCAATGTGGTGGATAAACACGTATGGGAATATAATTCAATTTTATGTCAGTGCCAAGTGATACCAACACCAAGGAGGTACTCCATTGTGCCCTTAATATACTTACTCACAAACAGATTAGAGATTAATGATGAAAAGGCCTGATAATCTTCATCGACATGCAAAAATGTTGATTCCCAGCAGCCCATTTACAGGAAAAGCAAACTTTCATCCCCAACGTATTTGAGAAACGAATTTTTAGCTATGAATCTAATGTTACCATAATGAGATACAAAAGCCTTGCATTACCATAATACCGCTCTGGTTGTCATTGCACTTCCACACAGCCTTGATGGTGTCGTTGGATCCCTGGTACGTCACAGGGGTGAAGTTGCCCTGAGTGACGTCGATGTACAGCATGACGTCGGTGTCAAACAGTGGCGGTGACGTGTCGATCTGGAAGCCGTCAGATGACGATACCGCCTCTGTTCCAGACCCGAGGACAGCTTTCACTGGAAATCAGATCGGTGTGGAAGAATATTCTTTCATTTTCATCCCCCATATTTTGTAAAACCACAGTCATGTTGGCAAATGAATGAATATTTCTGTTCACCACAATTATCAGTATTGCAGGTATCTTATGAGCGAGTTGAAACAGTCGAATGATGATTCAATGTAACGACGAACGGCACTAATGTAAGGTAGTGCGGGTAAAGGTTTGTCAGAAGTGGAAGGGGAACAATTCAAACATGATTAAATTTTATCACCTATCTGCAAAGGAGAGGTGTCCATTGGTAAAAGGAACCCTGTGGACCTTTGTAATTGATGTAATTTGTTCTGTTCATGCATTAGCACCAAATGAAGTACAACCGTAGGCACTGTTTTATTGACCTGAATTTTGGTTATACTCTACTGTGAGGTAGCGCAATACACAGGCTGTTACCTCCCTCCTCTATTTCTCCTTCCACGACTGTTGTTCACTCACCTGTGAGGTAGTACAATACAGGGACTACTTCTCTCAACAAGTGTTGTTCACTCACCTGTGAGGTAGTACAATACAGGGACTACTTCTCTCAACAAGTGTCGTTTACTCACCTGTAAGGTAATACAATACTGGGACTACTCCCTCAACAAGTGTTGTTCACTCACCTGTGAGGTAGTACAATACAGGGACTACTTCTCTTAACAAGTGTCGTTCACTCACCTGTGAGGTAGTACAATACAGGGACTACTTCTCTCTCAACAAGTGCTGTTCACTCACCTGTGAGGTAGTACAATACAGGGACTTCTCCCTCGACAAGTGTTGTTTACTTACCTGTGAGGTTATACAATACTGGGACTACTTCTTCAACAAGTGTTGTTCACTTACCTGTGAAGTAGTGTTGTTCACTCACCTGTGAGGTTATACAATACTGGGACTACTCCTTCAACAAGTGTTGTTCACTCACCTGTAAGGTAATACAATACAGGGACTACTTCTCTCAACAAGTGTTGTTCACTCACCTGTGAGGTAGTACAATACAGGGACTACTTCTCTCTCAACAAGTGTCGTTTACTCACCTGTAAGGTAATACAATACTGGGACTACTCCCTCAACAAGTGTTGTTCACTCACCTGTGAGGTAGTACAATACAGGGACTACTTCTCTCTCAACAAGTGTTGTTCACTCACCTGTGAGGTAGTACAATACAGGGACTTCTCCCTCAACAAGTGTTGTTCACATACCTGTGAGGTAGTACAATACAGGGTGTGCCTCCCCTCAAAAAGTGTTGTTCACTCACCTGTGAGGTAGTACAATACAGGGACTACTTCTCTCTCAACAAGTGCTGTTCACTTGCCTGTGAAGTAGTACAATACAGGGGCTACTCCCTCAACAAGTGTTGTTCACTTACCTGTGAGGTAGTACAATACAGGGGCTACTCCCTCAACAAGTGTTGTTCACTCACCTGTGAGGTAGTACAATACAGGGACTACTTCTCCTTCCACGAGTGTTGTTCACTTACCTGTGAGGTAGTACAATACATAGACTAATTCCCCCTCCACGACAGGCGTTTACTCACCTGAGAGGTAGTACAATACGGGGACTACTCTCTCAATAAGTGTTGTTCACTCACCTGTGAGGTAGTACAATACAGGGACTACTTTTCCTTCCACGACAGTTGTTTCTGTAAGGTTAAGGTCGTTGATAGTGATCTTGACCTGGTCTATTGATGAGTTGTCACATGAGGCGTCACATGTGTAGACGTCACAGGGAGTCAGACAGGGGATACACGGTGTATGTACCTAGCAACACATAGAACACGTCATAGTAAGCTGACGTAATGACACAGGGCGTCGGACAGGGGATACACGGTATGTGTACCTAGCAAAGACATAGAACACGTCACAGTAAGCTGACGTAACGTCACAGGGCGTCAGACAGGGGATACACGGTGTATGGACCTAGCAACACATAAAACACGTCACAGGGCGTCAGACAGGGGATACACGGTGGATGTACCAAGCAGCACATAGAACACTTCACAGTAAGCCGACGTAACGTTAGAGGGAGTCAGACAGGGGATACACAAATGCATACCCAGCAACACACAAAACACGCCTTAGAAAGTTGACGTAACGTCATAGGGAGTTAGACAGTGGATGCACTGTGTATGTACTTACATAGACAACACATAGAACATGTCACAGTAAGCTGGAGATACAAGTCTCTTTAACGCTGTATTCAAGATCATTTGCATCATTTCAACAGCTATTTCTGTTTTCTTCGAAGGTTTGATATTATTATATTATTATTACGCGTAATCAAACGGACGTTATTCATCTGCGTCAACATGCGCAACATCTCACCTGCTGGTACGGCACGACATCAGAGAGACCGGAAACTGACCCGATTCCAGCCTCATACCGAACAATGGGGTTGTTACCTCCTTGGAGAGGGTTGCCATAGCGACACAGCTGCTCCTTGTCGGCTGGCATCACTAGGTCACGGAATGAAGCCGTAGCACTCCAAACCTTTAGATGTCCTTCCGAATCTCGTTCAGTGTCAGGAATATAGTTCTTGTAATTCCAGACTCCCAGGTAGAGTTTGGTGTCGGGAGAGAGACGTGGCATCCCACACCGCTCCGTCATCAGATCGTTGTCCATGAAGACTGACATGCACCAGGTAACCTGCGATATTGAAATTATTGTATAACCTGTTTATCACATGACAAGATGATAAATATTCTAATCATGCGAATTTCAAATGAGATCGACTGACATTTGTTTCTGAAATGTTTTTGATTCATATATTTTCGATCCTTCTTCTGCATATTGCTTTTTCTAACAGCAATACAGAGTAGTGTCCCTTGACACGACAACTAACACAGTGTATCAAAACCGAGGTCTATTCCATATGGTTTGTTTGGAATCATATCACTTGCTTTAGGGTGTGGTTAAGTGGTCAACTTTACGGTATATCTCCTGTATTTAACGCATTCGGAACCTAAACGCCGTCAAAATAGCATTACAGTCAGCGGAATCTGCATTTATAGACAACAGAAGTTATTTAAAATAGACATATCGGTTATAATAGTTTCAGCAATAACAGAACATACACAATGGTGTAACTGTTCTTTCGATCCAACTACAACGCTACGACTGTCGTAAATCTGTGTTATGGTATTGGTGTTAGTGCATCTTAGTGCGAAGATCGCTTTACAAATCTACGTCTTGGGCCCTGTTCCTCAAAGCGATCGTAGCGCTACGACAGTCGTAAGTCTTTGTTAAAGTATGGGGGGTTACGATCGCTTTCAGGAAAGGGGCCCTGGTTTACCCAGTCTATATTTTGTTTGCCCAAAAGTCGCCTCATATATTTTTTCCAACGTAAAACAAATAAGAAAACAGAGATACCTGAAAACTTTTCACCTACCCATCATCACCTCAATAATGGTTTCACGTTTCAATGAAACTTTACCTCTGATCCCCTTGCTTCGTATCTCCGCGTAGTGAACTTGACCATGTACTGATGGTAATCTCTGGAAGGGTCTTGTAGGAGGTCTCTCACTGCTGTTACAGATTCGATGAGGTTATCTCCGTAACTACACCATGACACCAACTTGGCTGCTGCACCTGCCCAATATCGGTAAACATCATTAATAATGATATTGTATCACATGCTATCTTCACCTATCATCATGTCACCAGATACAAGGGAAAAGCCACGTGTCATGATTGCCATCATTAATGTATGATCGTACAGACAATCGACCTTCACCTTGACGGCAATTTTGCTAACCATGCCTACAGCAGCACCATTTCTCATATGAAGGAAGAAGTGGAAAGAATCGATTTCCACGAACCTGCAAATAACTGTACTCCACAGGCCTTCCTGGAATGGAGATTAGGATTCCCAATTTCAGTCTTGCCGGTGATGGAGCCTGTCTCCTGCAGCTTCTTCTTTTCCTCATCCGTCAGCTTCTTCACCTCGTAGCCAGGATCATCCTGATCCACAGACCTCTTGCTGATGTTCTTCCTTTCTTGTAGGTAGGCTTCGCAATTGCATGTACAAGACTGTGAAAGAAGAGACATGGTATGAAAATAGACATGTCATGGTTATAGGTGACCAAGTTAGGCTGAAGATCTGAAGAATATTTTAGTTGTATCATGGCCTGTTCACTTCGTGTGGGACGATCTTGTAGTGAGACCAGCCAGTATAGGTATGGTGGTGATAAAGCTAGAGTCACAGTCATGTAGAATCTTGGAATCGAACCCACGATAATATCTTTCGGAAGATATCCTTTTCGCTTTGCCTTCTAATTATTGGATACATGTTGCCAAATAGAGCTGCAGGATGGACCTGTGAGTCAGTCAGCCAGTCCCTGAAGCATCGTGCTGGCCATATTACAAACAGAGACACCAAGAATGTGAACCAGGAACTTTTGCATCAGGAGTAAATGATTACTGGACGAACCTGATGTCCTGTTAGGGTTAATACACTCACCATAATTGTAAAAAAACAATGACACATATGGATGTAAATAAGTTAATGAAAAACTGCATACTGCATTCTCAGGTTCCACCCTGCAACAAGCACAGATAGACTCAGTCCAGTCCGGAACTGGTGTGTAGTCGTACTCCAGGATGTAGTCATCTGGGCCATCCCAGAACAGGACACTGGTGACCGCTTGACCGTCACCTGCTGCAGCTCGGATAGAGAGCTGCAACACAGTAGTAAGTGGGATGAACATAAGTAGTAACTTTGGAGATACAATGTTATGGTAGGGCTACCTCAGTGTTAGGCTTCCATAGTGATGGGCTACCGCAGTGAGGTGATGGCTTCATCATATATGCGGTCAGATGAGTTGATCCAATAACAATCCGTCATCGTACCCCGTCTACATGGGACAGTGTTTATAACATCAACCACGTCCTCGACTGTAAACCAGACGCCTTGATATAGCTAAATATTGCTGATTGTGGAATATAACAATAGTTTTTTTTGACAGTGTGAACTTAAATACCTTATACTCTCCGTCAGTATCAAGGTCAGCATCTCTGAAGTAGGTTCCAGAAAACATGGTGTCAGCCTTGGTATCTCTGGCCAGTTTGATGTCCACTTTGCGGGACTCGGGATGCACGTTGGCTGATCTGTAGGTCAAGGTCAAGCTGCGGTTGTTGCTGTCGTGGTTACGGTCAGACTCCAGGTACATCCACTCCGAGTCATCAAATCTGATTTGTCTGACAGGACATGGAGACCCATCGGTCACAGGGTGGTGCAGGAAGGTGCCTGAGGTCAGATGGTAGGTGTTAGAATGAAACAACTTCCAATCACATCTCATTTCATGACGAAAAGTTTGCAATTTTGCGACGTTACATTGTAGTGCATGGATGGCACGAGTGAATGAATCTTCTTTTATGCTATGGCCAGCAATAGCACAATAAGCCGGGTCACATATTGTCACCCAACTTTCATTTCAGGGAAAATATGTTTAACGAAGTTAATGATAGTTGCAAAGCCGACTCATGTATTATGACAGTGGATCGCCTCTTCCTCACACTGCTTAGAATCTGCAGACTGATTAACCTATTAACTGTACTTGGCTCTCATTAATCCCTAACAGACTGGTTTTATAGTGCTAGCTCACTAGGATACCATGCCGCAGTTACGCATGAATGCCCCACTCAGCCACATAATACTGACTCTGAGCCGACCAGTCCTTGTTAGACCCATTAATGCCTAGCGCCAGGCAGGCACCAACAAGTGCCACATGTTCTGGTATGACGCGGCCGGGGATCGACCCGCGACCTTCCGCTCTCCGGGCGGACGCTCTAACCACTATACCACCGAGGCAAAGAGTGCAATGCTTTTAAACATGAATTCAATGTATTTCTATATGTTAGTTCAACCGTATTACATCGCACTCTATGTTCTTTGTAATTTATTGTGAAATGTAAACACACTGAACCCAACCAAACTTTAAAGTATGGATTACCCGTAACGGTATTGGCGGAGCCGCTCCAGCTGATGTCGTTGGTGAAGTCGGGTCCGTCGATGACGATGCCTGGGGAGGGAATGGAGTTGTCATACAGGATTGGTGGGGAGTATAACATTGACTTGAGGCCAGCAAAGTTCTCCACCTCGAGACGCACAAAGTAGGCAGCATTGGCCTGGAAAGGAAAATCACAGAACGTTTAACATGTAACATTTGTAGGTGACTATGGCCTTCACTATGTCAAGATTCTGCAACGCACGATATATTTCCATTCAGTCTGATATGAATTTTGTAAATGTACCTGCAGTGTGATGTCCATGAATTTATAAGAAGTGTAGTTGACATCAATCTCTATGGATTCTACGACAGTTTCTTCCTCCGAGTCTTCGTCACAGGAGGCTCTCTTCAGCAGGGCTGCGTGGTAGCATCGGATGCCCGAGTCCTCATCACTGAAGCCTGTCCAGTAGGTCTGAAGACTCTCCCTGCTGGCCGAGTAACTCAGTTTCTGACAAGCGGAACAGTAAATTAGACAACAGTAGAGGTCCGCGGTGTTTGATCTTTGCTCAAGTCACGTCATGTCAATAACATTTCAAATTCACGGCAGGACACTGCCACCTTTACGTTAATATAAATTTGAATATTCATAATAATTCAGGCGACGGAATCCTTTCAATATCAAGAGATCTTTGCCAAAAACAGTGTTTGCTGTAAACTTCCCACTGTATCATAAGCTTTGCAATTTTCATCATTCCAGTAATAGACTTTTATTTACGAAACACAAGTATATATATTTATTTCAAGTTTGTTGACTATGAACCTCGAGATTTTTTCCCTCTTTTTGAACTTCATTTCTAAACTCAACTTGTTTTGTATGGAAGAAGCGATAATGTATTCCAGTGTAACAGTAAACGCATACACATAAAAAAATATGTCCTAAATATTGTCAATATATTGCCATATTTTATAATTAGATAAATGAGAGACATTTCAACTTCCTATGCCCACCACAGTCCTGCTTGTGGTCGGCAAGGCACGGTTGTATAAAGAACATTTAGCCATCCTGTTTAAAATACTGAAAATAGAGTGCACAATAAATCCATACACAATGTTGAGTGGTTGACTCGGACGCCTTTATGCATTGCTGAAGACATGTATGTATTGTCGATTTGATTACTAGGAAGCTTGAATTTCACTGGTAGTAGGATTAGAAAGTTGGCCCTATCACCAACATTTTCTTTAGACTGCATAACGCTACATATTTCTGGCACAAGTTACTGTCCTGGTGCGAGGAATACATTATTGTGGAAGAACCTGGTGGGATTATTCATATATTGTATTCCTGTCACGTACCATGTCATAATAGGGCCCTGTTCTGATCTTGCCTTTCACTGGAGGTGTGACGTCCACCTGGAACATGTGACTTGTCAGGTTGCACTCTCCGGCCTTGTCAGCACCTGGGATATGGAGCACACTTGTTAAATGAAATGTCGCTTTATCTAGGGAATTTTACACAAAACGAACAATAAAAAAATTAAAAGGACAATAATAAAACAAATTCTACACAAACCTAATGTTGCTACAGGAGGGATGTTGCAGCAGTATGAATGTCACCAAATAAGGGATGTGGCCACACGAAGGATGTTACGACATCGGTGTGGCCATATAAGGGATGATGGCATATAAAGGTTCTTGATACATGATGAATGACGAAGGATACAAATGTCAGCAACAACAATATACATTTCAACCACATTTTCCATTTATCCGTTTCTAAAAGTTTAATTCTAATATTATGCTATTTATGACACGACATTAATAGAAGATATTAATAATGGCTGATATCAAGAATGAATGAGAGATACATATGAGCTTTGGTGCTGTGTTTTACAGAACGGAACACTGGTAGTATAATGATGCATGTTTTCTCAGTTAAGATATGCACGTGAAAAAAGCAGAAAAACTTCATATATTGAGTTGTCAGCTTTTATGCTAGACGTTAGGCATATAACATCAGTTGCAACTAGAAAGTGTCATAGAGACATTTAAAAATAATTGAGTGGGTATGGTTTTACGTCGCTTCTAGCAATTATCAGGCAATACCACAGCGGAGACACCAGAAATGGCTTCACACATTGCAACAATGTGGAGAATCGAACCCGGGTCTTTGTCTTAAACCACTAGCCTACCCCACTGCCCATATATAAAATAAGTGACAATGGCAGCAACGATTGTTCGACTCGTAAAACAACATGAAGTATTGCTGAGGCAAAATATGACCAGAAGTCGATAGAAGCCAGTAGAGCTTTCCATAATGATTTTGTACTAGTAACAGAAGAGTCATCTGCACTCATTGTGCACTTGAACACGATGGCCTTGTTTGTGGTGAGTCAGAATGAGACAATTCCCAGAAGGATGGATGAACCTATCTTAGAGCAACAAGACTGTGATTCGAGGCATTGTCAAACTGGATCCTTTCAAATCTATTTGCCCAGGGCTCTTTGAATATACATCTGGAAATGCCAAATATATTTCAGCTGCAACACTATGTAACACGATTCAAGGATGGAGACTTTCGACAGTTACAACGTCCAGACATTTATGAATACACTCATTATAGTTCTTAGGCCTATTAGGCGGCAGTGGGGTTAGTCTAGTGGTTTAAACGTTTTCTCGTCACGACGGAGACCCGGGTTCGATTTCCCACAGAGGCACACTGTGTGAAGCCCATTTCTAAACTCAACTCAACCTTAGGCCTATATACTGAAACTGTGCCCACAATAATGATTGTTCGACATCGAGAGACGACATTTACTTACTTCACAGTATAATTCTGTGTGTATGTATTTCCCATTTAATCTCAGTGTATGGATTTGAAAACAAGAACATGACAAAACCTAAAACAAGAACATATGTCTATAACTTAAATGCAGTTTTGTGTGTTCCTTCTGACAACAGACATTCATAAGCTTCACGCAATCATATATCGTTGTTGACTGCTGTTGAGTACTGAAGGTCAGTTTCTCTCTCGTTAGAAGCTTGGTGACGATAGTAATGGCCAATGGAGCTAAATGTGTCTAAATATCATGCATTTCTCCTTTTTGTCAACTTACCAATGACCCAAGCATAGTAGACTCCATTTTGTTCCAGAGACAGATTTTCAAACTTCATGAAGGTGTCCTTCCCCATATTATGTAGGTCCACAACGTTGAAGATGCCTCGTCGCTCGTCGTCACTGACGGAGCCTCTTTCAGTCTGAAACATGGCACCAGCATTTGAGTTGCTTTTTAACTGAAACCTTACTACAGAATGTTCTAGTAAGCAGAGGTAATCGGTACTCACAAAATGTCCGCATTTATAGTTCTTCGCCACCGTGTTGTTGGAGAGACCGACGTAGTACATCATAATACCAATCTTGGATTCGAACCCGTCCCATGTTACATCTACATAGGTGTCAGTGTTGACAAATTCCTTCATGTCGATGAAACCCACTGAAACGTAAAGTGTTGAGAGGTGTTGGGGAAGTGCTGTTCATGCATGTATCGATATTGTATACAGTTTGTAGCACCAACAAACTGGAGAACAATAACCCATATACAGACATACACCGTTGTGTGGACTCTGATACACTCATACACCGTTGTGTGGACTCTGATACACTCATACACCGTTGTGTGGACTCTGATACACTCATACACCGTTGTGTGGACTCTGATACACTCATACACCGTTGTGTGGACTCTGATACACTCATACACCGTTGTGTGGACTCTCATGTGTCGAACTCACGGTTGACTCGTACAATATTAGTAGGACCCTTTGGCCTTGACACAATGGTATTTGGCTGTTTGGTGTCCGAAATTAGCTCAGATTTTGCTTGGGTGGACATAATCTTTGAAAACGCTATGAACACAATTTTATACTTTGTAAGCAAGAAGGAGCCTATGCAAGTGCTCTATTTCTTTCGTTATGTCTGAGTTTGAAGACATATTACAACACATGGGTCAACAAATGCCGAAAAAGTAAAGGTCTCACCAGAGACGCCTCCATCAAAGCCAACAGAGAAGCCATTGGACGTGACGGCCGTCTTGGACCCGGAAAGGCTGTGTGCTCTGACTGTGAAGTAATATATTGCCGTGACTGGGGTGAGGTCAAGGTCGTAGAAGGTCACAGTTTTGTTAAGGCCAACGTTGACAAACGGCATGACGTTGCCACGCGTTTTGGGGAATCGGCGGTCTGTTCCAAGGGCAACTTCATAGAAAGCGACTTCTTGGCTGGAAGATTTCTCTTTCTCCTCTTCGGGAACGTTTTCTGGAATGGCGAAAACGTCCTTTATAACAAAAACATATGCAAATACTTTGGTATTTTCAAGCATACAGCTATTCGATTACAACCGGAATCTGTTTTTGAAATATGGTATGCATATACATTCTCTCATCACTGGTCCCTTTTACTTCCTGTTTGAGCGACGTAGCAACTCTTCAACTATGCACATTTTATTATTATTTTATTACATATCACCACTATATTGTCTAACCTGCTTTTATTCCAGTTGGCACCCCGTCAGCGTTGCCATCGCTACCAAACTTGTCCCAGTTGGCGCTGACTTTACTTTTAGTTCGGAGGAACTGAAGGTCAAATCCCACGACATCTCCATCATTGACCTGTCCAGGCACCAGGGGGTCATCCTCGATGGTGATGCCGTTCGATCTGATGGTGTAGGTGTAGTTCAGGGCGTTGGTCACACGTAGGTATTGGCAGTAGCGTTCCATGTTACGCATGGCCAGCTGGTCGTTGACGCCATTAGTTCTTCCTGGAAATGCAAGACAGTTGATGAGATCCAGCAAACCTGCTAAACTAAGTCAAAGGTATTTTAGCTGTTTCAAGTCCGTAACCCAAACCACACTACTATATGCTGCTCATTGACAAAGTTCAGTAACAGTAAAAACTAATTTCCGTCTAGTCACCGATTGATTGATTTGGGAAATTCTGATGTAAATATATTGAGTCAAAAAAGAAACTTCACATTCTTTCTTCAGGTCACTATAAAAGAACAAGAGATGGTAAGATGGTTAAATTGTTATTATTTCATTGCTGAGATCTGTGTGATGTACTCGATACACTGACAGTGCCATAATCAGTTCCATTAGGCTACACAGCCGTTCCAAAAAATGGGTATAAAGAATGTCAAGTCACAAGAATAAAAATGCGAAATTTCTCAGTTCAAGATCGTGTATGGCCGCCCCGCGCATTCACCACTGCCAAACACCGTCTCCTCATCGACTGCCTGATGCTTGTGAACACGTGGTTGGGGATTCTGCGCCATTGCTCTTGCAAGGCAGCGCCAAGTTCCTGCAAATTCTGAGGTTGGGTCCTAAGACCACGAAGCCTTCTCCCAAGTGCATCCCAAACGTGCTCTATTGGATGAAGGTCAGGGGACCTCGATGGCCAGTCCATGATGTTGATTCCAGTGTTTTGAAGGAAATTTCGTGTCAACATCGCGGTATGCGGCCGAGCATTATCATGCTGGAACTGTAGACCTGGGCCATGAGCCGCCATGAAAGGAACGAGTTCAGGGGTGAGCATCTGGTCGCGGTAAGCAGCAGCTGTGAGGTTTCTACGGATGACCAGAAGTCGGGAACGGTTGTTCCCACAGAAAGCACCCCACACCATGCAACTTCCGCCCCCGAATCTGTCGACTTCCTGTACACAACATTGGGCATACCGTTCACGACGTCGTCTCCAGACTCTATGCCTGCCGTCCGCGAATCTGAGGGTAAACCTGGATTCATCGCTAAAGACGACTCGATTCCAGTCTCTCTGGGTCCATCGGAGGTGACGTTGGGCCCACAGCAGACGTTGATGTTGATGAAACGGCGTCAATATTGGCCCACGATATGGACGTCGAGAATGGAGATTGGCAGCCCGCAACCGATTTCGAATGGTCTGTGAAGACAGTCGACCTCTAAACATCTCAGCCCTGGTTCGTGTAGACGGCAGAAATCTGTCACGTAGGTGACGTAGGACGATTTGACGGTCTTCTGCTCGTGACGTCACACGTGGACGACCCGACCTTGGGCGATCAGAAGTGGTGCCAGTTTGTTGTAGACGACCTCGCAAGTCATACACAGTACGACGGCTGCATCCCATTGCTCTTGCGACGTCAATAACTGATCTTCCCGCTTGCAACATGCCAACGGCACCTTCACGTTGCACATTTGACAATCGTGGCATTTCAAGTACCGTTAGAACTGTGGTTTAAAAGTGTTTTTTTTCAATTCTTGAGGCCAATGCAAAAACGTGCATATGAAGAAAACTTCGATGCGAAGATCACGTGATCGACTGCACGTGCAAAACCTGATTTGGCACTAACGTCATTTGCACGACGAATGGATGGGTTTGAGTGGGTTTTGCTAACGTTTTTCTAGAGTCGAAAGATAGGGATCCCATTTCGGATACATAGATGTATCATCAGAGAAACATTATTCATTATTTTTCAAATTAGATTTTGTTAAATATTTTTTTTTGACTCAGTATATATTAATAGAGAAGGCCTGATTATTGCCAGCTGATGTTATAACGCCCACCTTCTGTATTGAAGTATTCCTGCACCCTCAGCCCGTCAGCCCTTTGTATTGCCCACTCGTACTTGACCACCGGACACGGGTCACCTGACACGTCCCACTTGGCCCCCATACGGGACAGACTTGTCTGGAAATCACTGTAGTGAGAAACAAGGTCCAATACTTATTCGGTATAAAGACGCTTTATATGAAATAGATGATATTTATTTACAATGGGTGATTTTTCAAATAGCCGTGTTTTCGGTGTCTTGGTTCAGAAGCTGATGCATGCAGCTTTACACTATGTTCACAGTCAATACTCACAGATCACCATCATGGCTTTCACCATCCCAGATTCCAATATGAGTGAGCGGTTCCAAGCCCTGACTGAGGTAGGACATGTAGATACCGTTAGACGTGGATATTGTGCTGAGATCAGCTTCATTGGTAGCTTTCACCGTCACAAATATCTGAAATGTAAACTTCATCATTAGAGCATTAGTTCAGATGAAGTTAATCGTAAAAATGCTAATAATATCTAAAATGGTATGACACCTTATTTGTGTTGTGTCAAACAAACTGTCGACAACTGAGTCATAGACGGAAGAGTTCCTTTTGTTCAATAGTAGGGGTGAATATTGAGGGGGAAACAACTATTGCGATAGCATAGTCTATTACAACATTCTATTGTGACATTCTGTTGCCATACTATTGCAATAGTTTTTCTCTCTCCTTGAATTGTCTTATTTGAATTCATTTCGCAAATAAATGTATAGTTTATTTCCACATAAAACCAAGTTGAAGTAGTTTCAGTCTCTTTTGATAACTGACAAGAGACTTGAAACCCAGATCAATTTGACAGTCATGTTTGTTTATGAGGTAACAGGGGCGGATAACTCTAAATCAAAGTGAACGAATCTGGTACTTCCTGTATTTTGCGCTGCGTATTTATCAGAGGAAGTTAATTACAAACCATCGATAGTCACACATACTATCAATGCATCGATAGTTTTTCGTTTCTACCATCTGTTAATTGCTATCGGAGACTCAACAACTGCAATCCATCGATAGTTCGATGTGCATCGCTACAGCCCTATTCAATAGTACACACATACTGTAGTTTGAATTTTCGGCAGTTTGATAGACACTCATACACAGGGCTTAGAGACAGTTAGGAGCTTTGTAATGTATTAGAAAAGCAATGAGAAATGCAACACTCAAACACTTGTCTATATTGTAATGTACAGAAGCAATAGTTTATGCCAATAATCGTACATCAATCAAAGAATAATAACCCTAATCCAAGAGATATTTCACCTGTCTCACTCCCTTCAGGTTCAGACCTGTGACCGAAAGGTATCTCTTTGTGACGTCATCAGTCTCAAAGAACCCCCTCAGTTGTCCCCCTCCAGGTGAAGTGCCAACAGCTATCTCGTACCTGAAGAAGCCAAAAAAATTGAAATCAGAAGAAACAACAAAGGCCTTTACACATAAACATTTAGACGTCCGAGAAGATATTGCTATTGTACTTATCAGCAGTAAAAGCCCCATGCTTATATTTTAGTACACAGAATATCTAAAATGCTGTGAAAATCCAAATCACGCATTTCTTTACTTACTTGACAATCTCTGTTTCTTCATCGTTGAAGGTCTGCCAGGCCACATTGACAGCAGACAGAGACTCCTGACACACAGCGTCTATAGCCAGGCAGTCTGTGGATATACAGTTGTATAGGATGTACACTTGTAACACATGATATGGGTAGAATGCATACATTTCGGCTACAGAACAGAGTATAAACAAATCCTTTAAGTACTGGGTGAAAATTAACCAGTTGACATCTGTTTAATATGAAGGTTATTGTTTTATAAACCAGGGGATTCTCATAGAAAATCGATTGTCATGACTCTATCAGCTAAGTCTGCGTTCATGATCGTTCTTTTTCGTTTTCTTTTTAGCATTTTTCTTCCATTGTATATTTAGTGTTGAAGTACAGCGGAACACGGAAACTAGCCTCTGCAGTTCTCAGTATTAGTAAAATATACCCCCCTACATGCTGGACCGTCATGCCACAATGTAGATAACGTGGAAGACACAATAAATGCACAATGGTGGTATTAACCTTCCTCTGTGTCACACTTGTTGGTGTTCAGTTTCTCGGTGACGATATCGTCGGTGACGTTGATGATGTAGACAGACTTCAACTCCACCACAGTGCCCTGCGCCGGGGGGGTGTTGTCCACGTTGATGGCGTTGGAGATGCTTGATGACGTCATTCCTAATTGGTTGATGGCTTTGATCTTGGCATAGTATCTCTGATTGTGGGTCACCTTATCAACTAAGCCTAAGTATAAAAACAAATCACTAATAAATTTCCTGTGCTTTCCATGAGATTACCTTACACGTCATTTTGAGACCATCGTTTAACATGGAACCCAACATGAACAGCAACAGGTACCCATTTTTCAAGATGAAGGTTTGAATAATTTTATACCATATTTTACACATAATTAAAGGTGTACGTTTTATACCTAAAACCACGTATCTTGCAGCATGTCCTGGCAGTTTGACAGGTGCGATGATGTCCTCCAGCCCCTCGTGGGAGCCAAGAGCAAACTCAAACTCTAAAATCTGACTCTCGGCGTCATAGAACCCTGTCCACGTGCACTCCACTGCAGACCTCGGCTGTCAACATGTACACACTCATTATGAAATCACTTCGTACAGTGTTAGCTGGACAGGATATGGGACCATTAAACAGAAACAGTGGAATATTAACTCATCATTAAGACTGTTTGAGTAATACTTAATACAATATACACATTAAATGTGTCAGACTGAGTCCATCTTATGGAAATACAGAATATTGAAACCACGTCGAATGTGCTTTGTTCTTAGGGTAATGGCGACTGATGTGAGTACGCGGATCTTTACAGCTGCACTTGGTACTGTTCTAATTATAAAATGGCAGCCTGTAAATAGTCAAGTCTGAACAAAGCAAGCCGCCACCCTCCACATGATCGATAATCAAACATTCAGCGAGGATATTGAGTTTGAATGGTTTAACCAGTTAAAAAGTCGACTTTCAGGACAAGCATGAGGTACTGGATCTTATTCGGATCTCTCACAATGGATTGGTCATTCGTGACCAACTCGTGTTATTCCAGGACAAGCCGAATAGCGACTCGTGCCCCTTTGGAAGGATTTCATATTGGCGTAGGAACATCAGAACTACGTCAAACAAGAACGTCAACTCAATTCCAACAGTAACATACATTACATACACACTCTAAAATTGCTGCTTTAAAACAAATTAAAAGATTTTAAGCAGTTAAAAAAATAAATAATAATAATGATGATTTGAGTTCGATCATGAATTATTGTACACCGTGTCTACCAGCTGTCTGAACGTGCATGTAACCTTGCTACCATAAACCAATCGGAATTTATGATGAATAAGCTTTCAAAATATTAAGGACCCAAGAAACATCAGACTAAAATATGCCCACTGAAGTGAAATGTAAGAACAGTGATTAAGTTTATAGTTAGCTTCGTTCTTTGTACTTTCATAAGAATAGATATTTTTTTTTTATGATTTTCTGACATCATGCCATAAACGATGTAAGTACTCGGGATTATTTTTATCAAGGCACCAAAATCATTACACGCGGTCTGATTGGTTTGTCGTATTTTCACACATAACAAGCATCGAGACGGGGACGAGTCTTCTTGGAGGTTACGGAAAGGGGCGAGTGGTGACGAATGTGGATTGACTTGTCCCTCATACCTGAATAAAATTTTCACATGTCAGTATTCCTTTTGTTGGAGATGAGATGTCAACCACAAGATATGGGGAGATAATACTTGCGGACAATCCAAGTTTATTTTCAGCTGTCAGAGTCAGAATATTGGGTTTTCCTGAAATATATATTTCGTGGAATTATTGTAACATACATAAATAACATCCGCTCTGCGCTGAGCACATAAAAACACAACATTTGACATGAGCGAAGCATTGACGTTTTTCTTTGTCGTCGGTTTTTTCAAACAAGGAGACATTTGAATTTTCAGTTGATGTGGGGATTCTTACATCAGTTGCAGTTCCTTTAACATTAATTTTTACTGCGTTAAACGTAGAAGTAACATCATACGAGCAGCATATTGCATCTATTCGTAAAATGATTAATAGCCTTTACCCCTCTTTGAATTGTTTACATGATACTAATAATCGCACGATGCTAAATTAATTTCATTATCCATTTCTGAACCCTGTCAGTTCTCACCATCAGTTGTAGGTTTGATGCCAGTGGGTAGCGCCCCTTCGCCGGTCAGCAGGATGTCCACCTCAGTCCTGGGCTGGACATCCTCCCCGTGAGGGTAAGTCCCCACAGAGTAGTACATCTTCTTGACTGGACTCTCACTGTCTGCAACCCTCCAGGAAGAGGAGATGGAGTCCACCTCAGTCTGGTACAGTGTCGTGGTGGAGGTCAGTCTGCTCTGGTTGCTCTCAGAGCCATAGCTGTAAGGGAACAAGAACAAAGTTTTGTTGAACAAGAATAAAGTATATATCGGCGGAAGACCCACTTTTCGTGGTTGATGTCAGCGCCACAGCCTTGCGCGGAATGTGAACAATGATTAGTTGTTGGGTTTGATATAGCTCTAAAAGTTCTCATAACCATCTCTTCGAATCAAGGTGGTGATACATTGAGAACCTATAGTTCCCAAAAAGTAAATATAGCACAGTTATAAAACAATCCTTGTTAACGGACTTGATTTTTTGGGTGCCTTTTGTTTACTATTGACAATAGAAAATACCTACTGAATGATGATTTGTATACATTGATGTTTACCTTTCCATGTGGATGTCAGGAGGAGTGATATCAACAGTAAATCCATCTGACGTGGATTCCAGGATGTTGCCACCGTTGGTGATGCCGCGAACTGTGGTGTAGTATGTCGTGCCGGGCGACAGCGGGAGGACAGTCTGACCAAAACCCATGCTGGCGATACCTTGACAATACGTCGTATTACGGTTATTCGTCAGTTCTTTTGTCATTGGTATATTCTAAAGCATACTTTATGTATTTTAGCTGTTGCATGTCTACGGTGAAAGGCTTTCAGACTCGTCAAGCAATGTCAGTAAGAAGGAATGTTTGTTTACAATGCTTGAAAAATATTTTGCAAATAAGAACTCGTCTGCTGAAATGTTCACCCTACCATTTCCTGAAACATTGGCCTCTGCTTCTTCGTGTATGAGGCCTGCCATGATGAACGGTTGCACTTCCTCGCCACCAGGTGTCGTCCCAATCGCCCAGTCATAGTACGTCACACCGTGCTCGTGGCTCTCAAACCCGGCAAACTGTACCGTCACAACTCCCGTGTCTTTCTGGTGGTCCATGTCGCTACCGATGCCCATGAAGTCAGTTCTCTCGGTGGAGTCGGCGCCGTCGATGACAATGCCTTTTGTACAGAGATTCATTCGGTGTTCATATAAGAGATAATGCAAATATATCATATAGATTAAGGTTATTCTTTTACTTACCCACAGTGATGCCGATGACGTTCACGATAATGACGACGATGATGCTGATGACAAACATACACAAATGACGATACATACCCGCTTTGTCCTGGTCAACGACCCGGATGGGGTTTGACGTGATGACGTCACTGGTGAAATTAGCTCCATTGCTTGCCTTTACAGACACATAGTATACAGGAGTCATTGTGTCAGGGTCGGTCACGGTCAAGGTCAACCCGTCCATGTATTTGTCTCTGTCAGAACCAAAGTCATTCCAGTTTAGGATATCGGTTCCACCTGAAAAACAATTCAAAGGATGCAACCAAATATGTAATTGCTTTGAATGGTGTAAGATGAGGCGATGTATAATGGAATGTTCTAAAATATATATCTAGTACACCGACGTGCAAGCATGTGTGTGTGTGTGCTTGTACCAGTCAAGTAGTCCTACAGAGATAACGTAACATGCATAATTGTGTTTCATATAAATACTCCTCTCAGACAAAGTGTACTGACTCCAGTCACCCGTGTACCCTTAGGTCCGCGCTGGGCTGAGCAACAAGTACCAACTAGATCTGTTTTGGTATGACACGACTAGGGATTCAAATCACAGACCTTCTACTCCCCTAGTACATTCTACTTAACTATACAGCAGAAGGCAGTTTTAGGAATATCTCTGGTTCAGTTAAGAACATACTTGGTTTCGATATCTTTAATATCGGGTTTGGTAGAAACGAAATTAATATCCGGAGAATACAAACCATTAGTGGTTCCAACTGCGACCATGTACGACTTGATTCCACTCTCACTGTCCGTGGCAAACCAGGTGGCCTTGATAGCGCTTGGGTCAGACTGGATAACGTAACCGTCAATCAACTCTTCTTCACTGCCAGAGAAAATGCCAACGTAGACCCATTCCATCTGTAACGAACAAGAATAGATGGTGAAACTCTTTTAAAATGTTCAGTGATCCAGTTAGGAAACAGACATATTTTCGTAACAGCCGTCTGATACCTTTGAATACCTAACACAAACCTTTGGGACGCAGATTAGTAGAAATGCCAAGCATCTCAATGCTTGTTGTAAGAGCCAAGAGAAGGAGGCCATTATGCCCAGAGGCAGTGTACATTTCAATAGGTATGAACTGGTGTAGTCCACTCACCCATTCATACATTCAAAAGTTTGGACTGTGGCCATTTAAACAGTCTGTGCATAAGACTCGATTTCCCTCATATGTAAATTAAGTGAACACCATTCAAATTGGGTAACACACGATAATTGGTACGTTCTATTATTTTAAGAATAGAGACCTCATATGTAACTACCTGAGGTGGAGTATTATCAACAAGGACGCCGTTTGTGTCGTAGGTGGCTACGGCCCCGGCTCTGTTGACGGCCCCGACTCTCACACTGTACTGTGCGCCCGGCCGGAGACTCAAGCCTGACTGACTGAGGCTGGTGATGCTAGGGTCGCTGGAGGTCTCCCAACCTTCTGAATCTGTTCCCGTTACGTAATATATAGTTAAAGATACTTCTAAACAGGTTTCATCGTTTCCTGTGAACAAACACTTCTTTTCAAATTATTAAAGTCATGTCGATTTCAGTCCAGTCGTCATGCATCTTGAAGCACAATGATTTGTTTTCTTTAGCAGCCCAAAGATTCGCAGATCCTCTGTTCCAATGACAGATAGTACTATATTCGTGCCTATGGTCAAAATGGATTTGTCTCCAGTCTGAAGCTCACATACTATGACATCATACTCAAGTATTGTTCCAGCGAAATAATGTACGTGCATGAAGGTCTGTACTGACTGACTGAGTTTGGTTTTACGCCGCTTTTAGCAATATTCCAGCAACATCACGGCGGGGGACACCAGAAATGGGCTTCACACATTGTACCCATGTGGGGATTCAAACCCGGGTCTTCGGCGTGACGAGCCAACGCTTTAACCACTAGGCTACCCCACCGCCCCATGACGGTCTGGAACATTATCGTGATGCTTATATTGATGTAAATATTCAGAGCACGTGATACCCGTTGTAAGGCTGTTACGTGTAATCCAGAAACAGAGATCGCGTGCAGTTCATTAACATGTTACGAACCTGGGTATATCTGGTGTTTTGACCCATGGTAAAGCTCATACACCTGGTATTTGTAATGATCCATCCCGGATTCGTCGTCCTTAAACCGAAAGTTGGCTTCAACAGTAGTGGTGGATGTCTGCAAGTAGATAGTGAATTATACCTGAGTAAAAAGTATGAGTGTGCTCAGCTTACAGTAATAGTTAAGCCCTTCAAAAATCCGCTTTGCTTTCTGCCACAAATCTAAAGGAGATGCATTGATTTTATAGAAGGACAAAGCTTGGGGTGCATTCCTGTTCATGTTTCAAGCTAAAAGAGAATACATGTATTGCCGAAACGAATTAACGACACCGGGTGTTCTAACAATGAATTTGCAATGACAGTGAAAACACCGAAAGACACCCCGCGGTTTAGACACAGTCTCTGGTTAAGTCTCACATGCTTTATTTAATGAAACTACCAATGCACTGAAACATTTCTACAGTTTCTATTTGTCAACTGTAAAACCTATTACCAAACAATTATTGTTTTCAGCTGTATTCTTGCTCCATGCAACGTCTCAGTGAAGTAACATATTCTTTTCAAATAGTTGTCATGACAAGAGCATATTTCTTTTCAATTTGTTTTCTTTACATGTTTTACGTTATGGTGTTTATCGTATCCTGGCGAAAATATTCCAGTTCCATTTCAGAACAAACATGATGGATAATTCTCTTTGACACTATACACACAGAATTGGTGTACATCTGGATGACCTGAAGGTATGGATGGTTGATAAATACAACATGTTTGGATGTTCTTGATCCTTCTTCAGATGAAAGGACCGCCGCCGTGGTGTAGTGGTTAGAGCGTCCGCCCAGAGAGCGGAAGGTCGCGGGTATGATCCCCGACAGCGTCATACCAAAAGACGCTAAAATATGGTACTTGTTGGTCCCGGCCTGGCGCTCGGCATTAATGGGTACAACAAGGACTGGTCGGCTCGGAGTCAGTATAATGTGTCTGAGTGGGGTATTCATGCTTCACTGCGGCAAGGTATCTCAGTGAGCTAGCACTATAAAACCAGCTTAAGTCTGGGCTAGTACAAGCAGCCGCACATACACATACACACGCATGCACGTCGTCATATGAGCGAAGTATTCTCAAGCACGACGTTAAACCCAATTTCACCTCACCTCACCTCAGATGAAAGTGAGGTGAGGTAGGGGATATGCACACAGTTACAATGTCAATGTTGAGTGTAAATAACAAGGGACAATGAAGACAAATTAGTTTTCATATTTGAAAAAGTAGAAAGAAAACGTCATTGATCCTACAAATGTCACCCAGGACTACTGCGACGGTATGGTAACCTGAATAACGTCATTTCAGAAATCATAACAAAACATAACATGTAATGTAGGCACTGTGCTTAAGGGAAAATATGACCATATGAAAATTTGACCTGTTCATGCCGGCTAAAGATCTTGGTCATACTATTGTTGTCAAGCATAATGAAACTTACATGGGACAGTAAAAGGTTGAATGTGTGTTTTATGCATGAACGCACCTGGATCTTCGCATCTTTGGTCTGTACGTGTCAACTATAGATCGAACCTATACTATTGGTGTAAAACATTTTCAAAAGACCTACAAGGCCTACTTAAATAGACAGAAACTTGTTGAATGTATGGATGTCCCACGCTTTGTCATCACAGGTGGTATCACGCCAATGCCTCACCTGGAAGTCCGTGTCTTTGTTCTGTTCACGTCCATCACCTAGGAACACCATCCTGGGCGGAATGAGATCCACCACAAACCCATCTGTTGTCTGTTCTACAGAACCCAGGGCGTTGTTGATGGTCTTCAGTTTCGTCTTGACAATGTCCTGATGGTTCAGGTGGAAGCTGTGCAACTCGATCTGGCGGATGTCTTTGGACAGAGTCTTCCAGTCTCTTAATACCTCAAATTCTGATGACAGCCCTCTGGAATACGCATGAGGTATTTCGAAATGAACAGTTGTAAAATTCCCGTTGTATTCATAATTATATTTCCAAAGACACTGTTTCCCAAAATTGATCTTTCTTTTCCACACTTACGCATGCGCTGTTTATATGAATGCATACCCCTTCACTTTTTCAATTCTGTCCCAATTAAGAATAATGCAATTCAGTGTTAATCTTGGATATATGTATACGTGGCATTTCAAAAGACAAACCTTGACTCAGTGAATCGTCTATTCCAACTGCTTCCTCAGTTAGATGATCCCTGCAACTTACTTTGCTCTTAGTATCTGAACAGCATACTCTCTTATGTCGGACTCGGGGTCACTTTGATTTCTCCACTGGGTTCCAACTGTAGCAACGTGGGCACTGAACTCAACGTCGACAAAGCTTTCCCGTATACCGTCGACAACATCACCGGGTACAGGGGCAGTCAGATCCACGATCACTGGAAAAGGGTCAGTATTCCAGTGATGTCATAAGGTGTTACGTGAATGGACATGTGTATGGACACGGGGGTAGGGAGTGGTTCTGGCAGCCCTGGTACCTATGTTTTAGATATGTATCACTGTGATGAAGTTTATGGTGCTAATAATATAGAGATCCTTAATGTGGGCCAACCTATGATTTGAACCCCTGTGAGGCAATCCAAATGTGGACCTAATTCGTGTCATGCAAGAAACCTTACTAAGTGAGTCACCCTTGTCAGTGAGACAACACTTAGTGACCAAGCAAACCATTCTGGATTTTAAGTTTACGACAACATCTGGATGTTTGGGGCGAATTCTACCCGGGATGAACACTAACATGAACATGAGAGAAGCTCCTGATCATTGTCGTCTATGACCAGTTATCCACCCCAATAATCTTTTCCTGCCTAGTGAACTATGAACGTAACACGTTGTCAAATGAAACCTGTGTATTTCCATGATGCAACCTTTACACTCTCCCACTCTCCATGTAAGCATCCATATAATTACATTTGCCACACATCATTACCTCCATCTGACATTGCTGAGACGTTCAGCTGTTTGTGGCCAGCATTGAACGCTGTCATGAAACATCTGTAGGCCTTGCCGTGTTCGAGCCTGTGGTCAGAGCCCAGCTGGACACAGGTATCGTGTGTCTTGTGGTCAAGACTGACCAGCTCGGAGATCGTTGTGTATGTGTCATCAAGAACCGACACCTCGTAGCGGGAAATACCCGATTCGGGGTCATGGAACCCAAACCAGTTCGCACAGATCTGGAATATACAGATTAGGTCTCTTTGTAGGCGGAAAACCAAACTCAAACTAGATGGTGTCGTTATAGACGGGAAAAATGTTTGGGTAAAGGCATGGACATATGTGGAACGTTAACGGATATTGGGGGATGAATATTTAGGTAAATCGAAAAATTATATATTGCTATCACCTATTTACTTAGAACGTTTGATAAGAAATACATATCTACCTTATCAGCATCCTTGGTAAAGTTGAGGTCATGTCTGAAGAAGGGTCCGTCATACACAATGCCTGGTTCAGGAGGAGATATGTCCACTATGATCGGATAGTCGGACACGCCCACTGTCATCAAATCAACTGAAACACAAAACCAATATCCGATGCGTTAATGTGTAATGTGCCAAAGAATACATGTGTTTTTAAGCCGCGAGGTCTCAAGTTGAATTTACCGTCAGACACGTATCCTTGGAATACGAGGTGACAGAAGAGGAGCATGATATCAGTGTCGGAGACCTGGTGGACTCCACGGTTTTGAATCACGGGGCCGAAGTTCTTAGATGGAATATATCAACCCATGTTTTGTTTTACCCCGACGCGATCATTTACCGCAATACAAATAAACAATCTACTAGTATATGCACAATTTTGTTGGAGTTATACATCGAGATACTGACAGTTATGTAAAACAAACTATACGTCAATGAAACGAACGTCCTCTGTGCCAGGGGAGACATCAATGTTCAAAAAAGCAATTGCTTCTCATAGACGAATGTTTCAATTTTCTTTCAGTCATCACGATATATAGTCTCAGCCATGGTTGATGGCTCAAACTCAGACAGCAGCTCCATGTGGAATCTGAGCCTGGCAATTGAGGCGCCATAATTGTTACAATACTGATACTTTTACAAACCATTGTTGATGACTCGGACTTGAGCACACATAGGAGATCCATCCGGGATCTGGAACTCCCACGTGATCTCACCATAATTGGTACAATACTGATACTATTACAAATCATTGTTGATGACTAGGACTTGAACCCACATCAACGGTTCCAAATGAATTCCCGTGCTTCAAATACTCAATAACACCCGGAAATTGGCCAACACATGATGTTTATCGACATTGTAAACACAAAAGTAAACCAAAAGGTCCACACACGTTTTTGTGTCTGCACTCATTGACATCGTGTACGGGTACAGCATTGAAATGATATCAACCGGCCGTTTCGGCTGTCTCTCATGGTAGCATCTGGAACTGCTCATTTGTGACGTCATTCGGACTTTACGTCACAATATGATTTGAATGATGTCATCACAGCTGACGACGTAACAATACAATGGTGTGAGCGATGTTTGTATGTATTAATACGCAGCGAATTTCCGGGAATCGAATACCATTTGATCACGCTTTTCAACCAATCAGATTGAAGAACACAGTGACTTTTGGTTTACAATGTTACATCATTGTTACAAACCTCTACCTGTAACTCACCATTGTTGAAGACTAGGACTTGAACCCACATCAACGGTGATCATTGTTACATCATTGTTACAAACCTCTACCTGTAACTCACCATTGTTGATGACTCGGACTTTAATCCAGACAGGAGTTCCACCCGGGATCTGGAACTGACGGGTGATGTCGCCATCATTGTGGGAGGACCTCTGCCAGTCCATGTGAAGACAGTCACGTATGGTCCGTCCAAGACACAAGTCTGCTTCTCTGATGTCTGAATCTGGGTCCCTGTGAATGTATGTATCAAAGACTAATTATCATCAACAGATATCTAAATGGTAACGATGCTGTTCCAATTTCATCCCAGTTCAATTTAACACCGAGATAGACAACATTTCAAATATACACGTCAACACAACACCTGGCGTTATACTGCGCATTGATGAGGAAGGTGTCTTCATCATAGGAGACGTTGTAGACTTCAAATAGGAGTGGTGGTGAGTTGTCCACCACGAGCGGCGTGGTGTGGCAGATTGTTGTCACAAGTGGACCTCCATAGTCAACTTTGTTCAAGGCCCTCAGTGTGATGTAGTATTTCCCATCTGAAACAAGACCAAAGATGTCAAGTTTTCTACAGTGGCCGATCTTTGTCTAATATGTATTGCGAAATGTGTGAGATGACTGTTGTTTCACACTGTTGAAGAGTTGTCATAAACCGACAGCCTCCACATAATCAATTCCAGCTTATACTTCGAGACAACCACAAATTCGACACATCAAAGGTCGATACAAAGGTTATTACACTGTCATATGTTTAAGAGACCTATAATTAAGTGTTACCAGGGAGAGGGTTGTGTGGAGCCGGTATAGGGGAGATGAGTCCAGTGTGGGTCCACTCTGATTCGTCCAGCAGGTGCTTGTGAGGGTCATGATGGGGGTGAATCAGCTCCTCACAGATTTGTGTCCCTACAGTCAAGGAGTAACCCAGTATGCCCGTCTCGTTGTCCGTGATGCCGTCCCAGTTAGCTTGAACAAGGGTGCAAACAGAAAATCGTCATAACAATGGACATGATGGTTTCAGAATGATGGTTTGAGGATGATATCAAGAAGAAACGTGTTTAAATAGATTACCATACATCACAAAAGTATACATTGAAAAATGTAAGCCTAAAACGTTTTCAACTATGTTCGATAATGTCGACAGACAAAGAAGGTATTTTTGCACATAAAAGAACATTTAGGTTAGTAAACGGAAAATGAAAATGAATACAAATGAATACCAAATTTCATCAAATATATCTGATCCATAAAACAAAGAACTATAGACCCATTTCACCAACCTGATACGTATTTGTTTGCTCTGGTGTATAAGAGATCAGTTAGGGGTTCGTCCCCATTGAAAACGGTTTTTGATCCAGTGCCGTCATGAATTATCCTGAAAATGAAACGATTACCTCGACAATAATATTTTAAGTCCATTGCAATACATACAAGAACACATGTTGTGATCTTCACTGTTTTCTCTTGGAAGTCAATAAATAAGCGACATATTTTAAAAAGGGTAACCTTGAACCTATCATCACACGGAAATGTTGGCAGTACACCTATGACGTTAAATGTACAGGACCATTTTCTATTAATTATTGGAGTTCAGATTACTTTAGCTTGTATAAGGAGGTGTACAAGAACATAACCTGAACATAACTGTACAATTAAAATTATCATGGGAATGGACGGAATAGACGAACGAATAATGCATTATTAAGATCTGTCTTTATCGGTCGTTACAATAATGTTTTTCAGAATAAACCTCGACTTCAACGTGGTGACATCAGATCTCTCACCTGTGGTTTTCCGTCTGACTGTTGACACCGCGGCACTTGACTTCCCAGTCTGATCTGTCATCTGGAACCACACTCTCACATGAGGTCACCTCCAGGACATCCAGACTGACATTAGCCAGTGGACCTGAAAACCAAGTTCAGATAAACAAGGGGATTTGTGAAAACGTTGCGCAACATTTTAACGTTATTCTTTGAGTCATCATACAGTACAAAACATAGATCTGAATAAGTAGAGAAAGGGTATGGCTGTATTCACTGAGGGGGCGGTGGGGTAGTCTAGTGGTTAAAGCGTTGGCTTGTCACGCCGAAGACCCGGGTTCGATTCCCCAAATGGGTACAATGTGTTTTGGTGTCCCCCGCCGTGATATTGCTGAAATATTGCTAAAAGCGGCGTTAAGCCATACTCACTCACTCACTCACTGTATTCACTGAGCAATGCCTAATGTGAAGTAACAGAGAAGTGGAAGGAGCGTCACTCAGTCAGTGACATGTCCCTGATACCAATCATAGCTATTCACGTTCTTCCAGGCCAAGGCTGGTTGGTTTGTTTGTTGTTTAACGCCGCACTCAACATTATTCCAGCTGTTTGGCGGTGGTCTGTAAATAATCGAGTCTGCTCCAGACAGCCCAGTGATCAACAGTATGATCATAGATCTATGCAACTAGGAACCAAAGACACGTGTCAACGAAGTGACCACCCGATCTCGTTAGTCGCCTCTTACGACAAGCATGGATTGCTGAAGACCAATTCTAACCCGAATATTCACGGGTTTCCAGGCCAATGACACAATAACACAACAAATTCAGGCTAAAGTTAGAACTTACCTGGTTCGGGAGGCGTTAAATCAACCACGACCCCCTTGCTATGGAGAATGGAATCAAACTGGAGGTTGTTGATAAGATGAAGGTTGAAGTAGTACATGATCCCGCGACGTAGAGACAGATCCTTGTAGATGAACTCGTGGGCAAGACCAACTCCAAGCCTCTCATAGTGAGAATACTGATCAGACTACAAGGATAAAGAATGATGTGTGGTTAGCGTACATCATACATGTCTCAAAAGAGTTCTTGAAATAAAGTACTTGAAGGTACGAACGGTAGGCCTCATATTTCACTTAAGAAATGTTTTCACCGTTACGTGTTGAGACCAGTTACGCATTTGTGATGGTGTGATATCAAATCAGTATTTTAACTATAGACTATTTAACCAGACTCATGTTTCCCGTTTTAAGGTAGCAAATATTCAATTGGGACATAAACAGGATGGTGATGAATATTTAGAGAATAACCCATGAGGTAAGAGTGATTACCGGAAATATGTCCCTCGTGAAAGTAATGTTCACTCTCCCGAGCTTTAGCGAGGTACTTGAACATTAATTTCACGAGGGACATATTTAACTTAATCACTCGTGCCTCGTGGGTTATTCTATTACTACCCATTATGTAATTACACCTAGAAACCAGTATATATATGAACTCACTGCAGCACCTTCTTATATAAGTGTCTACAACGTAATCAGCTGATATCGACTAATGCGTGGATGTAACCAAATTGCTAATGGAATTGCATACGAACCACAATATAGTACTGTAGGAAACGGTATGAAAAATAACACAATTCATCAGTTCAACAGTTTCCTAAGTCGTTTGATGGCAATTTTAATAACCACACCCCCTCGTAAAGATAAGGTTATTTACAACACGTACAATCTCATATTCAATGTTTAGTGAATCGCAAACGTGTCGATCTAGCCTACTCGTGTCAGAAGGTGGGTGACTGTTCTTGGATACAAGAAAGCAAAAACCCTGTCAGTTTTTTAACACTTACTTACAAAACAGTGGAAACCTCTAAGGGAACAATAAAACGTAGGAATGGTGAACCTTTTTTCAAGAAGACGGTATACTGTTCAGTTGAGAACGTTTGTCAGCATTTTGCTGAAACGGATTGACCTAGTTTGGGCTCGCGTTAGTGTCCTTGTCAAGAACGATAACTCTAAATTTAGTCCAAGTCGACAACAGTTTTTGTTCGCAGCTAAAACGTTGTCAATGCCATGGTCAAAAACAGGAACAAACCTGTCAAAAGTTTTGTATTCGATTGTTTGATAAAAATAATTATCTTGCAGTAAGTCATTTATGACACTCTCAGGCAAGTGGTGACTTTGGCGAGATGCCAGGTCACTCGATATCGTTTCCGGCAACACTTTCAGTCTATACCTTGCGACTACCATTTCAACATATTCAGTGTTTATCACATACACGTGAAACGAATTTAGTGGTTGCATTAGTCCCGTTACACGTCAAGTAATGTCTCCGTCTACCTTGACCCAGTCATTGACTTTGATTGGAGTTAAATGGGTAGCCACGTTTGTTTACAAAAGACGATTTTATCAATTCCAGACAATTTCTTATTACAATACATGTTGTTAAGTAAACGACGCCATGTTTTTAATGACGTATGAAATAACGCATTAAATCAGCATCAAAATCGAAATCCTGTATGTTTTTTTTTTTGGTCTATTCTAAAATCTCGAATCATTGCGAATACAGCATTGTGATGTTACGCACAAGACGTTTAATGGCTAGCTTGTCCGTTGTCAACGAGGGCGATGGAGACGCCACTGATCCGCCATAACATGACTGAGTTCTGTCTAGAAGAAACGTTTGCGCATCGCGCAGGGGAAGAGGTTTAGTTTTCTCGAAGTATACGGAAATTACCGAGGCCTTGCGAATGATCACTTTTGAAACAACGTCGCTGATTGCACAACTAAATCTGATTGCCTCCAATCACGAGTCTTGAACGCTCACACCATGAAAGAGCCGTATTAGAACAGAGGTTACGTAGGAAGATATGACAGGAGTAACCTCTGTGGGAAGAGAATGATATGATGAATGAATGTAGTGATGCAAAAGTACATCCAGCATCCAATGGAAATGTAAAAATATACGATCTACCAATCAACGTCGAGGATCACTAAATTGCACACTGAGCAAATATAAAAAAAGATATCCCACGTGATCTCCTCGCCCGTATGGGTAATATTGTATCCTGCCTATTAGTCAGGCTTGTGTTTCAAATGCCGTGAAAAAAAAGCTGACAGACAAATTGAAGGAAAAGTAGTTATCGTGGATTAGTATCGCCGATATTTGTTTTGCCCAAAAGAAGAAATACAGCGATGTATATAAGCCAACGCAGAGTGTTGACAAACAAAACTGGCAACATGTTGTCATATGAAGGGGTGAAATTCAAAAGCAGTGAGGAGGACAAGCTTACTCATCCGAGGCCATCCATAGTTAAATATCCTCACACCTTGCCATTTAGTCTATTTGTCTCTGTTGTTTTATATCTTTTCAAAGCAGATTTCTCAGTGGACAGAAGACGATTCTAAATGAATCCACATTTACAAACAGATTACAATATATATTATTTTACTGAACATTGAATATTGAGTCTATGCATGTGATATGGTGTTGTTTCAGTGAATAGACAGATGCTGTGATGCATCCGTTTGCTAAACTAATGTATCTATTATGTGAACATTAAATCAATCAATCAATGAATCAATCAATCAATAAAAGGACACGGAAGATATATTACTCAATCCAGCAGCATATGTTATAAATTCTGACAATTTCGGAAAAGACTCAAATTCAATAATGTCAAAAATGTGAAGTTTTCAGCTCTATACACCATCATCCCAGTCGACACACTTCAGGAAAAACTGTTTTCCTTGAACCATGGAGCATGGGCCAGAAACTGTGTTGCACGGATACCGCTACACTTAATCTTCAGAGATTCAGGTCGAACAAAAACGTCAGTGTAAAACAATACGACAACTGACCCCGATCCATTGATAATAAAGGAACAAAAAAAGACGGAATTATCGGGAATGGTTCTGTCTTCCGTCACTGATACGTCAACTTTTGGCTACAATGAAACGGTCTGAAACCTTTCAGATGCCTTCACATAGCAATATGGCAACCGTTATCACACAACCTTTGAGCAAGATAACACCAATGGGTAGAAATATTGTGTTAAAATCATTATTACTACCTAAACTAAACCATTTATTCAGCAGTATACCAAGCCCACCTAAAAATATAATAGAAGCTTTTCAAAAGAAATGCTTTCAATTTGTTTGGAAATTTAAACCAGATAAAGTCAAGAGAGATACAATGTCACTACAGCCTAAGTATGGTGGCATAAGTGTACCCATATTAGAAAAGTTATTGCAGCTCAGAAACTTTGTTGGATCAAAAGACTATCTGTTAGTAAGTCCAAATGGGCATGTTTCTTTTATGATCATTTAGTTGAGGCAAAAATAGTAAATTTGGCTGATGCTTTCTACATAGAAAACAATATTGTCCAAAATATCCACAACCAATTTTGGAAAGAAACACTGTCAGTATATGCATCATATTTAAATTGTTGTGATAATATGGAACTATCTGTTACGGATGTATTGAATAAGTCAATCTGGTACAATAATAACATAACAATTGATAATAAGCCAGTATATTTTTCCCATTGGTATGAAAAAGGTATAACATATATTAACGATTTCTTCAACGATACAGGAAATTGGTTTAATTTCCATGAATTTATTCAAAAATATACTTTGAATACAGACTTTTTAACATTTCAAGGGTTGAAACAATCGATCGCCCAATACCTACAAAGAATTAACTTAGTTAAATACAAGACATCTCTCAAACACCAATATTACCTTGTAATATTTCTAAAATCAACAGTACTTCAGGTAGTAGATTATTTTATGAAATGTTGCAAAATTCTAAATTTACAAAACTTAAAAGCTATAGCAAATGGGAGCTTTATCTTAATAAACACATTACTGAAACAGAATGGATAAACTATAGTTTGATGGCAAAAAGATGTACACAAAGCAGTGACTTAAGATGGTTTCAGTTTAAGATTTTACATCATATTCTCAGCACTAATTGTTATTTATATAAGATTGGCTATGTTAAGTCACCAGCATGTTCATTGTGTAAAGATCCAGCTGAAACTATAGCACATGTGCTTTGTAATTGTCAATATGCAATAGATATTTGGACAAAATTTACTGAATGGATTGAAGGATACATCGAAAGTAAACTTCATTTAAGTGAAGAACATATATTATTTGGATTTAAAGGTAAACATAATAATCCTCTTAATGTGGTGATAATAATAATCAAATATATGTTGTATAAATGTAGTAAGAAAGCAGTGAAACCTAATTTTATATGGTTTCAAAAAGAAGTATTTAAATATTATGAAATCTCAAAATTTATTGCCTTTTCTAATTGTAACTATGCAAGTTTTCATTCTTTCTGGTCATCCTTCCATTTACTTTTTTCGAAATACTATAACTGACTGACTGTAACTACATGTATTTTGTATATATGTGTACTATATATATAAGAGGTGATGTACACATTATGTATTTACATCAACAGTACTCACTGTACACTTAAAATACTTTCAATTGAAGAACATAAAGCTGCTGTAATGGAAATTGTAACATAAAAATGGAAATAAAAAAAACAAAAAAAACAAAAAACAAAAAAACAAAACAAAAAACCTTTGAGCAAGAGCTGTAAGCAGCTTTTGGAAAATTCTTAGAAATGGCATGCTCAATTTGTACATTGACAGGAAAATTTGACTATTGAGCAGCTGAAGTTATCCCTCTTGTCATACAGTTGAATCATAAATAGCAGAACTAAATATGAAACAGGAGAAGCGGTTTCACTTTCGTAGATTCTCGGTTCATTTGGGTAAAGCAGTCATGCAGAATTGGCTGTTTCATCGCTATTAATCGATATCAAATAACTTGGCCAATTTCCTTCATTTGATTTCACCCAACCGACCAAGACCTCTGATTAAAATGCATAAAGAAACAAATCGATTGGGTACAGAACACAATGGTGCACTTGGAAATTTCTACACCTCCCTTAATGTCTTATCCCCAAATTTTGTAGTTCAACACTTTACGTGTTGTCTCTTTCATGAAAGTTTCACAGCTATTTTTTTCCTTACATCAAAGAAGATCAGTTTGTGAGGATAGTCGATAATGGGTATTCTTTTGCACAGAGATTGTCAGAATTTTAAACACCTGCTGGATTGAGCAAACTTATATTATACACTGTATAATCATACACAGCATATACACATGTATGAGTTTTCACATACAAATGCCTTATTTTACTTAATCTATACATACAATGACGATCTTATGGTCGTGTCCTTCAATGCCTTCTAACAGTTCACAATGTCCACTTTTTCCAAAGTCGTAGTTGACGCTCATACACTTGGACGCCGGGAGCTTCATACACTCCTTCACACACGAACGGGTGTGGTTCATCCTGAAGAACTCGGCAAACACTGGGCCAATCAGCCGACCTTTCTTCAGACCCGTGAAATGTTTCAACGCTTCATCGCCATACTGATCAGATGAAGCTGTAAGCAGTAACAACAATCATTCTTCACATATTCAAACTGTTAGGTATGATCGTATATTATTTGAAAATGTTCATTACGTTTTTGGATATTAATGTTGCTACAGCATCAAGTACCAAGACAAACTACCTTATTTAATGCACATGAAACGTCAACCATATCTGGTGTTGAACTGTATACTACGGAGTGCTCGTTGTGATAATGCACTGATATACATGAAAACACTTTGGAAACGTATAAGAAAACAAATGAAACAAATTTTAGTATTGCAAAAGCTGAATTATAGTAATCTTGATTATTTGTCACCAAACTTCATTTCCACATCTTATGTTTACTGTTTACTTTTTTTGTTGATCTATTTTCATTCATAACAATTCATAAGCAGTAAATTTTCAGTTTTACTGGAGATCAAATGATATAATGTGTTTTCCGTACGGTCATAGTGTGCATTGTTTCTGTCCTTCAGGTTGACCGAGCTGTAGGCTATTATTTCATCTGCGTAGATTCCCCTTCCCAGTCCGACACCCACAGAGGATTTAACCAGATCGGAATCTTCATACACCACCACGTTCCCTCTCAGTTCAGCTGGGTTACTGGTTGAACTAAAGTCCGCTGTCAATCTGCCACCAGGGGGCGTGACGTCATAGGTGGGGATGCTGCAAGTCACGGTGGATCTCGCGCCTGCGCTGTTCTCTCCATACACCGTGAAGTAAACTGGGACACCGTGACTATTTTGGGGAAAAGGCTGAAATGGATAATGTCATCCTATGCACAATCCTTTAGCGGTTTTTGGTATGACTCATAAACCGAACCACCGACCTTCCGTTCTGTAGACACTGATCTGGTCTGTCAATAACATAAACAGATACTTGAAAATATAAATTTCTCCGTTTTGCCTCTGTAAGAGATCTCTGCGATATCTTCTCCCATCAAGAGAAATACAAATATTTTTCACAGAAAGATTATCTGTAAAGGAAGTACATCAATATCTAACAATGACAGTGATTTTCAACATATTCAAAGTGCGTGGTTCTTATCACTTTATGATATAACATTTGTTATATGAAATATCATAGCAATGACACACAGGTGAGATGAGTATTGTCCCAAAGTCAACACTACACAAATGTGTCTGGGGCAAGTAGTACTGTGCCAATTGTTTAATCACTTTAGACAATCACAATGCTTGGTTTGGTGCTCATCAGAATAAAGTACTGAACTGGACAGGAAATTCGACATACCCAGCTGGCAATGACAGACACCACACCTTATACTCAGGGAATGATGTGACATTCTCCTACGTCGGCTCCATACCTGAGTGATAATAGCAGATGGTCCACCAAGGCTGGACTGTCTGAGTACATCACTGAGTCCAGGTTTGGTGCCAGCATCCACAAAGATCTGGACCTGACTCCGGTCATCCTGGGCAGCTATGGCTATCTCTACAGCCGGTTCTGTGTAGTCTCTATTGGGGAGTTGTCTCACTAAGCAGCTCTGTGATGTGGACACTGGCCTCTTCTTTCGGCCAGAAAACACCTGATGGAGACGCATAGATATGCTTCACTCTCTCATTTTGTCTAGTAAATTCAGCTTAATGTCTATCATTAAATTTCTGAACTGACACACAAGGAATAGACCGTGGCCATGGCAACTCCTATACTTTAGCATAGTGAGTGAGTGAGTTTGGTTTTACGCCGCTTTTAGCAATATTCCAGCAACATCACGGCGGGGGACACCAGAAATGGGTTTCACACATTGTACCCAAGTGGGGAATCGAACCAGGATCTTCGGCGTGACGAGCCAACGCTTTAACCCACTAGGCTACTCCACCGCCCCACTTTAGCATAGACTTGCCAAAGAGCTCAGTTCTCTTTGTGAAACGATGTACTGCCCTTTGGTGGAGTGATGAATCTTGATTGAAAGCCTTAGTTGTAAAGTACGTAAACAAATGTTTGCTTGTTTGTTTGTTGTTTATCGCCACACTCAGCAATATTCCAGCTATACTAACAGAAAAAAGTAACTGTGCATACAGTAAAAATGCGAAAAATTAAAAGCTATTTGCAAAGTTATAAAAAAGCCCCTAAAGAACACGTAGCAAAGCCTTTTGCATGAACCTTGATATCACGAATCGCGCGTGGCACTTTGTGCACAATGAACTTACTCACTATTTTCATGCCTTTTGACACATGAAGTTCACACACCTGATATTGAAAATGGAAGCACGGTTGATTATTCTCTTGCCTCTGAATGTTGTGGAAAGCACGTTAATTTCAATCCAAATTGCGGGTACATCATGCCACGGCTGACGGAAAGTTAGCGTCTCCGCACCGTGGGTTTGCTGGATACTCGAATGGCCCAAAATGAAGTGGCCAGACATTAAGGTGTCCATCGAAACACGTTCTCCTCTCTATGGAGACATTTTCAACAAAATAAGAACACAAGAGACCAACGCTACAGCGTCACAGGCATCTCTTGCCTGGTGCAGACAGTATCTAAGAAACAAGATTTGGGTGGTGTTTTGTTCACAGAGGAGTCGAGATTTCATCTGGACAGCTCAGATGGCAGGGCAAGGGTGTACAGACGGCGAGTTGAACGGTATGCTGACGCGTGCGTTGTTCCATGTTGACATTTTGGTGGCGGGGCGTTATGGTATGGGGAGGAATCACATCTCATGGTGGGACACAACTTGTCACCGTCAATGGCAATCTGACAGGTCTGCGATATATGGATGAGATCAATGGACCTCATGTGCAGCCGTTCATTCAATGACAGAGACGGAACTTCACATTTCAGCAAGATAATGACCGTCCACATGTCGCTCGTTTTGTGACAAATTTCCTGAGACAGCAGAACATTCCGGTACTCCCCTGGCCAGCTGTTTCTCCGGACCTGTCTCCTATCGAGCACGCTTGGGATGAAATGGAGCGACGGTCACGTCAAGCCCAGAATCAGCCATTGACGTTAGCTGAACTGGGACAAGCGTTGGTTCAGACATGGAACAATTTTCTTCAATCGCTATGTATATGCGTCGTTCTCAAGTCTGCATCAAAGCCCGTGGCGGACAGACACGATACTGAATTTGTGGACTGACTTTTGACACCATATTCCGCAAAGGCGTGTCACGATGCCTAGTGTCAAATCAAACCGATTTCGATGTCATACCCTCAATAGTTAAAGAGTGATTAAGGAAAACACAACAAATCATTATTATTATCTTTTTGCATTGAAAAATGGCATAACATCTACTAATGCACACTTACTTTAATCCACTAGTATATGTGGGATCGGTCAGTGAATAATCGAGTCTGGTCCAGACAATCAAGTGATCTGCGCAACTGTGATACAATGCCAAGTGTCAACCAAGTCAGCGAGATTGACAACCCGAAACTGTCAGCCGCCCTTTACGACAAGCATGGTTGCTGTAGATCAATTCTAACCCGGATCTTCATGGGTAACATAAACAAATGACAAATGTAGCATCTGTAAATTACTTAAACGTTCTTAAACATACCGCATTGTACAGGTACTTGAAGAACTGTGGTGGAGATTTGTCCTCCTCCTTCTTGCCTGTGTCTATCAGTCTCTTCTTTATCTCGGAAGTGGCATATTGCCAGATATCTGCCTTGTACAAAGTCTTCTTGATCGTGATGTTTGCTATGAGTTTGATCTCCAATGTTACTAATCCTTTCAGAGTCAACTCCAGAGGAACCAACTCCACGTCCATCTTCAGACTAGAGGAGGTAGCAAATGATATTTATGTAGCGCACAAATCCACGCAACTAGTACATGCTCAAGGCGTTGCATCAGAACATATCTACGTGAAGAATATTTACGTGAAGCTTTTCAGTAATATTATTATAGGATATTTATGTAGCGCACAAATCCACGCAACTAGTACATGCTCAAGGCGTTGCATCAGAACATATCTACGTGAAGAATATTTACGTGAAGCTTTTCAGTAATATTATTATAGGATATTTATGTAGCGCACAAATCCACGCAACTAGTACATGCTCAAGGCGTTGCATCAGAACATATCTACGTGAAGCATATTTACGTGAAGCTTTTCAGTAATATTATTATAGGATATTTATGTAGCTCACAAATCCTCGCAACTAGTACATGCTCAAGGCGTTGCATCAGAACATATCTACGTGAAGCAATGCTCATATTACCTAGTACATATGACAATACACTTCCTGCCACCTACAAGAAGTCACCTGCAAAGCCTGGACGCTGGAATTATCCAGTCTTCCAAGGCTCATTACAGGAGACATCAGCTCAATCACCTTGTTGATTGTGGACAATGTCGTACCACCACCAATCCCGTTGTCCTACCTGGCCATAATGTCACCCTGGATATAATGCCATATGTTCTCCTGGACAAACGGGTATACTACACATTATTTTCTGGGTAAACAGGCATACTTCCATAAAGGTTTCTGACCAAAGGCGGCAGTGTCAGGGTTGGTTAGGACCAGCGCCCTTCAAACTCTCTGGGGTCAATCTGGCAAACACTAAAATAACATGTATTCTCAAACAGTACTAAACTATACTGTATATATCACATCGCTTAATTAGCATCTGGGCTGTCCAGCAGGATTTAATCAAGAATCAGCATGTGGTATGCGCATGTATTTGGTTTGAGATACGTTAACTTATTTATGTAAAATACTTACCTTAAATCAAGTGGGAACTTATAGAACCCTATTTCAGCCCTGGACGGGAACGCAATGTTCATGAGGTAGCCATCAAATCTCAGCTTGCCATACAGTACTACTCCAATGCTAAGCTCTCCGTAGACACTGGCACCTCCATAGGGCTTCACTTCGCCAAACAACGTCATGCCAAGGATCTTAGCTCCGACAACTATATCCATTCCATAGAAAGCTCCAGCCCCAAACTCTGAAGAGTGCAGAGCTTGAATTCAGCGGATGACGTGGTTTACACGCATACAACAAGAGTGAGTGAAATTAGTTTTAAACAGCTGTTAGCTATATTCAAGCACTATCACGTCGGTAATTCTTTTTCATTGTCAGTTATGTTCAAAACAGTATTCAGTTAAACAGCATAATTGTAAACCAACGGGAAAATAGAGAAAGTCAAAAGTAACAACGACAGTAGAGAAACGAGCGAGATAGTTTTGAGGACATGATAACCGTGTTAGTATCTACACTAAAACAGCACATGATCACTTATACGGTAAGGGTGTTAGTATCTACACAGAAACGTCCCATGATCACTTCCTTGATAACGGTACTAGCATCTACACTGAAACTTGCTTGATAACGGTGTTAGTATCTACACTGAGACGTCACATGATCACTTGCTTGATAACGGTACTAGTATCTACACTGAGACGTCACATGATCACTTGCTTGATAACGGTGTTTGTATCTACACTGAGACGTCACATGATCACTTGCTTGATAACGGTGTTTGTATCTACACTGAGACGTCACATGATCACTTGCTTGATAACGGTGTTTGTATCTACACTGAGACGTCACATGATCACTTGCTTGATAACGGTGTTAGTATCTACACTGAGACGTCACATGATCACTTGCTTGATAACGGTGTTAGTATCTACACTAAAACAGCACATGATCACTCGCTTGATAACGGTGTTTGTATCTACACTGAGACGTCACGTGATCACTTGCTTGATAACGGTGTTAGTATCTACACTGAGACGTCACATGATCACTTGCTTGATAACGGTACTAGTATCTACACTGAGACGTCACATGATCACTTGCTTGATAACGGTGTTTGTATCTACACTGAGACGTCACATGATCACTTGCTTGATAACGGTGTTTGTATCTACACTGAGACGTCACATGATCACTTGCTTGATAACGGTGTTAGTATCTACACTGAGACGTCACATGATCACTTGCTTGATAACGGTGTTAGTATCTACACTAAAACAGCACAACATGATCACTCGCTTGATAACGGTGTTTGTATCTACACTGAGACGTCACGTGATCACTTGCTTGATAACGGTGTTAGTATCTACACTGAGACTTCACATGATCACTTGCTTGATAAAGGTGTTAGTATCTACACGGAAACGTTACATGATCACTTGGGATTAGTACTAATGATGAGCAGATCATCGAGTTTGGACCAGACAACCCCGTGATCAACAGCATGAGCATCGATCTATGCAATAGGGATACAATGACCATATATTGTACCCATGGAGGGAATCAAACTCCAGTTGGACGAGCTTATGCTTTAGCTCAATGTGTGATTCATCGCTCCTTTAATTGAAGAAAGTACACTCCAGGTCACTTGTGACAGTGACAAAAATCACTGCTTGGATGCAAAAACATTACATAGGCATTCCTTTCAATTCAGCGTCAGTCAAATTTTTGGTTTTACGGTAGGTGTTGTATGAACCCATACTCACCAAACGTCATGGGTAAAATTCCCCCAACCAGGAAGTATTTTGTGCGTTTGAAAAAACTGGTGCTTTTTCTTGGTATACTAAAATTTCCTTGAAGGGTAATGTCAAATGAGCTAAATGCGTTGGTTCCATCGTCGTTGGTGATAGCATAGATGATATCTGAATACTGAAATCGAGAAAGATCACGTAAATATCAACGGTATTATGAGAGCTGTCAACGTTAGGGAGAATATCGTTTGCTTGTTGCCTGCCTTTTTGTGTTAGCGATTAAGTCCCTGATTCTATGAGTGTGGGATTGAATCCGGGATGGTACTAGACGTTACCAGGAAGTGTATTACCGAAACAACACAGATGTGTATGCTACAGCAGGCACAAGAATTAGAATAATTTATTTAGGTATAAAGGCAATTAGCCCGTGTACAATAAATGTAAAGTGACATATGATATATAGACAATATGGTTTAAACATATACATAGGTATATACATACATGTAGCAGGCACAAGTATTTAGATGTTAAATATTGATGATTCTCTCGGCACGTTTATCACTTATCCCCATCTATATAATTTCCTTGTTTATATCACGATCAATTTCATCGTCTTTGATCATGTAAGCAGACGTGTTTCCAAGTACTCTCATAAAGAAAAAGAACCTCCTGAACATGACCTTAACCAAAATGACCTTGATCGTCAAAAACATTCCACCAACAATAGGTGTGGTGCCTGCAAATATCGTTCTATGCTTGCAGAAAGGTAACCGTGCCTCAAAAAACTAACAGTGGCATTACTAATATTTTGCAGAACGCTGACCTGGACCTCTGACATATTCTGACCTGAAGCAAGAGTACATTGTAGAAAAGGCGTATACCAATTTAAAGACGAATACATTAACACTTTTTTGAAAGGGTAACCGCAAACGGTTTGGTAATTTGTTTTTATTTCATGGCTTTTCATATTCTCAGCCAAATTAAGTTCCCCGAGCCGTCTGAAAAAGTTAATGCAAGAAAAAGCACTGATACATATAATCATTGTGTAGTATTTATAAGAAGAATTACTGACGACATGACGTCTGTCAGTTTCGAACCAGTGATGTTAATAATGCTGAGGCTGCCTTACATGTTTGAAGCTGTTTCATTTTCTTATCCTAGGAAACTGAACGTTCTAATATGCAACATTAATTATCGGTAAATTAAAATCAACCATGCATTAACATTAAAAGCACCAACAAAAAACACTTTTCGGTCATACTCTGAATGTCTCTTACCAGGGCAAGAGCCAGATCTCGCAGTTGTCTCGCCAATCGAAGAGGAAGTTCAGGGTCGATGTTCTTGGCATCAAACAAGGCTATGATCTGTCCAGTGCTCATGTTGGCCACTTTAGCACCAAGCAGCTTCAGTCCTTTCCAAGTCAGACCTTTCCCCACAGTGTAGGCCTGGTCCCCGCGACCCAGGATGTCGGTGACCTGACCCAGGACCGTCATGATCTTCTCGCCTAGATGCACCAAGAACAATACAAAAGTGTGATGAACACACGGGACTCTTAACTAGCAAGCTCACCGATAAGCTCAGCTTACTAAGGAACGAAGCAGCTAGATCCGCTGTGTAGGGGACTCTGATAACTGCTGGGTGTAGCAATATGCAGGACATGACACTTCGGGTACAGACGATATAGGCTTCAATTATTATTTTAGATGACTCGTATGGATTATTGGTCAAACGTTGTTTGAATAGGGTTACAACATTCAAAGTCTTAGTAAACTTTCAAAAGGACTTATAATCCGAACGTAAAAGATATTTCAAAATTTAATGTATATCAATGACAGAATTGATATCCTAAGCAATTCCGATTTTGATTTATATCCCGTGTTCTTCAGCTGACAGTGGGTGACACCGGTCAGGCAGGATATACACACATTTGCCCCCGGTATCGTCACTTTTTGAGAGTGAATCGTTAAAACAAACATGCTGCTCATAACACTGTCGACGTTACAGTCTATACTGCTTTGGCAAGGATTTCATACGTTCATACTAAATTTTGAAGTTCTTTTACCAAGTGCAATGCTGTTTCACAACTTGAGGTAGTGAGTTCTCAATTTGTTTGACCTCCCCTCGTATCTTCGTGCATCCAATCAGCAATATGTCTTAATTAATATGCGGTCTGCAATTCAATGCTTATTTCGTGACAATACAACCATCTTACCTCCTTCCATGCCGCTAACCAGGTTTTCTTCGCCGATTTCCCCTGAGTACAGAATGGTTCCTGGGTTGGCTATACCCATCTTTCTGATGGCACTCTTAGTGTTGGTTGCTGTGCCATCTTTATCAGTGCGTGTCATCATCAGTGAGTTGTCCCTCTTCTGGAGGTAGAGAATTTGTATTGCATTAAAGCTATTATTCAAAGAATGCAATTTGCAAATTTGCAGATATTACAGTTTTTAACACATTCGCTGTGAAGTACAAAAGCATGTCATATGAAACATCGATGACTTGGGAATGATGATCTTCACAATGCTAGTGCCGAGGATAACAACATTCATATAGCATTGACAACACAGTGAATTCATCGCCAGGTCTCCATAAAGAAAATTCATCTATGCAGTTAAGTGGCAATAAACAAACGCTACAAAATAGTATCCTACTGCTTCAGCCTCCAGTCTTTCTAACAGATCCTTGATTTCTTCATTTGTAAACTTCTGGTTCATAGCATGATTAAGGATCCGTTTGGCATTGCCTGTATGCATTCTGAAAAGGAAGAAAACCACAGGAGTTCATCCTAGTTGCATATTTAACATCCGTTTATATAAATAAAATAAAATCCAGGACCTAGATTTTCGAAGCTCTCTTAGCGCTAAGATAGTCGTAAGTTAATGTTAATGTATGGCACTTACGACTATCTTAGCGCTAAGAGAGCTTCGAAAATCTAGGCCCAGGCATATAACATAACTATTTTCAGGAAATTATGTTTATTTATTAACATATTACAACAACAGGGACAAAAGGAGTCGCTTTGTGTCCTCAGTAATAGATTATACTCACAGGTCTAAAGGACTTCTTCTTTTCCTTCTTCGTCCAACAGGCGAACATGAAGACGGTATCTGGAACATCATTTCATCAAGGAGTTCGTAGTAGTAGCAGTTGTTGATGAGGTCGTGCACGTTCATGACACAGAGCTTGACGTGGAATGACACTTCATATGAGGATGCGGTTTTGCTGATCACGTAGCTCACGGTGATGGCGTTGCCAATTGACTCAGTGTGATTTTTGTCTAGCAGAACAGAAACGGGCATTACAACAAAAGCCTGTAATATAATTGTATATATAACTCCAGGATTGCAACTGTAGGTTATGGTGTCAGTGAAAGCGTTGAAAATGTGAAGAGAACCATTTTGATGAATGTGTTCTGTCTTAAATACTCCTACCACAATTACCCGAGGTTCATCTCAGTTACTCACCATAGTCCACAGCCTGCAGCTTCTTTGTCCACTCCTTGTTCTCTATATGATACATAAGCTGGTCATTGCAGTGGTCAACCACGAAGCCAGCATTGATGGAATAGATTCCGAGGTACTTCAGGTCGACGTCCACACAACACGTGATGCCCTTGCAGTTGTCAGTATGACGACAGGTGCTCGACATCGTGGCAGGCGGAGATGCAGGACAAGCTTGGATTATGAATACAAGCATTACTCAGAAGACATCCTTATAATAACTACTAATTAGCTGTATACAAAATGCCCGTTGATTATTTGATATACCACGATCATGTATTAGAAACATAAACGATTGAAAAAAATACATACTTGTCTAGACTTTGTTTGGGCTTACCGGAAGTTTGTAGAGTACAATTTTCCGACTTCCAGAAATCCAAGGAGACACCTGCAATGTAAAAGACAAAACAATTACTCCTGTGTATCCATTCATACATAAATTACAAAATCGTTCATCGCGAACAATACCGCAACGTCTACCAACATTTATCATGAAAGGAAATTTACCAGATCTTAGCCAATATATAAGCCTTCTATATTCACGATCCTTTTGAGTGGATAAATAATATTCAACTGTCAATAGAGATTTATATTCTTGATAGAAACATAACTTATTTGATTCACAAACTTTAGAAAACCAATCTTGCTGGTGGCAATCTTTAACTCTTTGCACAAACTTACTGAGAAATAAAGAACAATTACCAACTGCCTGAGAGTTCCAAACAATATCCAAACCCATAAGAGAAAAGTAACAATTTACCTTTTGAAGCCCATGTAACACGATTACAATCGTCTAAAGATTTACAAAGAAGATAGCTTTGCTGAGGATATCTATGATTAGGCATTGATAGCAACTTTAACCAATACTGAATACATCTTTTATGACAATCAACAAAAATAAGCCATATCTACCACATTCACCAAGTGCAGCAACATTAGAGGCATAACTACCTACACCAATAACATATTTACAAAACAAAACGTTTGAAGTATTCAGTTTTTGAATGGCCCCACACTTCATTAGAATAGAGTAAGATTGGTTTAATCTGAGCATCAAATATCTTGAATAAAACTAAAGAAGAAATAATCTGAAACTTTCACTGTAAAATTTTGGTTAACGGAAACTAGGGCTATTGATGCTTTTTGAACAAGAACTGACCAACATAACTTGTTAAAAAATGTTAACCCAAGATAATTATAATAGGTCGATGTCTTAATAGTTTTATTGCCAAACATCCATTTCTCAGAAAACCTTAATTTGGCACAATTTCTAAACAATAAAATTTCAGTTTGATCTAAATTGACATCCAAACACCATTTGATACTAAACTGCTCCGATACATCAATTTTTCTCTTTAGACCAATCACACTATCATCAAACAAACACAGATCATTCTGCATGCATTCTGATCTTCAGTATATGATTATTTGTTCAAATTGTTAACCATATTTCTTTTAACCAGGTCTGGCTTACCTTTCAGTAAAGTAGCATCAAGGTTGCAGACAAGCTGTGGAACTTCAGTTCCCTTCATGATCGGCGCGGAAACAAGGCAGGAATCCTTCTCCAAACAAACCTCAATGTCAAGGTCAAGTAGTAGAACCTTGTCTTTCTTCTTCAAACCAAACCTGGTAATAGAGATAATATTTTGACTCGATGGTAATGGTGACATTTCACACCCAAACCTTTTTTATAATTAAGTATTATGCTGTCTATATGTATGCATCATATAACTACTTTATCGATGTATTTATTACAAGCACTGCTGACAAGTGACTTACTTCATCTGGAAGACATCCGCGATATCCAGCGTCAGTGATGTACCTGGAGACGAATCATAAGGCGAGACTCAGGTAAGGGGTGAGTTGAATTTAACAGTATTAGAATCGAAACACGACATGGCGATTGAATGAACGAAGAGAGCCCGAGCTCATGCATGTCTTAGAGGTTTATCACTTTTGTGAAACCCATGAACCCAGGTATGTTGCAAGGAGACGGGATAACCCGCGATCATTGGTTTGTGTTGTGCACAAGGGACGAAAATGTATTCAGCCACTTGCGGCACCAAGAACGACAGAGACACCCGTACCCAGGCTCAGATCATTACTCATATAATTACAAGTACAATTAAAATAACCTTATTATGGCACACCTGATATGTAATGTAAGTACATTAAATAGCACAATGAAAATCAACATTATCTGCATTATTCTGTCGTTCTAAGCGAGGTGATATTGTTTTCATGTCATTAGAGGGAGTTGAATAGGAGCAACAAAATCATTTTCCTATAAAGCAATCTCTGCTAAAAGCAGAGTCAATTATATGATTTCAACTAGGTCAGGAGCATACGTGCCCAGGGAACATCATTTATATGATCTTTTATTGACATATAAAATAGCATTTAACGCCTGTTTGAAATACCTGTCTCCTACACAGCCACTACTTGTCACATGGCAGTTGTAGACTCATTCATTAAAATGACAAAAATCAGTGTTTGATGTTACGCATAGCACCATTTACGTATCTATTCACTGTACCTATGTGGTATATGGCTGGGTCTTTGGCGTCACAAATCAGAGCTATAATCTTAAGGACAGCAAACTACTCCTATTAAGCTATGGAGAGGTTCAGTCTCTGAGCTGTTTCATCCCTATCAATCACAGAACAGTATATGTTCAGCTGACAGCTGGTCACGTACCAGCATTGAGGTCAATGCCATTCCCTAAAATTCCCAAAGTCCTGGTTTTGTTTTCAATGGCGGCATAAATGACGTAGTCGCACATATCGACGTTGAGGACGGCGTTGAAGGACATCTCCAGGAAGGGGACGTGGAAACAACAGTTTATCTTGGTGCACGTGTCCGCTAGGTGGCAGTACAGACCGCTAGGAAGATTGGGCAGCTTGCTTATACTCTTCGGGCATTCTGAAAAATACATGACCCTGAAATTTAGTCCCTGCTCCTTAAGAAACATTTACAACCAAATTTAATTTTTTCATTGTAAGTGTCAGTATGGATACAAAACAGAGCTGTCCACAGAATCATCTTTGACTGGAATTTTCTTGTGATCAGTTTGTACATGGTACATTCATTGAAACATCCGACAAATTTATTCACTGCACACCTGTGGATTATATTGCTTCACTTAAAAATGGAATGAGAACCAAACCAAATCTAGCACTCAAGTAAGTTTATATGCATGCAATGCGAAAAGGTGAAATTGGTTCCAGCGATGCACGGTTTTTCATGTTCGGAAAGTTATACTTTCGTACCATTCCTCCACCCGTTTACACTTGGCTTGTATGGTGTTCTAGAAGCATCACATCTGTCATCCAGCAGGATTTCAGAGATGCCAAAGCGATCTAATAATAACCTGGCAGCCGCTTGAGAGAGGGACTTCAAGTTGACGTCAAGATTAAGGTCGCGTAGCCAATCAGAAACTGAGAAATCTGAAAGTATACGCAAAATGAAGTACATTTGAACGAAATCAATGTCAAGTATTACTTTTCAACACATGGGTATCCAAACATTTCAGAAGAACCCAACATGAATAAGGAAAATAATTTACTTTATTGAAGATTCAGAAACACAGTTTATGTTTTGTGTGGTGTATGCAACATTTACTCTTCTTTCAATGACGTTAAAACACATTGGATTTACACGACGACAAAAAGAATGTAGTAAGAACAGTTCTTTGCTAAGGTGGACATACTTTGTTTTGTGAACTCCACCAGCGCATTGGCATCACAGACGGGTATCTTCTCCTGATTCATCAGCGTCATTCCTCCTTCTGGGTAACAGAAACGGTCACCATCGATGGGGATACATGTGTGGACACTCAGGTCAACAAGGAAGCCTTTGGGATACTTGGAGATCTTAAACCTGGAATGGAAAAATACACAGAAACTGTCACCATCGATAGGGATACATGTGTGGACACTCAGGTCAACGAGGAAGCTTCAGTATCCTTGGGAAATACGAATCTGTTGTAGGCAAATATACGAAAATACACATACGTGTCAGAGGACACGTTGAGTGTTCTCGCAGATCCATAATTTGGATTTGAGAATTACATACATGTGTAAGAAATAAACCATTAGCATATGAGGAATGATAGTATAATACTTCAAGAAAGCTTAATCACAACGTTTTTCATAACAATCCGCGAGTAAAAAGATATTCTGAATGTGAGAAATTTCTTACTTGATGACTACTGGTGATGGGTTGCCATTGCCAATGTGCAGTTGATTTTCTGTCCCTTGTAAGAAATAAACATAGGGGAAAATATTAGACATGTACTGAGAAACATACAGAAATATTATTTTGAAATACACACAGATACACACACACACGCGCGCGTTTAACGCTATAGTCGTATTCAATCTACACCATCACTGCCTGTAAGTGGGTAATCAGTCAATCCAGGCATGTTCATAGGGAATGACATACAATAAGTTCGCTTAGTCATTGTAATCACAAGTAAACAATAGAATGACCTACCCCAGCTGTATGTCAACAATCAAAGGACTCACCTGAGTTGTATGTCAACAATCAAAGGACTCACCTTAGCTGTATGTCAACAATCAAAGGACTCACCCAGTTGTATGTCAACAATCAAAGGACTCACCCCAGCTGTATGTCAACAATCAAATGACTCACCCCAGCTGTATGTCACAATCAAAGGACTCACCTCCGCTGTATGTCAACAATCAAAGGACTCACCTTAGCAGTATGTCAACAATCAAAGGACTCACCCCAGCTGTATGTCACAATCAAAGGACTCACCTCAGCTGTATGTCAACAATCAAAGGACTCACCTTAGCAGTATGTCAACAATCAAATGAATCACCCCAGCTGTATGTCAACAATCAAACGACTAATCTCAGCTGTATGTCAACAATCAAACGGACTCACCTCAGCTGTATGTCAACAATCAAAGGACTCACCCCAGCTGTATGTCAACAATCAAAGGACTCATCCCAGCTGTGTGTAAACAATCAAAGGACTCACCTTAGCTGTATGTCAACAATCAAAGTACTCACCCCAGCTGTATATCAACAATCAAAGGACTCACCACAGCCGTATGTCAACAATCAAAGGACTCACCCCAGTTGTTTGTGAACAATCAAAGGACTCACCTCAGTTGTATGTCAACAATCAAAGGACTCACCTCAGTTGTATGTCAACAATCAAAGGACTCTCCTCAGATGTATGTCAACAATCACATGACGCGCCCAAGCCGTATGTCTACAATCAAAGGACTCACCTCCGCTGCATGTCAACAATCAAAGGACTCACCTTAGCAGTATGTCAACAATCAAAGGACTCACCCCAGCTGTATGTCAACAATCAAACGACTCATCTCAGCTGTATGTCAACAATCAAAGGACTCACCCAGTTGTATGTCAACAATCAAAGGACTCACCCCAGCTGTATGTCAACAATCAAATGACTCACCCCAGCTGTACGTCACAATCAAAGGACTCACCTCAGTTGTATGTCAACAATCAACGGACTCACCTCAGCTGTATGTCAACAATCAAAGGACTCATCCCAGCTGTATGTAAACAATCAAAGGACTCACCTTAGCTGTATGTCAACAATCAAAGGACTCACCCAGTTGTATGTCAACAATCAAAGGACTCACCCCAGCTGTATGTCAACAATCAAATGACTCACCCCAGCTGTACGTCACAATCAAAGGACTCACCTCAGTTGTATGTCAACAATCAACGGACTCACCCCAGCTGTATGTAAACAATCAAAGGACTCATCCCAGCTGTATGTAAACAATCAAAGGACTCACCTTAGCTGTATGTCAACAATCAAAGGACTCACCCCAGCTGTATGTCAACAGTCCAATAACTCACCCCAGCTGTATGTCAACAATCAAAGGACTCACCACAGCCGTATGTCAACAATCAAAGGACTCAACCCAGTTGTTTGTGAACAATCAAAGGACTCACCTCAGTTGTATGTGAACAATCAAAGGACTCACCTCAGTTGTATGTCAACAATCAAAGGACTCACCCCAGCTGTATGTCAACAATCAAAGGACTCACCTCAGATGTATGTCAACAATCACATGACGCGCCCCAGCCGTATGTCAACAATCAAAGGACTCACCCCAGTTGTATGTAAACATTCAAAGGACTCACCCAGTTGTATGTCAACAATCAAAAGACTCGCCTCAGTTGTATGTCAACAATCAAATGACTCACCCCAGTTGTATGTCAACAGCCTTTCCCTGTGGTAGTAGCTCCCAAAGCCGACCTCCACAATGAAGTTACACGGTTCAAACTTCAGGAAGAAGGGGACGTGTTTGACGAGGGGGTTCTCAAACAGTGGGATGTCAAACGAGAAGTCCACGCAACATTCTATACCGAAACAGTTGTCCGGCAGTTCACAGTTGACGTTGTCATGGAAACTGGCGGGTAGAAGATTCTTGTAGTCTGCAGGGGCCGAAGGGCAGTCTGGGGAAAAAACAAGTTTGAAGGCAATAAGTCAAAATGGTTTCAAGACAAACAGAAACGTTTCCAGCTTCACATTCCAATTGACATATTGTACATAGTTCTAATTCTATATGATCTACACAACCACTTTTTAAGTCAAACTATATTTAAGTGCATGTATATACACATGTACATTAAAACCCACTCAGGTTGGAAGGTCAGGGGAAAAACTGACTTTATTTTGTTAAGTACATCTCCTTAAACCATGTATGACATGTTGTTTCTTGAGTTTCCAGTCTTACTATATTTTACAACAGGTGTGGGTGATAAAATGTACAGTAATAAATCGTCAGGTTGTACCTCTCACGTGTGTCAGTGCTTGTAGTATATTGTATACATTTTTATGCTATGGTATAACGCCAGCCATCTGTTACTGTTCAGTTCTGTAGAATTCAAGAGTGTATGTTTCATTATAGTTTGTATCATAAGCAAACATAGATGAAGTGATAGATTTTAAATGTTCAGCTGTAACTACCTGGTTGAGGCGTTAATGCTGTACAGCGCCCGTCTAACAGAATCTTCTGAAATCAGTAAAACGATCATAAATAACAGCATTTTGGAACTATAATATAATTTCCTGGATCCACAATTCACATGTAGTTGTTGTATTTCTACTTTTACGATATTGCAATCCAGGAGGATGTATAGATTGCGCCTGTTTCGATTCATTATCACATTGTGTGTTTATTGATCTATGAAACCTAATTGATAAGAGGTTTGCTTACATCCAGTCCCAGTTTTCGAAACACCACATCTACCACCTCTCTGATAAGCTTTCCTCCCATTTGTTTTGCAAGGCTATTCAGAGATCCGTTTCCTTAAATCAGAAAATTATGGTATAGGTATACATTGGAAGGTGACACTGAGAGAACATATATTCGTCTGTGTAAAATATACTTTTATCTACGTAGATAATACTCTCGTCTACGTTGTTATTGTCTGAGTAGATGGTGAAGCATGTTTATACTACATTACGCTTCCATAGTTTACCAACTAAACATAGGGTATGTAACAAAACTCAGCAATATAACGAGCTATGTCAACATAGGTCCCTATATTTCCGAACGGTTTACGATCAGGAGGCAGGACTGCCCAGATCCCAACTAAGGGTTAAAGTGTTTAATGGGTTACCTCAATATTGTGAAATGTTATGAAGAAAATGAAAGTTGTCATTGTATTCGGTACTTACCCGGAAGAGAGAAGTTTTCATTACAAATAGGTATTGGTACATCTACGTTTTCGATCAACAAGTCATTCAGAATCGGTTCCGACTCTCCAACACTGATTTGTAAACCCATGTCAACCACGAACACCTTCCTTGCTTCACTCCTGTCAATGGTGTACCTAGAACACGGTGCACATAATGCATTGGTGGTGAGAACTGCTATTGGGTGACTCATATCGTTGAACAAACTCCACTGTTTTGAAAATACCTCAGTACCCTACAGCCAATTTTATTGGCGAATGGGTGTTTCTGGCTGATCTGATACTTTCCATGTTATCATATACTGGCCTACATAAGATTATTTACAAATTGATGTGCTATTGCGACTGCAACCCATTGGTTTACTACTGTTAATCTTAAGGGCAATGTTGTGAGTGATCAGGTATATGGATGGAAGGGAGATTCTGCGGTGATTGTATCTGGATCGAAATGTACCATTATCCATGTCTCCAAACGTTAAACCTCACACACTATAGCAATATCGATTTCTACAAAATAAGATGAGAATGACCTTGAAAAGACAATCATCTAAATCTCTGTAGATAATCCGGGGGGATGTATGTAATACGTGAAAGGTACTGTTTTAAAAGTCCTACCTTATGGAAACCCATTCGTTCAATCTTGTGGTCTTCTCTTTCCCTGTTAAAGGAATGGCAGAAATATCAGTTGGACACAGTGTTTGGATTTGATTATTGTGTGGCTGTCAAGGTTGTACACGGAATGAGGATCTTTATGAAGCTAACATGGGGTGAGGCTTGAGCCTAGAATGTATGGAGCATCATCATTATGGAGGAGCAATTTGATAAAGGTAAGTACTGTATTTTCACAACACTTGAAGGGACATTTAGTTGCTATCCATGTGTCTTGATAGACCGTGTGTGCAAAAGTCTTGACTATCCTCAGACACAAATCCCGTTTGGTGTAAAGGGGAAAACAGATGTGAACACGGTATGAATGTATCACTGAAACAAAAGTGCAAGTATTTTCTGGCCTACCAGTAGCACCCACCATTCACAAAACGTGTCTTGAAAAGAAATATTTTTGCCATGCAACGTCGGCTAGTAAACAATCCAGACAATCAAATGAACGATGAACCTGAAAATCCAGTCATATAATTTTGAATTTCAACTGTTGTGTAGAAGTACCGAGATCCCGACAGTAAAGAAAAATGTTTGTGAAAAAGATGTATTTGACAATTGGGAGGGGAGGGGAGGGGAGGGGGGAGGGACAATTTTATTGTTTCGGAGTAAACATCTCTTTTGTAGTTGACTCAACATAGGAACAGTAATTAAGGATAATACTGCACTCAGCCATCTTGCACCAGACTTTGATCTTTGATCCAATACCTACCCCAGTCGTATCCCAGGAGGATAACTGTCTCAGTGCAGTCCTCAAAGTTGACGGTCATTGTGAATTTACACGGGTCTAGTTGTATGTAAGCGTTGACAGCCTTGTTGAAATTCAGCTTCTTAATCCTAATGTCAACACATGCATCAAACCGCAGACAGTTCGGTGCTATCTCCATGTACACGATCTTGTTTATCTTGTCGTTCTTAATTGTTGGTAGGGTCACTGTCCTGTTCATCAATCTGCAAGCTGGGAGAAGGTAAAAACATAATGTTATCTCTAGAATTAAAAAAAATATTACAACACGATCCTCAAAAATGTAATTTATGTTCCGGATTGATATCATATGAATTGCATTGTATTATCGTTTTGTTCAAAATGTTTTCACTATTAACTGGTAAAAGGTAAATATTCTGAATATTCAAATTTCATACCCCTTAGTAACAACTGTTTTCATAAAAATTAAGTCTAATAATCATAATTGAATCGTATCTAGAATTTCATAATCGTGGATAGAAATTTTTTAATGATAATGTCGATATTTTGTCAAATGCAAACTCTCAGAGAAAACATGATCATACAATTTAAAAGGGTAAATATAGAACGTCAGTGCAATAGAATAACCAGAATAAACTAGCTTCCTTCAGTAACCAATAGCGTTTGGGTATATTGTAAAGAACTTCGACAATTGAAGGGAAAATCAGTTATGACACCTGGTGTTCGTGAAAAGGGTAAGCAAATACTTGATCCTGACGCCTTGCAGCAGTACTGATTGACTATAATACGGGTACGGTATTTCTTGAACACAAAATATTAATTTCGCTATACACTCAGTTTTTAAAAAAACTTCCTCAGCACTTTATCCACAGTATTTGGTTGATTGTGTTTCTATAAAATAATATATTTTGCAGTGAACAACTTACTTCTGTGTCCAACCGTAAGCCTCTGTTCCAGTTCGTCTCTCGTGCCTGTGATCTGCAGTCCTCGCTGTAGTAGCTTCTGTTTGAGGATATCCCGAGTCAGGGCCTCGGGTCTGGGACAGGGATCTGCCTTGCCTGGAGCCTGGAAATGCATCCATTGTTATTTACAAATTTGTCTGCCCTATGGAACAACATTTTTTAAGTATTTATGCCTGGTACCAAAGGTTGAGAGAAGTAGTGTACCAATATAAACCAGTCATAATGCTGACCTTTCCCAAATCATACATGAAAGTTGCTATAGCTTAAAAAACCCAGAGAACGTATTTAACGTGACAGATACACCGTTCATCAAAACCTGTGGACGTAGAACTGATACCTGAGCCATACTTACATCGGGTGATATACACGGGATTACATCAAGGAGTTCTTCTATGCCTTTCTTTACAGCATCCTTGGCAATCTTTTCGGCACTTTCCCGAATTCGTCTCTTGATTGATTCCTTATCTAACAAGCTCCTGTAGTCAACTGGTAATAAAAAGGATGACTGGCATGTGAACTGGCAGTTAGTAATACTGGCATGTGAACAGATTAGCAAACGATACTATTTGCACCTAATACAGCCTCCATAGCCTCCCATTGTTACAGACCGCGACTCGTTCCGGACTAGGGAACGTAAATTATGAACAGTAATGCATGTTTGTATCCGCTGCATTAGTTCCTTGCACTGAAACTAAACGTCTGTTAAACTTACAGATGTTAACGTCAATGTTACCCTAAATCAACGGACTGATAACATCGGTAAGGCTGTCGGTGACCTTGCATCCAATAGCAAATGAAATACATCGCTTGTAGGTCATAGCACTGGATAATTTCATAACTTTGATTACCGAACCTATCTTAAATATGTGCCCCACAACTGGAGTAGTCCATACGTACATGACTTTTTTGATTGAGATATTTGACACAGTTTCTCCGAGGTGATATATTTTTATAATGTTTACCGTCTGGCCAGGTTATTGAGCCATCTGGATGACATATCGGTAGCGGTGTTGGAAACTCGTCCAGGATGTTGAAGAATGCGATGCAGTTGTCGTAGTCGTCCTGGGAACAAAAGCCGGCGCCCACGGTGATATAAACAGCCGTGTCATCCTTCTCCAGCTTCATTCTGAAAAAAACCACACTGAAGGATGTGAGATCTGGACATCATACCTACAGCTACACTGACATGACCATAGACCCTCTCCTCCAGTATAAAGGAAACAACACTGAAGGATGTGAGATCTGGACATCATGTCTACAGTTACACTGACACGATCATAGACCCTCTCCTCCAGTATAAAGGAAACAACACTGAAGGATTTGAGATCTGGACATCGTGTCTACAGCTACACTGACATGACCAGAGACCCTATCCTACAGTATATAGGAAACAACACTGAAGGATGTGAGATCTGGACATCATGTCTACAGCAACACTGACATGATCATAGACCTTCACCTCCAATATAAAGGAAACAACACTGAAGGATGTGAGATCTGGACACCATGTCTACAGCTACACTGACATTATCATAGACCCTCTCCTGCAGTATAAAGGAAACAACACTGAAGGATGTGAGATCTGGACATCATGTCTACAGCTACACTGACATGATCATAGACCCTCTCCTGCAGTATAAAGGTGACAACACTGAAGGATGTGAGATCTGGACATCATGTCTACGGTTACACTGACATGATCATAGACCCTCTCCTGCAGTATAGAGGTAACAACACTGAACGATGTGAGATCTGGACATCATGTCTACAGCTACACTGACATGATCATACACCCTCTCCTGCAGTATAAAGGAAACAACACTGAAGGATGTGAGATCTGGACATCATGTCTACAGCTACACTGACATGATCATAGACCCTCTCCTGCAGTATAAAGGAAACAACACTGAAGGATGTGAGATCTGGACATCATGTCTACAGCTACACTGACATGATCATAGACCCTCTCCTGCAGTATAAAGGTAACAACACTGAAGGATGTGAGATCTGGACATCATGTCTACAGTTACACTGACACGATCATAGACCCTCTCCTCCAGTATAAAGGAAACAACACTGAAGGATTTGAGATCTGGACATCGTGTCTACAGCTACACTGACATGACCATAGACCCTATCCTACAGTATATAGGAAACAACAATGAAGGATGTGAGATCTGGACATCATGTCTACAGCAACCCTGACATGATCATAGACCTTCACCTCCAATATAAAGGACACAACACTGAAGGATGTGAGATCTGGACATCATGTCTACAGCTACACTGACATTATCATAGACCCTCTCCTGCAGTATAAAGGAAACAACACTGAAGGATGTGAGATCTGGACATCATGTCTACAGTTACACTGACATGATCATAGACCCTCTCCTGCAGTATAAAGGTAACAACACTGAAGGATGTGAGATCTGGACATCATGTCTACAGTTACACTGACATGATCATAGACCCTCTCCTGCAGTATAGAGGTAACAACACTGAAGGATGTGAGATCTGGACATCATGTCTACAGCTACACTGACATGATCATAGACCCTCTCCTGCAGTATAAAGGAAACAACACTGAAGGATGTGAGATCTGGACATCATGTCTACAGTTACACTGACATGATCATAGACCCTCTCCTGCAGTATAAAGGTAACAACACTGAAGGATGTGAGATCTGGACATCATGTCTACGGTTACACTGACATGATCATAGACCCTCTCCTGCAGTATAGAGGTAACAACACTGAAGGATGTGAGATCTGGACATCATGTCCACAGTTACACTGACATGATCATAGACCCTCTCCTGCAGTATAAAGGTAACAACACTGAAGGATGTGAGATCTGGACATCATGTCTACGGTTACACTGACATGATCATAGACCCTCTCCTGCAGTATAGAGGTAACAACACTGAAGGATGTGAGATCTGGACATCATGTCTACAGTTACACTGACATGATCATAGACCCTCTCCTCCAGTATAAAGGAAACAACACTGAAGGATGTGAGATCTGGACATCGTGTCTCCTCCATTAACCACAGCCATCAGATGACAAATTCTCTGGAAAGTTTAATCTTAAGGCTTAAACATATGTTCGATTGTTCATTTAGAAGGACGTGATGCTGACATAACTCTTGGATTCGAACTAAATGTCAACGAACCCTAAATAACGAGCCGTCATCCAAACAATTTACAATAAAGTCTGTATTGCCACAGCTGATATATTTGATATTTGAGTATTTGTTAACAGGTGATGATCCTTCATTTTGCATCCTTGTGATGAAAGTATCACGATCAAGCATGTCCTACTCGACTGAATTGATTTTTTCATCACAAGGTATCGATATTTCACAGTTTCATCCTTAAAGAAACTTTTTTGTTTAAGTCCTAATTAATTTGATTCAAACATTTTGATCATGTACTGTAAAAAATAAATACTTTATAAATTTGATCGAATGAACACATAACTACGATTGTCAGTGATTATATGCTCGGAGAGAGTTGAAGTAGCGTAAAATAATTGTCCTCCGAAGAGGGTCCTTAAGACCAAATAATTCAACTGTCCTCCGAAGAGGGTACTTAAGACATCATCATTCAATGCATATGTATGTTGATCATTGCCAGAGTTTTAATCGCAGAAGGATGAAAGGGTGATGCAGGAAGCACTCACGCACGCACTAAAATAACGTTTGAGAATTTTTATGTGTTGAGTTATTAGTTAATAATCTACTTCGTGATAGTGTTATATCAAGTTCTCGGACGGTCTTAGTTACTCACAAGATGTGAATTGTGTTTATACCTGATGAGTAGCTCTATTCCTCCCAGTATGTCCAGTTTCACATTAGTCGGAATAGTCTTTTCCAAACCTATAACATAAAACCGGCTTTCAATGAAGAATAAAAACTCGTGCCCAGTGTCGAATTATGTTTATATCCCTCAAAACTACATGAACATGAATATGTATAATGTTCAGTATTTTTCTGTAAAGATAAGCATGATCATCTTTCATATCAACCATAGATGCATAATTCAGAAGAATACCAATGTACTCAATTATTTCAAAGCATAGAAATCTGTTAATAATCTTGGTATCATCTGTAAGGCAGAGGGACTTGTAATTTTATGTAAAACAATGTAAATGATTTCCAAAACAAGTTCAAGTTTTCAGTTTTCCTTGATACAGTGAATACTCCATTTAAGGAATGGCACCTACCTGCATACACATCCTTCAGGACACTTTCAATTCCAATGGACGTGTTGAACTTCCCAGCACCGACAGAAAATTTCAAGTCACATGGGTCAAACCTGGCAAACATCTTATATGTTGTTCTGAACATGAAGAGGTTGAAATGTACACAGCATTCCAGTCCAAGACATTTGTCGTCAAATGTACAGTAGATGTTGTCAGGCATCGAGATCTTCATGAGCGGACAGGCTGCAAAAAAAGAGGAAGACGCATATACCTGAAATGGTATTTCACTTTACAAAAGAGTCTAGCAAGTCAGTGCTTAACAGCATCAACACCGATCCACGCGATCGATTCAGGATTACACTTAATCAGCCAGTTTACACTCAAATATTAAATTCTACTTTTTGTTTCATTGTACATAAATAAGTACAGGGACCTACTCTGCCCCGAGATCCCACAGATCCCAAGCACAATGTAAGTACATGTGTAGACTAGTATGGTACCAAATGGTACGATACTATTAAAAGACCAAAGAGTCTCCAATACTCAACTTATATTAGTTCTTCATGTTGAATCAACTTGGCAAACAACATAAAAGCGACAAACCATAACCTTACTCAAGAGAAATATTTGTTAACAGAGCCATTTGTAAACATATGGTTTTTACATACCATCAAATAGTAGCGATAGCTTGCAGGAGACGGACCATGGACCGTCTAATCGATTCGAATATATTGTACTGATTGAAGTGTCGAGATGGACATATCTAGTTTACCGATAATTATACCATTAAGCGAAAGGACGCCATATGTACTGACTGTTTGATGGCGTGGTGAGGGAGTTGATCATTTGTTCCCGAGTCCCCTCTGCCCTCATCCCCTTCTCGGTCAGCTCCGTCCTCAGCTGGTCATTCGTCATCTGGTACGGGTTGAAACACGGCTTGTTGCTAATCATCTCCTGCATCACAGAGAAACGGGAACATACATGATACATGGAATTAAAGTATTTACCTTAAGAGAGCTCAATTGCTGTAACTTATTTCTTCACAAAGATATTCGGATTTCATTAAGATCGACATAGATCCAAATAATTCGACACGGAGCATGACTGATTATCAAGCATAGTCAAAATCGTTCAAAACTGTTTTAAGAAATTTATGGTCATGGGCAAGGTCAGATTGGCAGTCATGGTGATATGAAACAATCCTTCGTCAAACTATAAGACGATGACAGCGGTGATAGCACCCCTGAGAGTGAGTGAGTGAGTGAGTGGGTGCGTTGTGAGTGGGTGAGTGAGTGAGTGAAAATCAATGTCGCATAGGCAAATGTTCAGCCATATAGCTGTGAGACCAACTCTATACAGCCAAATATGCAAACGTAAGTACAAGCTCATGTATAAAAGGAAATTTGTCAAACATAGTTTTTCATAACCATATTATTTTTAACTGTTTAAAACACAACCTTTATACCATCAGCAACCGGTCTTGACCACCCTGCTTGAGTGTACGACTGTGAAGAATATTCATTGTTACAATGTTTCTCATAAGCCCAACAATAAAAAGATATACCTGTATTGTTTTTATGATCTCTTCCATTATCTTCTTACTCTCGTCAAGGTCGAGAATCTCAATTGTATCAAAGACACTCCCAATTTTCAGGGTGCGAATGGAGAATTTCTTCAAAAAGGCACTAGTCTTCCCGAAAAGCGTTGCCAGAGCTGAAATGGATATTTGGTAATATTAGAATGTAGGTTTATATAGTCAGGTCAGTCAGTACATCTCCTTGCCGGTTGGTTTCAAAACACTTCCGCGCATGCATGTCTTAGCACTTATGCCATTTTACCGCATGTAAGTCACAAAGCAAAAACAAATATATATGTCCAGACACAACTATGTCTCAATGTGTAGCAATAGGACACATGTAACGTGTCAGTAGTATATGTCGATCGCAAACTAAATACGTTACTGTATACTGTGTGTAGACATTTCCAACCCAAGTTTGCAAGTATACGTGGCCCAAAACATAAGGAATCCCAACACCGATATTTTCTGACTTGATATGACAGAATGAGTTTACGTCTCAACTGTTCTAAAACATGTTCTAAAACTCTAAGCTCAGAGCAATAGTAGTATGCACAATGAGAGAACTGGAACACTTACCCCCTCCTCCCTCGCCCACCAAGCCCTTCACCCCAATTCTATCCCCTCTCGATCCCCCTGATGGGCGCAAACGTGTTTGGCGACGATGTAGGCAGAGATACAGTCATAACACTATCATGGAACATGATTCCTTCAGTGGAAGGAGTGTTATGGTCTGGGGAGGTGTTTCCTACGATAGGACATATCTTCTTCCCAGTACCCTGACAGGACAGCGTTATGTCAATGAAATCTTGCACATCGTTGTTGCTTCATTGCCCGCAGGGTAGGACGTAGTTTCATTTTTCAAGATGATAATGCAATATCCCATAGGGCTCGTGTTGTAGTTCTCTTTGTCAACAAGGCATTATGACACTTCCTTGGCCTGCCAAATATCCAGACCTGTCGCCTATTGAACATTTGTGGGATGTGTTGGCTAGGAGAGTTCGTGCACGGCGCTCAGGGCCTGCTAATCTCTAGGAACTTAGTGTTGCACTTCAGGATGAGTGGCAGCAAATTCCTGGGGCAACCTATGCTGTAAACCTCCAGTATGTATACAAAGTAATATAAAGCCTGCTTCATAAAGAAGTTACTAGATTTTCCTTATTTTTGTTCTTCATATATTTTATTTGCATTGTGAGAAACCATCATTTCTCCATCTCAGTTATCATAATCTGCTCACCGCGATCTTTTGTTTTCTTCGTCTTTCTTTTTATCTGTGGTTTTCGAGACTGCATCCTTTGGAACATGGAATTGGGCTTTTCTGCAATGATATATGTACAGGTAAAACATTGCTGTATGTATCAAGGAAACATAGCTGAGAGTCTTCCTCTATACTAGCTATGCAGCCATGGTACCCTGTTCTTAAATAAGTAATGTCTGACTGAAAAGTGAATCAATAACATCATTTCAGTGACATTGCCATGGAGAGATAGCTTCATCTCTTACAAGCAATATCGCTATTGTTTTTGATGATTTCATTTTTTATTCATGCATTCGTATTATGAGTAGGAGTTATTTGCACTCTACCACAGAGACAAGAATACATGTACCAAGGATTCTTCAGAAGAACAAAAGAATTCCAAAGAAGAATAATAGGATTCCTTGCATTCCTGCAAGTACCCTCCTCTCACCCACCTCATCCATCTCAAATTCACCCATCTCCACTATCTTATTGAGTACAATGACATTCCTCTGTGAGTCATCCTAGGAAACACCTGTTCCCAAACAATGAACAATAACATTTCAGAATACTTTCCAACCTTAACATTCCAGCCACCTTCCGAGCTGGGATGAGCAACATCTTAGGACGGTGATGATATTCTGTCAGATGATCTTGTACATATCAGGTTATGGCCAATAAATGTGCAGTGAATCATCAGGTCAAAAATTCACCCAAGGAAACATTTAATTCTCATCCAAGCAAGCACAGGAAAAAGACATTTTACCAACTTGTGGAACATATACCATGGGAACCAGGAGCACAGAACAGTTTGTATTCCTTTACACAAACTCATCTCTATTTAGTCAACAATATCCTGTTGATGATAAAGCGGTTAGTTGTACTGATCGGTACATGGAGGCTATCACGTTCGGTGACATTGAAATCTCACAGAAAATTTTACAGTCGATCTATCTCCGAGATGTCTTGTTGCATACTTGTCCACAAGTATTGGCTGAAGCACGTCCTTATGATAAACAATGGGGTGTTCGACTCTTTCTCTCAACACCAAACGTTTTGAAGTATCAAGGTGGAAAGGACAAAATCGGTTAGGAGAGGTATTAATAGAAGTAAGAGGTATTCTCTTGAAGTAGTTTTGCGCTCTAAAATGACCAGACACATATGCTCATGTGATCATCACTGAACATTTGTTGCTTCACTGAACAGCAGAGCAGACAATAAAGTGACCTACTACTCCTGGAAGCAAGTGATGTGGACATCCCAACCTATCAATAAGCCTACCAACATGCTATCGAGCGAATTGTTTCAAGATCGTGGTGAATGTGTGAAAGGTGCCAAGGGATAATTTCAGTATAGACAAAAAGCTGTCAAACAGATGATCATCCAAAAGTCCCGGAATGTGGTTGTCTGTGCAGACGAAGGATTCAGAGCCAATGTAGTGAAACACATAGACGATTTAGTGACCTGGGTCCACTTGCGCAGAACAATCTTAGCGCTACAATTATTGTAAATCCTTAAGATTGCGATCTTGGGCTTTGGTTACAATCGACATCCAATTGCACAAGGCGATTGTAGGCTAAGATCATTGTAAGTTACAATCGAAACTTACAATTGGTCCAGACAATGTAAGGAACTAAGATCATTGTAGTTTGTGACAAATGGTTTTCCTGTCTTTTTCACGCAAATAATCAGCTTTACGTTTGGAGATTGCTTTTATTATACATAAAACTGTATAATTCGCCTCAACATTTCAACAACACGGAGAATGCACCACCGATTTAACGTCAGAAACATCGTTATTTGCGGTAGTGAACTACATAACTATCGAGTCGATATCATAAAGTACTATTCCCACCTGGTTCAGTGTTGGAAGAAGTGTGAAACAACATACCTTTTAGATAATCAAGGAAAGGCTAGTAACGAAAGGTGTCTGCATGGTATGGGCCACAAGACACATGGAATTCAATCAAAGACAGTGGAATTCGGTTGTCTTCAGCAACGAATCTCGATTCCCACTGAGATATGCCAACAGCAGGGCCTGACGTTTTCCCCTTGTTGTCGTTCAAGGGAACTTAAATGCTGCCCAGAAAAGGGATAAGATTTTGCAACCTGTCCTGCTTCCATTTATGCAGAGACACTGCCCTGGACTGACGTTATAACAAGGCAACGCTAGACAGCAGTAGATACGACAATTCTTACACATAATTCTCATCAAAATGCCAGTATTCAAGTTCTGGATAAGCCGTCACGTAGCCCCGACCTCAATCCTATCGAACACATCTAGGATGAACTGGGTCAACGTGTTTGTCAGCAAGTAATCCACCACAGACTTTGCAAGATCTTCAACCTCAACTTGGTGAGCAATGGCGACGTCTTGAAATCGTCGTGTTTACTAGTGTTCTAAGATCCACGAGGAGACATTGTGTGGTTGCAAGAGACGATAGAGGAGACCGCAGCCCTTACTGAATACCTCAATCGAACTGTCCTGCACGCTGTGACCTTCATTTTGGAGGGTACCCTGATACCATGAACGCTATCATTGTTAAAAACTTTCAGCGAGTCTTGATTTTGTTTTTCCTTTGATGTCCAGATGTTCTGTGCACAGCCTACAACTAAAATTATAGTGTTAAACATAATGTTTAAAACCTAGTCCAAAAAATCCCTAGTGTCAAGTTTTCAGTTTTGCTCAGTATGTTTATGCTTAAACACACTAAAGTGAACAAAATCCACAAGTAAACAACAAAACAGGAGACATATATCAGTCATTGACAGCACATTTGTGTGTTCAGTCTAATCCAGTTTCCTGCATCACCATGAGTCAACAAGTCAACACCTCAAACCCGCAGTGATTGGTGGATCTTTTAATGGGAAAACATTGTTGGTCAAGCGCCTGTTTAAACATGTCCAAAGTCTGATAAGATAGAGGTGTTGTTGCTTTCATTACCTCTAAGTGTCTTTGCTGATTGGACCCCATTTTTAGAACATATTACGACAATGAATAACCAAATGACAGTCGTTCATCTTTGGACATGCAGACACATTCACAGAAAGCATTGTCCGTCAACTAGTCAAGAAAAGAGGAAAACGTACTTATCCATTCAACCCGAGATCAAACAATCAGTTGAATGGAAAGACGAACCTTACAAGAAACACTAAACCCCAAATGGCAAAAAAGTAGAGACGGGTAAAGGCTTAATGTAACAGGAAGAACACAAACTGACAGACGCGCATGAACCAACTGTGATGTATTTGTTGTGGTATCTCTTGTAAGTCCTCAGTATTACTCGGGTCGTCATGGAAATCACACAGTGTCCAGAGTGTGAGAGGAACTTTACTAGGGAAGATAACACGCAGAGACAACATGAAGTGTTGACAATCTATCCCTCCTCCTCCTTCTCCTCCTAATCAATCACACCTTGTCCTCCTCCTCCTCAGGACACTACTTCTCCTCCTCTTCCTCCTCCTCAGGGCATTCTATCAGAACATTTCCCTCCACTGCCATCGTTGTAGGACCAAGGGTTAGTGGAAAGTCAGTGTTTTTTTTCAACCTATTACAATGTGGACTCATCAAACCCATGCCTAACCACATTGTCTGGTGCTATACTGTAAGGCAATCCTTTTATGATACAATTCTTCAAACTCTACCCCAAGTACAGTTTGTAAAAGGCATCTCGAGGATGATAACATCTTTGATATCAGTTATCAAATCATGAGGGTTTTGGATGATTTTTTTGTCTCAGGCGAAGCATGACAAACAGATTTCCTATATGTTTACCCAAACCTCCCACCACAAGAATGTTATTATCTTCTTGCTATTGCAAAACCTGTTCCCAAGAGGCAAGGAATCCCATGACATTGCTTTGAACGCTCATTACGTGACACTTTCCAATTCATGATCACCCGTGGACATGCAACAGATTAAGCGTTTTTCCATAAGAATTTATCCAGACAGAAATGAGAATAAAGACAGTGATGAAATCAAAACTAAATGATATGAATTTTCGACATCTTTTTACATGTAAAATGTCAGGATGTCTATAGCTATTTGCTAATCTTGATTTGAAAATATTGTGTTTTGTGATAATTATGATGCAATTGAGCACATCATTTCTTTTCTCACAGTATCCAAAATAGTACCTATTTTCTTATCAAAGAGAAGAAGAGGGCCAGTTTTATGTTGAATCCACACAATAACATTATTCCAAATCTCTTTAACAACATCACATTCATAGGATATGTGTATTATGTTTTCAACACTTTTTTTACAGAAAGTACAAGCATCAATTTCCATCAGTTCAGTTTTGATAGCATTTTGTTAGTTGATATACACCTGTGAATAATACTGTATTGAAACCATTCATGTTTTTTCATTAAGAAATGCCCCGAAAGGTATTTTATGGACATATCTCCAATCATATCAGATATACATTTGTGTACTTGTAAATCCCACTTACTTCTGTATTTGTTGTTATTATTTTCAGTTCCAGTTACCTGCAGTGTATATTCTAAAAAAGTTCATTTTGCAGTTATACATATTTTTAAACTGTTTAAATGTAAGTATGTTTCCTTTGTCGTCTATCAAATCGTTTATAGCATATCTTTCTGTCTTTTCAAAGAGTCTATGGCATATTGGCTTGCTGCCGGTACGTATGTTGTTATTGTGCCAGAGTGGTTGTGTGAGAATATCTTCATCCTTGATGTTTTGTCTATTACTATTGATGTAATTTCCCCATGAGAGCAAAACATCTTTCCAAAATTCATTGGTTCACTTCATCAGTAGATTTGCTTTGATATATTGTTCACATTCTGATACAAAGTTCATATCATTTGTTTTAGTGTATTATTAAATAATATTTTCAGTTTGGGATCGTTTTTTTTAACACCCTCTATGTAACCTTTTGCGATTTGATTTGATTGTATTGTTTTGTACTCTCAATCCTCCATTTCCGATTGATTTGCAAAGTGTTTTTCATTTTGCCAAATAAATCTAAAAAATTCTTAATTTAATTGTCTTATAAAGGTTTTATTTGGATTGAGGAGAGATGAAAATAAATGATTCAGTTTAGGTAGTATAAGACATTTCAATACAGTATTTCTACCTATAGATGAAAGGGCTCTTCTTCGATAGTTGTTCATTTAGTTTATCTTTGTAGTTTCTTTCCACCATTTCTGCCAAATAATGCGTGCAGATGATACCAAGCAGAGTAAATTCATTTTCATTCAATTCAATTCCCATTTTTTTGGCACACGATTTCAGGGATCCTATTTTCCTACTTGCATTTTGTTCATGTTAATTCTTAAACTGGAAAATGGTGCATAGTGCCATAGGATTTGCAGCATGTTTGTAAGGTAAAATTATGTTCCATCTGATACCAGTAATGTGTCATCTGCAACTTGAGATACAAGAAATTCTGTATTTCCATTGATAATTCCTTTTATTTTTGGGTTAGTCCTTAACATGTGCGCTAGTATTTCTGCACTTAACAGAAAAATATACGGGGATAAGGGATATTCCATTGATCAAAAACACTCACTCATTCAAACAAGTATCAGGTGCATGTATACTCAGTAATAGGTTTACACCTTTTTAACAAACACTCGGAGAATCAATCATCGATATCGCCCCCAACAATAGACAGGTAAATATGTATTCCATACGATCAAAGAACGTGTTATAACCCAAACCTCAAAACAGAATTAACCTACTCTTTACTGCGTCGGCAACAGGGGAAGGATCTTTTGAGGAATCAAGGTCCTCTGGTTTGTCAACTTCCGCTCCTTTTCTCTCTGGACTGGTGTCATTCTTGTCTTTACCGTTTGGACAGATGATGCAGTTCTCGGCTATAGTATCATCCTGAACAAAAAAATGGAAATCAAATGCAGCGTTTTCAGTAAACGTGTATATTACAATATGACACATAATGTGATGCAAATCGCACTGATTCAACTTCATACATTTTTTAATTTGGAACTTCATGATCGCTATGTACATTTAAGATAAATAACTAAATATATACTCAGCATGCTTATCCATCTATCCCTATGTAAACAGAGAAGGCGAAGCGTTATCTACCTTAAACACCACCTTGAAGTCGTCACATTCTTGCACCCACTCTGGGACCTTCAGGACCCTGTCTTCCAGATAGTGTGTAGGATCCACATAGCTGCCCTTCCTTTTCAGGGAGAAATGGATGTGTTCGTTACCCACACACGGGGAGTTGGCAGCCACGCCTATCTTCTGTCCAGCAGTCACCTGGAAAAATAAAACAAAAATATAGTTGCAGGCAACGATTAGGTCTCCTTTGCTTTACTTTCTATCTATTATATCTGAGGGCCAGATATCATCGTCCAAAACGGAGCCAGAACACATGTGTTGACAGGCGAGCGGATCTTCCAAATACAGCCGGGGTCACGTACCTTTTAAGTAGTTCCGGAGACGAAATAGTTCCCTCTTTAAAAGGCTGTATCTCAGTTGTTCTTGGGTCTACGTTCAAAACAATTAGTGTTCTGGAATCACCAGGACATCATCTACCATACTGGTACTTTTTGTGCAGAATTTGCACATTTTGGGAGCAAACTACTCAGAAAAGTGCTGAAAAACATGGTCAAAAACTGAAAACAAAAATAACTGCCAAAAGGTACATTTTAGCGACTTGACCCGTCAAGCAAAATTGTTGGGAATTCGATTGTGCATCTGTACAATAAATTTGGAAGTGTTGGAACAATAAGTTCTTGAGATATTTGCTGTCAAACGTTGAAATTTTGGAATTAATTTTAAATTACACCTCGGTGCGCATCTGTGTGATTTTTTTTGTAAGCGATTCGGAGCATTGGTTTAGGAGTTATGTTTGGTACAAAAATCGGCGGAATAATAAATAATAATAATAATAATCCGAACGATTACAATAGGTTTCCTACCTAGAGGCAAGGAGCCCTAATAACTATCTAATCATAGCTTTCAGTTGGCATAACGAAGGGGCAATGAATATGAGCAATATTCAACATAACAAGGTAAGGAAGGACAATGTATTCTGAGAGGGCAACGCACTGAAATCCTGTCTTCCAACATTAGTAATTGGCGCAAAAGAAAACTTCTTGAGTCAATCAACATAAGAAGATTAGTGCCCGAGATCAACAGGGATCAAGGGGTTTACCTCCATAGCGCCTCGTGCATCACCAAGAAATCATAGACTCTCAAACTCAACCTGCTTTATCCAATCATTGTTTATACATACTTAATTTTATCTGCTGTTTCCCTTGCGGTTGTATATACTTAAATGACATATCTGGCTTCCTGTACATCAATATATATATATATATATATACGCACAAAATGTCCAAAGTAGTACAGGTGTTCAGTCATAAATATTGCAGAGAAAAATAAAAACAGAATGCCTTTTTCTCCAACATGTTTCGTTCTTTACTCTTCAGGGAGATTGTAGCGGTTACAGTATGACGTCATTACATATATATTGTGACGTCATAATAGGGACAACATTCTAGAGCGACAAGGTCACAGCTTGCAATGGTTTAACATTGGTTTGTACTTGTCTATGAAGTAGTGTTCTTTTAAAATTCGTTTTACTTTGTCCGAATTTTGAACTTGATAAAAAGTAAATATTGTAAATTTAACAGCGTTTCCTTATATATATATATTCTCCCGAAAAAGAAACGCATATAGGAATTTCAACTGTATTTTTATGTTTATTTTGGTGTCTGTGCGAGTTGCTTAAGTGTCTGGGGCTGAGGGTTACAGCGTCGCACCCGTCTGTCCTAGGGCATCCCACAGATGTTCGATCGCGTTTAAGTCAGGTGATCTTGAGGGCCAGGGGAGCACATTGATGTTGTGGCTCTGGAGGAAGTCTCTAGTGTGACGTGCTGTGTGGGGCCTGGCGTTGTCCTGTTGAAACAACTCCCTCTGGCGATCAATGATTGTAAGGAGGTGTGGGCGTAGGATTTCGTCACAGTACCGTTGAGCTGTCAGGTTGCCCTGGATCATCACCAAATCACTTCTCCTACGGCAGGTGATCTCCCCCCACATCATAACACTGTCCCGGCCGAATCTGTCCACCTGGGGAACGCAAGAGTCGGCAAAACGTTCACGTCGACGTCTCTACACCTGCATTCTTCCATCGCGTCGTTCCAATAGAAATCGTGATTCATCACTGAACCAGATTCTACACCAATTCGGTAGGTTCCAGGCCTGAACGTTGGTGCACCATTGAACTCGATGTCGACGATGTTGTTGTCGAAGCACAGGGCCAAAATAAGGTCTTCTGGCACGTAAACCAGCCTTTCTCAACCTGTTCCTGACGGTCTGTGCAGAAAGCCTCCTCAATCCGGGTATTTGTCGAGCGGTACTGGTCGCCGTAGCTGTTCGATGACGCAGGTGATGTACCCGGATGTAGTCATCCTGCACCGCAGTGGTCGCTCGAGGTCGCCCACTATGAGGGGCATCTGCTACCGCATTCTGCCGGTGATATCTCTCCCAAAGCCGTGAAATGGTCCTTTGGTGAACATTCATGCGTCGGGCAACTGCACCTTGAGAATGGCCAGCTTCAAGCAAACCAATGGCGATATGACGGTTGGCTTCACTTGGACGTGGCATTTTGCGTTCGTCAACAATATTCCAAATACAGTGAATAGTCGACAGACAGCGAACAACCTTTTATACCCATCATTGAGACTATCTGATCCCCAACTTTCACGTGCATTGCATGTGAATTGTGCATTCTGTGACACTACACGCCGAAATTGAAAATCATGCTGTTAAATACGGGTATTTTACGGATGGTGCGTTTTGTTGTGATGTTTCAAAACATAAACACCATAGGACTCATAAACAGAGGATAACCTTTTGTAAAATGAATCACATTTTAATTCATTGCTACATGAAATTGTTATTTTTATGATGCGTTTATTTTTTGGAGAGTATACATACTGAACTGTTCACCATGATCATTATCCACCTGAACAAGGGGCAACGACTAGCCCAGAAACGTTGTGAAAAATAAATCAAGAAGTTGTTATGCATAAGATTTGTCTTGCCTTTCAAGGAAGTTCACAAAGTTTTCTTGACGCCCCTCAATATGTGAATGAGGATGTAATATTACAACGACAAATGTTGCTGATGATTCATCTGAAGCATATATTGTTGTATAAACACTCAACACCCTTCCTAAAATAGATGACACTTTCGATTTCTCCAAGGAGAGAATGCATAACAGAAAGTGAATATGATGTCAGAGGATTTAAAGATTACATTAATAGAGACATTTGACATAAGAAACGAAGCGCAATTTACAATAACTGACTGGTGGTCTAACTTCGAAGTCTTTTTCCACATCCCTGTCCATAACTGTGAAACTTTTAAGTACTGAAGCAGGGTGTCAGAAAAACGGTACTCCATAGTATATGACTTACTGGATTGTCCACATATGTAGAGTCACCTGGATGCTGGATGCTTAGGGAACTGTTTGGGTTGATGTTTGTGATGATGACCTCCGTTTCCTTAAGAGATCCTGCATTCGGGATGATGATGACCTCATGAGATTTGTCAGACAGCATGATGTTTCCAGCAACCGGAGCCACAATCTGCAGAATATATTTTTGTTGTAGTGGACATTATCACAGATACATCCAGGGAGGACTTGATTTGGAGGTAATTTTAATTTTATAATTTTGAACATTATTTTTTAAACATTATTCGTTGTTTGGTTTTGTCCTCATTACACATGCCAAAAGATATATTCATATATCTCTTGGTCTCATTGTAGTTTCAAGCCACGATCCCCGGTTTCTGGCACGACCAAGGGCGGTGAGTCTTTGTCCCCGGGGAAGGAGAGGATGGGTACATGTACACATTACGAAGTAACATGTGAGCGAGTGAGGGAGCTGGTTATACACCGCTTTAAATAGTACTCCATATATGACTGCGTGGAAACTCAGTTTGGGAGGAAAGTCCGAAATGATTGTGCAAACATCAATCACTTACTGTTCAACTTTACTATGTATATATATACCTTGCCTCTAGTTTTGTACATCATTTGCTTGATAACGGTGTTAGTAGCTACACCGAAACGTCGCTCATATTATGTTAAAAAGTTGTATATCCATAGAACTCTCCCCGTTGTTCATATTTGGACGAACGACCACAATTCGACATCTTCTCCCCCAAAGCGTGTTCCTTAATAAAGAATTGCCTACAATCTTTTAGAAATATATGCTCATTTCTTTTGATATTCTGTTGAGAAGATCAAGACATTATGAATTCACAATTCGGAAAAATATATCAGTTACACTGTGACAGCGGTGTACCGAAACTACACACGTTTTCTCCTTACACGAGTACACAAGTGGAAGTTCCTCACCTCTTTGCCAGGAGATATTGTGACAGAGGTGTACCGAAACTACACACGTTTTCTCCTTACACGACTACACAAGTGGAAGTTACTCACCTCTTTGCCAGGAGATATTGTCACATCTATTCCTTCATGCTCGTATTCATCTCCATTCTTCAGTTCAGAGGGGTAGCTGCCATTCCCATCGCATCCTCCCCCAGCGAGTCGGAGGGTTCGGGGGAACTCCTTGTGACATTTGGGTCCGAAAACACGGTCGATAAGAGAGCGGGCCGTTCGGTATCTGAAACCAATATGAACACCATACATTCTTCAGGTAGGTTGTATGAAGAGATGTACAAAATACTCCCAATGTCTGTGTTCTCTCAAATCACTTTCCTCGTATATGAAGTGACTTTGAATGAGGATTCCAGATCAGGAACTTAATATAGAACTTGTAGTCAAGTGTTGCTACTGGTTTCGTTAAACCCCAGGTTGGGTTATTCCAATGAATACCACGATCCTCTGTTAATAAACAAAACGCTTAGTGATTTGGAAAATAGAAGAACCTTTAAATAATGACATTACATATCAACAATAGTGTATATTAAATGTTCGCTTCTTTTACCCTTACCGCATAAAGCCGGCATATTGCTGAGGGCAGCGTTAAACAACAAACAAACATTACCCTTCCTTCAGAGTGTTGTAAGCTTCCTTCAGAGTTTTGATGAGATCAAACACCTTCTGGAAAGTGTTCACGAACTTCCTTCCCAGATTTCTTAGAGGTTCAAGAGGAGCCAGGACATCATCAACAATGTCCGCCATCATGGTCACCACCTTCTGTCTCATCGCAGTCTATAAAATTTGATTAGAATGTTACAATTAGCGTAAATAGAAAAGAAAACAGAGTAATCGCAAAGGTTAACTTCTACTATGCAACTGAAGGCAGACAAGCATAACGCACATGTTCCTCTCCTGGATGCAAAGGCAAGTGACATATCGACTCTTTCGATTAAACAGGAACATTCCACATATATCAAACAATAGCACACAAAGTTGAATGATAAGACATGTAAATTGTTCTGTTTCCTCCATACAGTCACGCTTTAATCTAACATCTGAATTATGTTTGTGCAAAACATATACCCAGTTATTCGGTGTCTAACCAACCTGGTCTATTATCAATAGTGAGTGTGGTTTTATGCTGAAGTCAACAGTGTTCTAGCTATTGTTCACTGGCATGTGGCTAAACTCTTGGCAACATAAATCCGTGACTAACACATGTGGCACCATGCCATTCAATTAGCATGTTACAGCATCTGAAAACCTTGTCCTCTTTGTTCAGCTTTTGCCACAAATATGTGATAATTGGGAACTTTCCTTCACTGGAGTCTCAAGAGACTGGTACGTGCGTGCGTGCGTGCATGCGTGCATGCGTGCATGCGTGCGTGAGTGCACGAGTGTGGGCCAGTCTATAATACAATGAATTCGATGAGGTCATTCATGAGGTAAAATCTAACACTGAGTCACTCACCACGTTACTCTTCCCCTTGGAAAACTCCGCTACAGGGTCCTTCCTCCCTTTTACAACCTCCTTGATCCATTTCTCCCCGACTTCAAGCAGCGCCGTCTTTGCTTTAGCCGCTGCCTCCACTATCTCAAGCACCTTCGAACCTAGGTCCATCCAGTCAGGAGTTTTGTCTGTTGACACATGTGACAAAATAAGTCAGCATGTTATCTATATCACCAATAGTTATCTGTATGTCAGTGGAAGGCCCAATGAGAGGAGGTAAATGTTTTCAGATATGGTGAAACCCGAAGCTAGGGTAGTCATCACAGTAATACCGCTACATACAATTAAAGAGGAATATCCTGAAGATCAAGGTTTGATTCCCCTCATGGACTCATGTGTGAAGTCCATTTCTGGTGCCCCCCGCCGTAAAATTGCTGGAATATTGCTAAAAGCGGCGTGAAAACAAACACAACAACAACAACTAAAAGGCATATCACATGTCAAACGTTACTGAGTAGTTATAAAAAAGGACTCTTTCGAGTTAATAGACATCTGGACATATAATAATTACTGTGGTAAATGTAAGTCAAGTGTAGTCGACGTTTAAAAAGACGTACCAAGGGTTGTATATATTGCATTTTTGGCCTTGTTAAGGACATCGACCAGATTATTTACTTCTCGGCCAATACTGAAAAAGAAAAAGAAAACATTCGTCCAAATTAATACGTTTTAAATACAAATGAACCATGAAATGATATTTCTGTTGACTGATAAAGATAATCAATAGTACCAGGTACGGTGACTTTACTCACGTGATGATGTTGTCAGCGACAGTAGAAATGGCCTGTTTGGGGTCTTTGTTGAACGTCCTGAAGCTATCAATGATAGCTTTGATAGACTTATAGATCATCTTCCCTGCCCTGGGTATTATAATCGTCACAGTCTCCATCAGTTGCTGAAATGGACAGCACAGTAATATTCATGTTTCTTTAGTACACGTTCTTTTCTTCTTGTTTATGAATAAATAATAGCGTTAAATGGAAGATTACCATTTCACTTACTAAAATACCAGGGAATTCAAAAACCAAATCGTACCTTCCTACATTGAAACACCTTCTGGTTACTTAGCTCAACAGACCAGGTAGTTTGAGGTGCAGTTTGAACATAGATTTTCATCTATGTAAAGATGCTCCAACAGTAGCAAGCCGACTTATAGTCAGCCTGCCCAATTGACATAAAAGATTCAAAAGGTAGCCCGAAGACCTTAGTTACATTATTAAATGTATGGTATAATACCATCAAAATTCACAGAAAGGAACTCAAAAACAGTTATTCCGAGAAGCACAAGATATGGAAGAAGACAAAATTATTGTAGCAATACATACATTGTAAAAGCTAAGGACCGATGACTTCACGTCATTGTAAAGGTTTGTGATTTTCAACACCAGGTCCGTGGCAGGTTTAGCAAAGGGAGGCAACTGTTTCTCGTCCAGCTGACCAAGTCCATCCATAGCGTCTGATGCCTTCTTCCCAGCACTGATAACCTGTATCATACCATCATGTACATCGGGTAGTGGGGTAGCCTAGTGGTTAAAACGTTTGCTCTTCACACCGAAGACCCGGGTTCGATTCCCCACATGCGTTTAAAGCGAATTTCAGGTGTCCCCCGCCGTGATACTGCTGCAATGTTGCTAAAAGCAGCGTAAAACCCTACTCACTTAATCATACAGAAATATCAGTGACTATCCGCGTGTTATTGTTTTATGTGTGTTCAACTTCACTGCCGAAATTTTGCACAACTAAGGAAATTATTTCATGATCCAACTGGTCATGACTCCTCGACATAATTTCACCCTCCAAATATAAAACCCAGTCGTGATTATCCATCCAATCTGAATCCATCGGGCCTTAAAGGCAAATATGCTGTGAACATATGAATGGATTACTGATAATCAGTAATGAAACCAGGTGTTCACTCACGCTTATTTGATTATAGTCTTCATATTATTGATAATGCGTGCAGGGAATTTCCCATCTTATATAGAGAGGATATTAGCCGGGAGTGTTTTCGAATCATAATTATCATTACCGCGTATATGGGCATATATTGCATTGTGCGAATCTTTGTGTCCGGAAGCACACATGAGGAATAATATCTTCATCACAGACAAATAATCCCCTTCTTCAAAATCGAAACTGAAAAACATGGTTGCACTCACTAACTCGACTTCATAGACCGCTTCTAAATGTAATGCAAGAATGGAGCTCGTCTTCATACAGCAGCGTGAGTGAGTGAGTGAGTATGTTTATGTCGCTTTTAGCAATATTCCAGCAATATCACGCCGGGGACACCAGAAATGGGCTTCACACATTGTACACATGTGGGGAATTGGCGTGACGAGCGAACTCTTTAAGCATTTTGATACCCCAGCACCCTTTCGATGCATCAGAACATTCACGTGTTCTATTTAATGTTAAAGTTTATGAACATCTGGGTTTTGTATCTATGTATGGGACGCGGTGGGCGAGCTGGTTAAAGCGCTAGGCTAGTGATCCAGCGAGGTTGAGGTGTCGGGATCGAGCCCACCTGTGACAAGGTGTAAAAACCTTGGACTCAACATTGTGTGCAGACTCTTTCCGTGTTGTCACAACCCCTAGTGTACAGTACACAAACCTGTGCACTTAAAAGAACCCACGAATCCGTTGGTATATGACCAGATGGTGGCCACATGAATACGTGCAAACACAACGTGCAGTGAACTTGGACAAAGTACTGTGACTATGTGTTTCCCTGTCCACCCAGCTGTGAGTGGATACCTCGTTAGGATGAGCAAGCCGCAATAACTCGGTGCGCCTAGTGGCTGCAAGAGGTGTATACTTCACAAGGAGTTGAGATTGATAATAAGATGTGCCGTTGAGATTGACATCCAATGATCGAGGGAAAGAAATACCAGCCCCTTGAGCAAGCACTAGTTGCGTGGATATGTGCGCTATATAAATATCCTATAATAATAAATAATAGAGCTGGTCAAAAGTACTTTCTGATAGGTGATCTGCTCATGATGCCGAGTTTATCCGACCTCTGCATCACAAAGGAACACTCGTGATTGTAGTATAAATTGCTCAATGAACACACCTTATCTGGAAGTTCCTCAAGCGCCGTCCTGAAACCTTCTATCATGTCAGCAAGCGAGAACTCCCCATCGATGATGCTCTTGAAGAGTTCCAGACCTTTCATTAAAGCAGCAGCAGCTTCACTCTTAACAGCGTCGTAGAGTTTCGCCAGTTCCTGGAGTTTTTCCACGCCAAATTCCTGTAACATGAACAAACGATGCCAACCATAAAGATAACCACTTTGCATTGTACGTAATTAAATTTAAAATGTTGATTTATAATATTCTTATGACTTCTTTGAGTGACAACGAAACAAGAATCTGTATCGAAACGTCGCATCTACCGAATAAAGAAGTTGTTTATCCATAAAGTTTGCCTGTATAATATTCTTATGGCTGATGGCTGCAAGACACATTCTCATTTGGAAATGCTGATTATTTTAATCCAATGTGGTATTATTCATCTTGTTGGCATTTGAATATGAATTGTTACACTGGAAGCACTTTAACACAGCCGAGTGTAGACATAAACTATTTGTCCAAAAGAACGTAAGACAATGGAAACGCTACAGGAAAGTCTTAGCGCAAAGTTACGTCACACATCTACAGGGTAGACACACAACTGTCACAGACACGAGTCATTTGCTACAACGGTTTAGCTGAACAGATTGCACGCGACAGAAGTGTTTCAACGGGCTGCTTTGTGAGGTTACCTGCAGCATGTTCAGATTGTAAGAAGCTTCTCCCTTGAAGCAGATCCTCGCCAGAAAGAATTCCAGGTTCTTTTTCATGAAACCAAGGTGGATGCGGGCGTACGCTTCATCCTGGATGTTCACTTTCGTATGTGCACCCAAAGGCGCTGTAACATGACGTAACCATATACTGACTGACTGAGTGAGTTTGGTTTTACGCCGCTTTTAGCAATATTCCAGCAATATCACGGCGGGGGACAGCAGAAATGGGCTTTACTCATTGTACTCATGTGGGGATTAGAACCTGGGTCTACGGCGTGACGGGCCAACGCTTTAACCACTAGACTACCCCACCGCCCCTGAAGTAACCATTTACAATTTCAGTAGAAGTTAAGGAACTGTTCTCTTTCAAGCTTTAGATTTTGTTCGTTTGTTGTATATTTTTTCTTGCTATTTATCGTCGTACCCAGACTTTCCCCAACTCTGGGACGGCGGTCTGTAAATAACCATCAATTTAGTGATTCACATCATGAGCATTGATCTGCTTAAATGGGATTCAATGACATGTCAGCCTGACCACCCGATCCCGTTAGTCGCCTCTTACGCCAAGCATAGCTTGTTGAAGGCAAATTCTAGCCCGAATCTTCACGGATCGATGGATTGAGAGGAACCAAAAATATCAAAAACGTCCTTGTGTCGACGGACAGATAACATCAAATCTGCATGTCAAATCGCAGAAATTACTAAGTGCGTTTGGTAGCTTTTTAAATGGCCTGAGCTCCTGCAACGCTAATTTGGGTTTGGGTTTTCATCGAATGTTTTTGAATGCCAGTCTGACATTACAGTTAAAATACACAATGATGTTTTATGACATTTACAATGGAATCTGAAATAGGTATATGATAAAAATGGTTTAGTGAGTCACTGACACGAGCATACCTATCTTGAAGTCTAAAGCGTTGTTCATGATGAGTCCAAAGGAAGCTCCAATGGTTGTGGATCCAAGCATCTTCTTCCAGTCTACGATCGGTGAGGCCACTTTGATCTGAAGGTTACCGAAGCCCCTTTTACTTCGATGGTGTACTTCAATGTCCCGTTTGCCAACATATCGAGGATCCACGTGAAAAATGGATCCATTCATGGGACTGTAACATATCGGTTGATAAGGTTTAACGTTGTTTTAACAGAGATCCCTTAGCGAAAAATGAAACAGCATCTCAGATCAGTGAGTAACACACGCAAAGACGAAAGCGTAACAACTGGACACGGATATGGTGGAGGGAGAATTTGACCAAGAACTAGATCCAGTGAACACTGATGCGGCTAAGGGAAGATTCTCTTTACAGTAAGATGCCCATTCTTTGACAACTAGGTGACAACTGCCGGCTTAATGAGAAGCCAGGGGTACGCAGTGACTGAATAATAACAACAAAAAAACAACAACAATATGACGTTACCGTTCATCCAGACACATCATGGCTATTCTTTGTCAATTCAAACCATAGTGTTGGCATGGGGAGGCACTGTTTTAACCTTAAAGCAACCACAGTGTCTCAATGCGAACAATTCATCTATGATGTACAAGAAGTCAAAAGGGATCTGGATTGCCTTATCTTTCGGTAATTAATTAGGGGTTGAATGGACTTCAAGGTTTGGAAGACACAAAGTATGCCATGAAAATAGAATGTGTATGACTTGTTGAACAGATGAAAATGTTCAATATCCACCCTTCTTCTCTGTACATGGGAGCTATTCTCGCTGCCTTTGGGTGAGCCTGGTATTGTAGCAGGGCTTCATATCGGACCTTCTCGTCGTCATCGTACAGGGCTGTCTTCAACATCAGATGTGCTGCCTGGATCAGGGAATGATGTATCATTAATACATATGAGTTCTCTCGTATCCCCACTCAGGTACTTTCTATTGATGTAAACCATTGCTTGGTGCCTCCACCAAATACCATTTGGTGAGAATCACAGTTCAAGAATGATTTTTACATTTAAGAGCGTAATACCTCATATTATTTGTTCAGCTATTGCCTATTTGAATGAACGAAAATGTAGTGAATAACCTCTTTTGTTAGGTATAAAGTTAATTGTGTGCGTACCCCTTCTTGTTGGTACTTCCTTAAGGCGTGTATCCCAGCCCGCTTCACCCACTGAGAGTTGGTTGTGTTGACATGTGACACAATCATCTCAAATGATTGGTCGAGACCGGCATTACCCAGAGATCCCAGCAAGATAACTCTCCAGCGGTCGTCATCAAGGACTTCAATTTCTGTCATGGTGGATCGCTTTGTGCGGAAAAGCCAGGGATCTGGAAAAGATGTGCAGATAAGTAATCTACGACAGGCTCAAGATCGGGATGAAAGTAAGTTAGGGAATCTGTTTCTGGCAATATCATTCGATTCGTAAAGTATGCAATCAGTCACAGACAAATCTGTGACTAGCCTAAGCAAATTGGCATGCCATACAGTCTCACCAGGAATCCCATGTCACTCGGCACAGATGGGAAAATTGGTGAACTGCTTCGGGTCAAAGGTAACACTTTGGAGTGCGCATTTCTCTGCAGTCGAGTGAGTGAATGAGTTTTATGCCGCACACAACAGTATTCCAGCTATATGGCGGTGGTCTGTACATAATCGAGTCTGGACCAGACAATCCAATGATCAACAGCATGAACATCGATATACGCAATTGGGAACCGATTACATGTCTCAACCAAGTCAGCGAGTCTGACCTCCCGATCCCGTTAATCCCCTCTTACGACAAGCATGGGTTACTGAAGATCAATTCTAACCCCGATCTTCACGGGTTTTCTGCAGTCGACAGGTTTATGTCGTAATAAATAGACGGGTTAGTGTAACAATGCAACAGTGTACTAATATGCTGGTTCAACATCGTGTACAATGGGACAGTGACTTTAGGTTGTAAAATAGTCAGCAAAACCAGATTTCACAGATGACTGTTGTTCTTATCTAAGATGTGACCCTCTTACACCTTGCCTTGTTAGACACGGTAAATATGTACAAAAATCACCACTAAAGGAAACGTCAGATTTGTGAAGTGAAATTTCAGCGAGCATATATCTATCAACAGTTTAGTCAAAATACCAAACCATGTTCGACGCTGTTGATGAGTTCTAAAATCAAAGAGTTATCCTCACCATGTACTCCAAGCCATCCCTCCAACTTCGTGACAATATCAACCGCCTCCTCCTTCCTCCCAGCGTCCAACAGTCGCCTAGCAACCGCCCCCAACGCCAGCACCATCCTGTTATATGTTTCGTGTTCTTGTAAAGCCTCGGGGGCCTTCTCCCGCTCAAAACACAGGCTCTTCAGTTTTGTGATGATGTCCTGTTCCAATGAGAGAAAAAACTCTCATCATTGCAGTCCTCTCTTGGCTTCCTTCCACAGTTGACACCTCGAAACTTAGTACTGATAATAGTCGTGTTCAATCGGCGTTCTTTCAACGAATAACGGGGGAATCTACACTTGCGTGTACTGGTGTTCCATCAAGTGAGATGATGTACAACATCAGCATGAAACCGGTATACAAGACCAATCTTCACTTACGTCTATATGTGGTCCATCAAGTGAGATGATGTACAACATGAGCTTGTAACTGTTATACCAAACATATTTACACTTACGTCTATCGGTGGTTCATCAAGGGAGACGATGTGGAACATGAATCTCTTAACGAGGGAGGAGTCGGGTCTGGATCTGTTGAGGACAAGGTCCAGCAGAAGCTGCTGAGACAGGTCTGTGGTCAGACCAGCGATAGCATCAAACATGTGGTTCTGGTCCTTGAAGGTCTTAGTCAGTCTGTAAATAGATGGAATGGAGGACTGACAAAAAAGTGCACCACTGTTTCCAGGTATCGTTGTTACAATGATGTCTTAATATGCATCTACCAGTGTGGAAATATGTCATGAGAGTGGTTTTTTTGTAACTTGTAAAATCATTGATTAGGTGATAGTTATTGTGGGTCACAGTGTTTAAAGTTTTGAGAGTAGGTTGCGGCTCACATCATGCATCATGTATGTTCAATGGCAATAGTACTTTTAGCGGTACACCATTTTGATAGCGCTCCAGAGTTGCATCCCTTAGCTTTATTTTGCTTTGACTCCCAGTCCTATGTTCGACGAATTTCGATAACATTCTGAGTGGATTATGCTGCTACCTAGTTTTGCTAGAATGCTCGAGAATTGTGTCAGTATATATAAAGGCTGGTTGTTGTGTTGACACACACACACGGAATTACACGGGATTTATTACCTGACTAGAGTTATACACACATGTCTGCCGTCATCTGCCTACCGAGGCTACCATCGTCAAGTCTGTCTGTCAACATTTCAAGACCGTCTATTCGTCTATTCTCATTGTAAACAACCTTCAATCAGTAAATCTGTTCTCACTGTTAATGTCAAGACTCTGGTGAGTTAATATTTGATATTTGTGACCCAATATTTTAGATTTGTGACACAATTGCATTGTACTAGATATCTGTATTGCCATTGATTGTAGTTTGCTCATTGTTTGCTCAATATATTATTGAATATTTTAGACTTGTCTGTGTTCTATACTGCTGGTTCAAAGGGGACTCTTAAACCTTTTGTCGGCAAATTATTAACCGTAACACATGTTTATGTTGGTACAAATAGGTAAACTAAGTAAAACTAGGTAAAATTGGATAACGATGATCTTAGCTAAGGTCACTATGATTAACTGGTATGCTATAAGATATACATTTTACACACACGCGGTACAATAATATACCTGGCAGTTAATACCTTTCAGCTTAAGACATATACCACTTATCTAATATGTTAGAAGATGATAAATGATAAATATCCCTTAACAGAGTGTCCAAATACGAACATAGTTTGATACATGTGTATCTTGTACAAGTGTATAAATGCATATGCAAAAATAAATAAAACATAAAATATTGATTTATATCAGACAAGTGCCATCAAACTGTTTCAATTTGTGTCTAGTAAATACTTTAAGGGTTTATTCACAAGGGTTTATTCACCTCGGCCTGTCGGTCAGGTAGCGTTTGGCAAGGAGAGTCAACTGTTTGTCAGGTAAGTCCCGGAGAACGGCAACAAGTTCAGTGAAGCATTTGTTCAATTTTTTCGAACCTGAAAAAACAAAACCACAAATTATTTAAAATATTCCAGATTCTCCCCTTCTTGTATACTTTAGAAGCTTGTATTCACATTCAATTATATGATTTAGAAGCCTGAATTTACAAATGGATTAACCATTTACTTTAGCAGTTGGCATCTAAATCTAGATCACCTATATGCTTAAGAATCTACAATTTACAACCAAATCAATTGTGTGGTTTTGAGACTTGTGTTTACAATGAGCCAAATGTGTGCTTTAGAAGCCTGTATGTATTTACAGGACTGTATAACATCAAGACCTCTGATCCAATCATCACATAATAGAACCTTTATCTGGCTCGTTTCGCATGCACGTGAGGTTCCCCTTCATGTACTGCTCAAACTTTAGGTATTCCTTCTCACTGACTGCTGCCTTCTTTCTCTTCACCTACAATGAAATGATTAGGATGCTGAGGTCCAGTACGACTATGAAGATTCATTATCCAATACATTTTTCCTATCAAATGCGCACATACGTTTGGCACATTTTCTGCATTCTGTTATTTTATTGGTTTCTTGTCTGTCACCAACTGACATGACTGTCAGCGTAAGGTCAACTGAACGACAAAGCTAAGTTTCATGAACATGCAAGGGGATTTATATTGTTTAAATTGTGTGTTGTTCTGACTTTGACTAATTTTGGTTAATTTTTCCTACAATCGCCAGCTGCTGAAGGGATGGTGTAAATCCTGCTAGGGTCCATGCAGGTAGCAAAGATACTGTAAATCCCCATGGTCCCTAGTATGGGGAACAGCCTTCAGTTGCTAATGATCTATAGCCCGGTTTTATATTGTATTGTTGTCTATAGTGATATATTTTTATGATAGCGTACTAGTTTTAAATTTAGAGCTGTGATATTCAAGTAGTTTTACTGTCCTTCGATGACAGGTTTATATTTTCTGAATTTTTATTTTTTTCATTGATATGAATTACATTGTTCTCGTCACGATATGGCTGAGAAATTGCCAATGTGACGTTAAATCTTAACTCACGCACTCACTCACTCACTCACTATAATCCCCAATATATTTATGATTCCAAGCTTATCAGATACCATGTATATATAATACAAGTTAAAGTGACCAATCGTCTAAAATATTATCTTTCTTTAAATTTATATATATTTAATTGTTGGATCATCCACATATTTGCATCCTGGTACAGGAACACATTCTGAACTTAATTTGTCACTTTCAGATCCAAATATAAATAATGAGTTTGAAAGGTTGGTCCATGATGACCTTTGTGGAAGTGACCATTGGCCCACAATTCTCTCAGCTATAAATCGGACTGATGACCCACCTGCAATGAGGTAGAATTTTAAATTGGGTAATTACCCTTTATTTCAGACACTTTGAACTGACACATTAAAATCCGACATTTAATATCCCAGATCCTATTCAGCTGTTCTTAGATAAACTAAATGAAATAGCTGATGTTACTGTTCCTAAGTCCTCTGCTAAGCCACATTGTCGTAAACCATGGTTTACTGGCGATTGTAAAAAGGCGAGGAAGTGCAGGAAGAAGGCTTGAGAAATACTTTCGCTGTCATCCTACAGTTCATAATCTTGATAATGTTAAAAATCGATAGTGCCAAGGCTCGACGTACGTTTAAGCAAAATATAGGCGACAGTCCTGGAAGAATTTTGTATCAAAGATTAAATCACGTACACCTGTGACGGAGGTTTGGATCATGATACAAAAAGGCAAAGGCAAAGGTACAAAATGTAATGTTCATCATGTCAAAGATGAACACAATATATTAACGGATAAATCCGACCTTGCAAATAAGTTGGGTGAACCTTTAGCTGCACATTCTTCATTGTCACATTATAATCCACAATTTCAGAAAAAAACCCAAGAAAAGTACAAGTCCGTAATACGGCGACATCCACTATCAGCTTCTAAAACAATTACCCAACTCATGTCTTGAAACACTTACATATTATTGATGATATTTGGACAACTCGTATCAATCTTTTTCGACCTGAAAAAAGCTTATGATACAACATGGAAACATGGTATTTTGGTTTGGAAAGGCCGTTTGCCTCATTTTATATCTCAGTTTTTAACAGACAGATAATTTCAAGTACGTGTGTGAGCAAACCTGTCTGACCATTATAATCTGGAACAGGGGGTTCCATTAGGCAGTATTGTGTCTGTGACTTGAATTTGTTTAGTATAAACATAAATAGTCTTTCAAAAGTATTAAATGACTCAATTGATGGGTCATTGTTTGTGGATGATTTTAATGTTTCAGGTCGTGGTAAAAATATGTACACCATTGAAAGAAAATTACAGTTGTGTCTAAATGAAATTTATAAATGGTCACTTGAGAATGGGTTTAAGTTTTCACAGATAAAGATAAACTGTATACATTTCTTTCGAAAATATAATGTCCATAACCAGCCCGAATTATTTTTTAGATGGCACTCCAATTAATGTTATGAAGGAAAACAAGCTTTTGGGCTTGATTTTCGACCATCGTTTGACATTTCTGCCACATATCAAATATTTGAAGACTAAATGCCGGAAGGCCTGTTAAAAGTCGTCTCAAACTCAAAGTGGGGAGGGGATCAGACAACCCTCCTTCACTTATATAGATCACTGATTCGTTCTAAATTGGACTATGGATCCAGTGTATATGCTGGAGCCTGCAAGAGTAATTTAAAGAAACTGGACACTATCCACTACAAAGAACTATTATGTCTGGCTGGCTGCCTTTAGAACATCTCCCTTTTATGTTGAGGCAAACGAGCCTCATTAAATTATCTCTCCAATATATTGCTAAATTACGTTCAAATCCCTTGAATCCTCCTTAAGATTCCGTTTTGAAGCCCCTTTATAAAGGAGAATCATGGTCCAGAATACCAGACATTATCGTTTTACCGCTGAGTATCATGCTATGCTTACCGCCTTGTCATACAATCAAAGTGCAATATCACGGCAGGGGACACCAGAAATGGGCTTATACATTCAAAGACAGTCTGTGTATAGACAGTTTCAAAATTGTATTTTTCTGATTCTCTTTCATGTCTTCAGGCATTAAATAATTTTTCTCCAACTCATTCACTTATTTTAAAAAATTTAGAGCTATATAATCATCTTTCAACTAGCCGGTGAGATATTGTCTTTTGTTGGCTACCTAGTCATGTTAGCATAGTAGGTAACACAATGGCTGGCGCTCCTGCAAAGGCAGCTCTCAACAAATCTGTGACACCACGCCTTATACCATACAGCGACTACAAAACTGCTATTAGATATCACATCCGTGATCTAATGCAAAAGTGGCATTCGCAAGTAGGTATTAATACATTACATGAAATTAAACCAGGTATCGGCTACACCTACTTTACACCTTCCAGATTTGAAGACGTCATATTAAGACGATGACGTCTTGGCCATTTCAGATATACTCGTGAATATTTATTGAAAGTTGAGGATGCTACTTTTTGTATCCCTTTTGATGAAAGAATAACATTGCAAGGGGCAACTATTTCAAGATTTCACTTATTGCTTTTCAAAATATATATTGATTCATTGATAAATTTTGATACGAATATATAGTGTAAATAGGAAGTAAATATTTTAATTTGGACGAGTGAATCAATAACTTTGATTGTTAGTGCCTGTACCTTCAAAGGGGGTTGAAGCATCGTAAAGGTATTGTCCTCCAGAGAAGATTCTTAATTCAAATGACATTAACAGTATTTTTCATCCTCCGTGTTCTTAATCATAGCATTTCTGTTAATTTTAACTGTTTGGCTTCACCGTCAACACATCGCCGGTAGCCAGAGGGATGGTGTAAATCCACCTGTGATACCCTGCAGGTAGCAGAAGTATCGTAAACCCTTATGGTCCCTGGGGTGGTGGCTTAATGTTGGCTAGTGGTGAACCATAGCCCATGTTTAGATTGTATTGTTGTAAACAGTCACATTTTAATATTTACATACTAGTTTTAGACCTATATCTGTGAATATTTAGTTATTTTACGGTCCTTTGGTGACAGGTTTTAGTTTGAAATGTGTTGTTTGAAATTATATAACTTGATCAAGTTACAATATGGCTGAAATACTGTCGACGTGACTTACATTATACTCACTCACTCACTCAGTTTCATCTGCAGCTGATCAGGAGTAAAGTCTCATCGCTTTCTTATGTATGTACATTTACTGAACAGAAATTTAGGTAACGTGACAGACGGGGCTTCACTCCCTAGTTTGAATGAAAAATATATGCATTTGTTTATCAAACCGGTTACCTGTTTGATATGAATGGACGCCGTGTTGATGTCTGTCTTTGGTCTGCTGGGAGTATTGACTACCTTGTGTTTGCTGAGGAACACCAGCTTTCCTGTACCTTGCGCTGACATCTCGGGTAATTCTGGAGACAGAAATCATGTTGAATATGTCACATAATACAGTTTTGATGTACTCTTCTTCATAACACTGAAACAAGTTTCATGTAAGTAAACACCGACGAGGTACATCCAATACATTGTGCATTCAATTCCAAGCGCGGTAACAGCTTTTTAGGACCTAGGTTTAAAGTACAGACCGAAAGGTAATATTGAGAAAATAATTACGCTTATTAACCATCACATAAGTCAATTAATTTCCTTTATTCAAGTAAGGTGATCCAGGCGTATTATCATAGCTTTCTGGGCGGTGGGGTAGCCTAGTGGTTAGAGCGTTGGCTCGTCACTCCGAAGGCCCGGGTTCGATTCCCCACATGGGTACAATATGTGAAGCCCATTTCTGGTGTCCCCCGCCATGATATTGCTGGAATTTTGCTAAAAGCGGCGTAAAACCCTACTCACTCGCTCACTATTATAGCTTTCGTCATATGTCTGGATCCATGTATGGATTCATTTCATATGTTGATTTAATAATATCATAATAATAATAATAATAGTGCATATTTATAACGCGCACATATCCACGCTCAGAAGCAAGCTCTTGGCGCTACATAAGTACCTTAAAATAAATACATTATATATACAGAGCAAGAAAACTACGATGAATAGGTGCATAATACAAAAACAATAAAGGCTATTGAGGATAATATTTAGCAAAAAGGTGGGTTTTGAGATTTGATTTAAATTTTTTGTATAAATGCTTCTTGTCAAGTGTATTTGAATTTAATTAGGGACACTGTGAGTCTCGGTAAAATGTACATCTGTCTTGAGTCAAATCCATGTAAGTTTTTTTTTTTAATGCCGCAAGTGCAACACCCAACACACCGAAACAGATTGTGCACAAATTCGCAGAAGCATCTGTAAAATATTTACCGCCATTGATAACCGTAAGGGTCTGTCATAACTAGATATAACTGCTCACCCATTTCTGTGAAGTTGTTGACCGCCTTGACGGGACGACTGTTTTCATACGGGTCATATCTAGTGAGTGGCAGAAAATAACATAGTTACCGACAGTACCAGGTATGCAAGTTGAATGACTGACCAGTACAACCATTGTGATAAGACCGAGAGGGGCATGTCCCAGAACGCCATACACTCGATCGTTAAGGTTACCGAAGCAATAATTGTAATCTTGTTAGAGTTAACGACCATTGTCAATATCTCATATTGATCTGAAATGAGGGTAAATTACTCTCAGAGCGACGTTACATACAGCCCACTAAATATAAAAGATTGAGTATGATGATGGTTATTTGATTAATGATAATGATGATGCCAGCGCGAAACACTCGTCCAATCCACACTGTTTTCAGATAGGTTTGAACAGTATTTCAGTCATATACCATCATGTTGGCTTGGTGTGGATGGTATGCACTGATGCACGGATCATTTACCACAAACCTGGAAACATCAGGAGCGCCAAACAGTGTACAACTAAGGGACGCAACTCTGCACAGGGAATGCCGGGGTTGACTGGTAAACCGTGCTTAACAAATAATATCAACAGTAAAATGTGTTTTCAAGCGAATTATTCAATATCCTCACCCTTCTGCAGTCTTATGCATAACCCGGAACTTCTCCTTCACTTGAATGGTGTGCATTGTTCCAAGGGCAGTGTCGTAATACAGCGTCTGAAACCACGCCCACCATATCGTCATATAGTCAAGTATATATGCATACCTATGGTAATCAAAATGGTCAACACTTTGACTTATTCGTCTTGCTATATTTTAGCATGAGTACATTATATGATACTGCAGTAGTTTTGGTCTGACAAATGTTCATTGTGAGAAAAAGAAAATTGCATAAGGCTCTCCTAAAATGTTCGCGTACAGTACAAACTCCGTCACAGCATTTAACGCCTTCGGTCCTCTCTGGATAGATGACCAAGTTTATAACTGTTTAAAACTATTCCTTAGAAAAGCTTCTGCTATACTATTTCATTGTTATTATTTTTATATTTATTTCCTCTTATGACAAGCATGGGTTCCTGAAGACTAATTCCAATCCTAATCTTCACGGGTCCGTGACTTTACTATTTCATACAGTTATTTCAAGCATTATTGTAATTTGTGAGTGAATAACCATGTGTTTTCTGTTTTAATACATATGGGACTCGTGTCTCTATTTGTATACGGCATTGCATAACTGAGAATAATTATATATTATAAAATTTGTCAATTAAAGGGGAAAAGAAAAAGAAACAGTAAGATGAGTTTGCGCATTTGCTATGTGCATCCGACCTTAGATCGGTCAAACAATTGATAGTAAAACATTGATGAGTCGTTGAATCTGAATCAGTCTGAACAGGTGTCTGAGTCCGAATCTCTTTGAATCTGAAACTGGGGGATTCTGAGGCCGAATCTTCTCCGTTCGTTGACGAAAGATTTTACATCCTTTTCACCCATTATGCAATATCAGCATCACTGTTGTACACTATGATGTGTCATATAAAAGTGTTATCGGTTCACCTTGGTATAATCTGATGTCGCGTGCTCGATGGGGTGGTGACCCGGATGTCTCGTCTTGGTGAACACGTGACCTGTGTGAGTTGGCCGTACGGAGTAGGTGGCGTTGTGAGGACCTGGAGTAGGATAGCTATAGATTCAAAAAACTGAAATAGCATTTATAGATGTCAACAATTAAAGAAAGGTAACACATCTTCAGGATAGTCAGTGTATCAGATTGTGTGTGCTGCATGCACTACACTAATACATAAACAGAAGGAATCAATGTTAAGACTCTACTGTTTTAGAGACGGTGGGGGTAGCCTAGTGGTTAAAGTGTTCGCTGGTCACGCCGAAGACCCAGGTTCGATTCCCCACATGGATACCATGTGTGGAGCCCATTTTTGGTGTCCCCCGCTGTGATATTGCCGGAACATTGCTAAAAGCGGCGTAAAACTATACTAACTCACCCTACTGTTTGAAGCAGTTTTGCTTTTTGTAGTATTCTTGCCAAATCACGTTATGCTATTTTATGTATGTCCCCTTTCTGTATGTGTTATGTAATGATGCAACAAACCCATCCTTTACAACTAAACCATCTCAATCTCATCTCGTCCAATCGTCAACTCACCCACAAATGAAAATATCCACGGTTATCCAATACTAACCTTGACACCCAATTCGTCAATACTCACCCTGACATCCAAGTCGTCAATACTAACCATGACATCCAAGTCGTCAATATTAACCCTGACATCAAATTGTCAATACTAACCCTGACATCCAAGTCGCCAATACTAACCCTGACACCTAAGTCGTCAATACTAACCCTGACACCCAAGTCGTCAATACTAACCCTGACACCCAAGTTGCCAATACTAACTCTGACACCCAAGTTGTCAATACTAACTCTACACCCAATTCGTCAATACTAACCCTGACACCCAAGTTGTCAATAATAACCCTGACACCCAATTCGTCAATACTAACTCTAGACCCAATTCGTCAATACTAACCCTGACACCCAAGTGACCAATACTAACCCTGACACCCATATGGCCAATACTAACCCTGACACCCAAGTTGCCAATACTAACCCTGACACCCAAGTCGTCAATACTAACTCTGACACCTTAGTCGTCAATACTAACCCTGACATCCAAGTCGTCAATACTAACCCTGACACCCAAGTCGTCAATACTAACTCTGGCACCCAAGTTGTCAATACTAACTCTACACCCAATTCGTCAATACTAACCCTGACATCCAAGTCGTCAATACTAACCCTGACACCCAAGTCGTCAATACTAACTCTGGCACCCAAGTTGTCAATACTAACTCTACACCCAATTCGTCAATACTAACTCTGACACCCAAGTCGCCAATACTAACTCTACACCCAGTTCGTCAATACTAACCCTGACACCCAAGTGGCCAATACTAACCCTGACACCGATGTGGCCAATACTAACACTGACACCCAAGTTGCAATACTAACCCTGACACCCAAGTCGTCAATACTAACCCTGACACCCAATTCGTCAATACTTACTCTGACACCTAAGTCGTCAATACTAACTCTGACACCCAAGTCGTCAATACTAACTCTGGCACCCAAGTTGTCAATACTAACTCTACACCCAATTCGTCAATACTAACCCTGACACCCAAGTTGTCAATACTAACCCCGACACCCAATTCGTCAATACTAACTCTGACACCCAAGTTGTCAATACTAACTCTACACCCAGTTCGTCAATACTAACCCTGACACCCAAGTGGCCAATATTAACCCTGACACCGATGTGGCCAATACTAACACTGACACCCAAGTTGCAATACTAACCCTGACACCCAAGTCGTCAATACTAACCCTGACACCCAATTCGTCAATTCTTACTCTGACACCTAAGTCGTCAATACTAACTCTGAAACCTAAGTCGTCAATACTAACCCTGACACCAAAGTCGTCAATACTAACTCTGACACCTAAGTCGTCAATACTAACCCTGACATCCATGTTGCCAATACTAACTCTGACACCTAAGTCTTCAATACTTACCCTGACACCCAAGTTGTCAATACAAACCCTGACACCCAAGTCGTTAATACTAACCCTGACACCTAAGTCGTCAATACTAACCCTGACATCCAAGTTGTCAATACTAACCCTGACATCCAAGTCGTCAATGCTAACCCTGTCATCCAAGTTGTCAATACTAACCCTGACATCCAAGTCGTCAATACTAACCCTGACATCCAATTCGTCAATACTAACCCTGACACCCAAGTCGTCAATACTAACCCTGACACCCAATTCGTCAATACTAACCCTGACATCCAAGTTGTCAATACTAACCCCGACAGCCGAGTTGTCAATGCTAACTCTGACACCCAAGTCGTCAATACTAACCCTGACACCCAAGTCGTCAATGCTTACCCTGACATCCAAGTTGTCAATACAAACCCTGACACCCAAATCGTCTATACTAACCCTGACATCCAATTCGTCAATACTAACCCTGACACCCAAGTCGTCAATACTAACCCTGACACCCAATTCGTCAATACTAACCCTGACATCGAAGTTGTCAATATTAACCCCGACAGCCGAGTTGTCCATGCTAACTCTGACACCCAAGTCGTCAATACTAACCCTGACATCCAAGTCGTCAATACTAACCCTGACATCCAATTCGTCAATACTAACCCTGACACCCAATTCGTCAATACTAACCCTGACACCCAATTCGTCAATACTAACCCTGACATCCAAGTTGTCGCTACTAACCCCGACAGCCGAGTTGTCAATACTAACTCTGACACCCAAGTCGTCAATACTAACTCTGACACCCAAGTCGTCAATACTAACCCTGACACCCAAGTCGTCAATGATAACTCTGATATCCAAGTTGTCAATACTAACCCTGACATCCAAGTTGTCAATACTAACCCTGACACCCAAGTTGTCAATGATAGCCCTGACACCCAAGTCGTCAATACTAACTCTGACATCCAAGTCGTCAATACAAACCCTGACACCCAAGTCGTCAATACTAACCCTGACACCCAATTCGTCAATACTAACCCTGACAGCCGAGTTGTCAATACTTACTCTGACACCCAATTCGTCAATACTAACCCTGACATCCAAGTCGTCAATACTAACCCTGACACCCAAGTTGTCAATGATAGCCCTGACACCCAAGTCGTCAATACTAACACCGACAGCCGAGTTGTCAATACTAACTCTGACACCCAAGTCGCCAATACAAACCCTGACACCCAAGTTGTCAAAACTAACCCTGACATCCACGTTGCCAATACTAACCCTGACACCCAAGTCGTCAATGCTAACTCTGACACCCTAGTGGCCAATACCAACCCTGACATCCACGTTGCCAATACGAACTCTGACACCCAAGTTGCCAATACTAACTCTGACACCCAAGTCGTCAATACTAACTCTGACATCCAAGTCGTCAATACTAACCCTGACATCCAAGTCGTCAATACTAACCCTGACACCCAAGTCGTCAATACTAACCCTGACACCCAAGTTGTCAATACTAACTCTGACATCCAAGTCGTCAATACTAACCCTGACATCAAAGTTGTCAATACTAACCCTGACATCCAAGTCGCCAATACTAACCCTGACACCGAAGTTGTCAATACTAACCCTGACACCCAAGTCGTCAATACTTACTCTGACACCCAATTCGTCAATACTTACTCTGACACCCAAGTCGCCAATACTAACTCTGACATCCAAGTCGTCAATACAAACCCTGACACCCAAGTTGTCAATGCTAGCCCTGACACCCAAGTCGTCAATACTAACACCGACAGCCGAGTTGTCAATACTTACTCTGACACCCAATTCGTCAATACTTACTCTGACATCCAAGTCGTCAATACTAACCCTGACACCCAAGTTGTCAATGCTAGCCCTGACACCGAAGTCGTCAATACTAACACCGACAGCCGAGATGTCAAAACTAACTCTGACATCCATGTCGCCAATACAAACCCTGACACCCAAGTCGTCAATACTAACTCTGACACCCAACTCGTCAATACTAACTTTGACATCCAAGTCGTCAATACTAACCCTGACATCCAAGTCGTCAATACTAACCCTGACACCCAAGTCGTCAATACTAACCCTGACACCCAAGTTGTCAATACTAACTCTGAGATCCAAGTCGTCAATACTAACCCTGACATCAAAGTTTTCAATACTAATTCTGACATCCAAGTCGCCAATACTAACCCTGACACCGAAGTTGTCAATACTAACCCTGACACCCAAGTCGTCAATACTTACTCTGACACCCAATTCGTCAATACTTACTCTGACACCCAAGTCGCCAATACTAACTCTGACATCCAAGTCGTCAATACTTACCCTGACACCCAAGTTGTCAATGCTAGCCCTGACACCCAAGTCGTCAATACTAACACCGACAGCCGAGTTGTCAATACTAACTCTGACATCCAAGTCGCCAATACAAACCCTGACACACAAGTCGTCACTACTAACCCTGACATCCACGTTGCCAATACTAACCCTGACACCCAAGTCGTCAATACTAACCCTGACACCCAAGTTGCCAATACTAACTCTGACATCCAAGTCGTCAATGCTAACCCTGACATCCACGTCGTCAATACTAACCCTGACACCCAAGTCGTCAATACTAACCCTGACACCCAAGTTGTCAATACTAACCCTGACATCCAAGTAGCCAATACTAACCCTGACACCCAAGTCGTCAATACTTACTCTGACACCCACCTGTCAATACTTACTCTGACATCCAAGTCGCCAATACTAACCCTGACATCCAAGTTGTCAATGCTAGCCCTGACACCCAAGTCGTCAATACTAACACCGACAGCCGAGTTGTCAATACTTACTCTGACACCCAATTCGTCAATACTTACTCTGACATCCAAGTCGTCAATACTAACCCTGACACCCAAGTTGTCAATGCTAGCCCTGACACCCAAGTCGTCAATACTAACACCGACAGCCGAAGTTGTCAAAACTAACTCAGACATCCAAGTCGCCAATACAAACCCTGACACCCAAGTCGTCAATACTAACCCTGACATCCACGTTGCCAATACT